ATGTTTGTGTTTGTGTTGTGATCAGCTCCTGGTATCCCCAGGACAGGGTTTTCCCTAGTTTCTTTATACCCACACAATGTTTTTCAAATTTCGTCATATTTATTCCGTCTTTCGATTCGTCTTCAGCGCCCAGTTTGCTTGAGACGTATGATTTTAGTTGCATGTATGAGAATATGACCTTACTGGGCAATGTGTATTCCTCCTGGATAGCTGGTAGTGGTTTCAGACGCCCCTTGTCTATCACCTGATATATATGGTGTATCCCCCCTTTCGCCCATGTCTCCCACGGGAAAGTTGGGATGTCCAGCCCTATTGTTTGTAGTGGTGTGGCCATGGGAAGTGTTTGCTTTGCCACCAGTTTATCTCTTATTTTGTGCCATATTTGTAGTAGGGTCTGGGTGCTGGGCAAGAGTTTGTCCTGGGTGTGCCTGGGGCATTTTTCCTGCCATATCAGCGCTCGTAGGTCTCGTCTGGGCACCCAGTGCGATTCTATGGCTACCCATTGCGATGCGTTGGCGGGGAGGTTTATTTGTGATATGTTATGGAGGTACGCTGCTCTGCAGTAGGCCGTCAAGTTCGGGAGGCCTAACTCCCCCCTGTGTACCGCCTGTTGTAGGGTCCCTGCTGCTACTCTTGCTTTTTCCCCCTCCCAGATGAAGGTGTTGATGGTGTGCTGCATGTTTTTGAGGTATTGCTTTGGTAGGGGTACCTGCAGGGTACGAAAAAGGTATTGGATTTTTGGTATTAGCGACATTTTTACTGCTGCTATGCATCCTGTCCACGACAGGTACTTCCCCTTCCGTGCTTGCATGGAGTCTGTGAATTCTTTGTGCATGCGCACATAGTTGTGGTGGAATAATTTAGCAGGGTTTTTTGTAAGTTTAAGACCCAGAAAAGTCAGGTGGTCATGCCTCCAGTCTAGGGGGAATGCCCCGCTCAGTCTGGACATGAGGTTTGTGTCTAGGTGCATCCCCAATGCTTGTGTCTTGGTGACATTTAATTTGTAGTATGCAACTGCACCGTATGATTTTATATGTAGCATCAGGTTTGGCAGGGAGATTAGGGGCTGTGTGAGTGTGACTAGGATGTCATCTGCAAATAGATTGAACTTATACTCCCTGTCTCCTATGGTGATGTCCTGTATGGACGGTTCTTCCCTTTATTGACGCTGCTAGTGGTTCTAGTGCCAGGATATACAGTAGTGGGGACAGGGGACACCCCTGCCTGGACCCATTCGTTATAGTGATTTGTTTGGACACGAATCCTGCATTAAGTACCCTTGCTGTGGGGTGGGAGTATAGTGCCTTTACACCCTTTATGAATGGGCTAGGGAATTTGTATTTTTGAAGCACTGCCTCCAGAAAAGGCCAATTAAGGCGATCGAAGGCCTTTTCTGCGTCCAGAGAGAGCAAGACTCCCTCCGTCCGGTTTCGTCTTAGGCTATGTATGAGGTCGATCACTTTCCTTGTGTTGTCTGATCCCTGTCTGCCTATGGTAAAGCCCATCTGGTCGTCATGTATCAGTGTAGGGAGAATGTGTTTCAGCCTATTCGCCTGTATTTTGGCGTAGATTTTTGCGTCTGTGTTAAGTAATGATATTGGCCTGAAGTTTTGGCTGCTTGTGGGTGGTTTTCCTGGTTTTGGCAGTGTTATAATGTGGGCTCCTAGCATATCCGCCGGGGCTTCTGCTTTGTGGGTGATGGCATTGAAGGTGTTTGTTAGGTGTGGTGCGAGGGTGGCGGCAAATTGTTTATAGTATGCATTGGTGAACCCATCTGGTCCCGGTGCTTTCCCATTTGGGAGGCTCGCTATTACCTGTAGTACTTCTTCCTCCGTGATAGGGGCTTGTAGGCCTTCCCTCTGGTCCTCATTGAGGCCCGGCAGTGAGACTCCCTCTAGATATCGTTCTATTTGTGTTTGTGATGGTTGGGGGGTGTTTGGGTCCTGTCTCAGGTTATACAGGGTTGTGTAGTAATCAGCGAACACGTCGCTGATGTCCTTGGGTGTTACCCTTTTTTCCCCTTCCGAGTTCAGTATGAATGGGATTTTTGTTTGTGCGTTCCTGTGTGACAGTCTCCTTGCTAACAGTTTGCTGGCTCTATTTCCCTGGGTGTAGTGTGCCTGGAGCTTCCGCATTGTGAATCCCAGTTTTACTAGGTCATGTTTTTTACCTTCGTCTATGACTAGTTTAATTTGTTCTAGAAGCTGTGGGGTTGGTGTTAATTGGTTCTGTTTATTTAGGTTGTGTAGGGTGGTCAGCCATTCTTTTCTTTTTGTTTGGGTTGCCTTTTTTACCGCACTCGCTTTCCCTATGAGAAGTCCCCTTACGACTGGTTTGTGGGCTTGCCACAGTGTCTCTGGCATGATATCTGGGGTTTGGTTCGTGGCAAAGTAGTGGGAGAGGTCGTCTTTTACTGTGTCACAGTATTGTCGGTCTGTTAGTAGAGATTCATTTAGTCTCCACGGGCTGCGGTGTTTGTAATCGTATGTGTCACATAGCTCTAGGGTTATTGGGGCATGGTCCGACCATGTTATGGTGCCTATCGAGCAGCTCATGATGCGATTGAGGTGGGCACCCTTTATATAGTACCCGTCGATTCGCGAGTATGTGTTATGCACCTGAGAGAGGAAGGTGTAGTCCCTCTCCCCAGGGTGTTGCAACCTCCATGCGTCATAGTAGTCGTGTTCTTTGAGCAAGCGTATTAGTGGCTTGCATGCCCTCTGGAGGGTAGCTGATCTGGGGGTGTTAGGCTGTACTGTGGTATCCCACTTGGGGTCCAATATATGGTTGAAATCACCACATAATATTGTAACGCCCCTCTGGACCGATTGCACTAGTGTGATTACTTTATGTAAGAAATTCCTCTGGTGCGTGTTGGGTGCGTATAGGTTGACTATCGTGTATTCTAGGTTATTGATTTCGCAGATCATGATAATATATCTTCCCTCTTTGTCTATGGATACGTATAGCGGTTTGAAGGACACATCCTTGCTGATGAGGATGGATACCCCTTTAGTTTTGGACTTGGAGGTGCTATGGAACTGTGCTGTGTATTGCGCCTGGGCCAGGGTTATTGTTTTTTTGAGGTGTGTTTCCTGCAGACACACCACATCAGGGCATTCTTTGCGCAGGTCTCTTATGAGGCAATATCTTTTTACCGGGGTATTTAAACCTTTTACATTATGGCAGTGTATCTTCATATTTTAATGGGTTGTGTTGGAGTTTCTTGCTTTTGGCCTTGGGGACTAGTGCATGTTGTACTACCCCTCCTTGGGTCCTGTGGTCTCCAGCTCGGAGGTTTACTACGTGGTTCCCAACCTGTCTGGTGGTGGGGGCTAGGGTGGGATGGTGTACAGGGAAAGAAACAGTCGTGCAATCCATATGCATGACCTTTGGGGTAAACAGTGCAACATAAAACAAAACATACAGTATCTCAGTATTACAATTGAACATTTCCCACTGAAGGGTGGGGCACCAGTTATGTGGTGCCAAGGGGGTGCGTGGTGTACCCTGAAGAATGGTGTGTGTGGTGTTGCCAGGTGAGCATGCTATGCCCATTACTCGCCGTCTCTTGGCCTGCGTGCGGTTTATGACTGAGTTGCGAAAGGTGAGATGAGTACGAGTTCCAGCTTGGCTGGAGCGTAGCGTCTAGACAAGGTTATATATAGGTCTTAGCTCCTATTGAGTTGTTGTGTGTGTTTTTTTTTTTTTTCATTAAAGGACCACTATAGTGCCAGGAAAATATACTCGTTTTCCTGGCACTATAGTGCCCTGAGGGTGCCCCCACCCTCAGGGACCCCCTCCCGCCCGGCTCTGGAAAGGGGTTAAAACTTACCTTTTTCCAGCGCTGGGCGGAGAGCGCCTCTCCTCCCTTCCGTTTCGCTTCGCCACAAGTTGAATTTTACGCTATGTAGCTGGCGCTGCTGCGATTTTGAAGCTGCCGTATGGCAGCATTTGGCAATGCTTCTTTATGGACGCTGCGTTCTCACTGTGAAATCACAGTGAGAAGCACGCAGCGCCCAGTGGCTGTCAATGAGACAGCACTAGAGGATTAGGGGGAAGGCTTAACCATTAATAAACATAGCAGTTTCTCTGAAACTGCTATGTTTATTAAAAAATGGGTTAACCCTAGCTGGACCTGGCACCCAGACCACTTCATTAAGCTGAAGTGGTCTGGGTGCCTAGAGTGGTCCTTTAAGTGTGCTGGGCATTGACATATGCCATGTTAATGGTGCGGCTGTATGTTATGTGGAGCTAGTAGGAAGTTGTGTATGTGCGTGTCTTGTGTGCCAAGTATACTTGCGACCCAGTGTCTTTCCGCTCCCTCTTGCGTCTCTGTCGTGTCCCATCTCTTGCTTTGATTCCCCTTTTCGGATCATTTTTTGGCCCTCTTCCACTCCGGAGACAGTCTGCGCTGATCTGCAGCAGTTACCCCTACTTGGGCTGGTTGGATGCCCCAGCTGCGCAGTAGTTTGTGGCCTTCCTCTGGCGTGTTGACCGTTGTCAGTGTGCCATTCCTCCTGATCAGCAGGCGAATCGGGTATCCCCACCGGTACTGGATGCTGTTGTTGCGTAGGGCCTCTGTGGTCGTTTTGAATTCTTTTCTTTTCTGTAGTGTAGTCGCTGACAGATCTGTGAAGATTTTTATGTGGGTGAATTTTTGTGGCAGATCTCTGCTCCCTCTCGTGGCCTGGAGAATTGCCTCTTTTACATGAAAGTAGTGGAGGTGGGTTAGCACATCCCTTGGTGTGTCTTGCGGCAGGAACGTTGGTTTTTGGACCCTGTGGTATCTGCCTAGGATCAGTACCTCCGCTGGCAATTCGGGAGTCAACGCTTTGAAGTACTCTATGAGGTAAGGATGTAGGTCTTGTTGTGTCACTTCCTCCGGTATGCCTCGAATTCTCAGATTTTGTCTCCGAGAACGGTCCTCCAGATCCATGATTTTTCTTTGTGACTGGTCCAGTTGCTGCTGCAGGCTATGCACTTGGTCTTCCAGCTCGTTATGAGCAGATGCCTTCTCCTCCACGCGCTGTTCTGTCCCCCAGCTCCTGCACATCTTTGCTAAGCTCCCTCAGGGTGCTTTGGATGGACGCCAGAATTTTGCTGGACATGTCCTCAAAGCAGTTCTGCAGGAAGTCTTGTGTTACCGGTAAGTTGTGGGAGACCAGGGGGGTCCGTAGCGGCAGTGTGTCGTTCCCGCCGTCGCCATCTTGGCCCTGGTCTAACAGGCCTGCAGCTTTCAGCGTCGATGCTCGGGCCATAAAGAACTCCGACCTGTTGTTTTTTTTCAGCCTGCTTTTTATGCTTTGGGTGGGACATTGTTGGGTGAGTCGAGGGTTTTACTTTTTCCCCGCAGGTAATGCTTTTTTCTTCGCTTATTGGGCTAGCTTGGAGCGGAGCTCAATCCAGTGCGACCATCCGCGTTGCTCGCTAAGCCACGCCCCATATTTTCACTTTTATAATGTCATTGTGTATTAATCACTAAACAAGGAACTGGAAATTGACATGGGAATTGCACAATCAGCTAAAACGGAGTAAAGATTCTCTATACTTTAACTCTGCATCCCCCTAAACTCCCATTAAAGTGAATAAACCTGTGTTTGCCAATGCATATGATTTTATTGAAATCCTTGTTTTACTTATGATATATGTAACCTTGGCAGGGGGGGAATGACAATACCACAAATCTTAACCAACACCTATGGACAGCGAATGTCCATAAAATTAACTTTTTTTTTATGAATGGGGAAGGAACGATTGGCTTAGAGCGTCAGCTGACTGGTTTAGTTAATTAGTGATGCCCCTGTCTGGCAGCACTCTGTACTACCTGAAACTCAATTTAAGAAGCCAGATGCCTCTGGGAAAAGGGAGATCTAGCACTGGAGAGCAACCTTTGGTGTTAAATTTATTCGGCTGGAAGATAGGAGCATCTTTTTTATATATATATATATATATATATATATATATATATATATATATATATATCTTTTTATACATATACTTATTATATTTATATAATTTTGTTTATTTCTGTTTGTAAATTGTTTACATATTAAATTTTTGTTTTAAATCGATACCTATCTTCCATTGTTGCTGCTTAAAGAAGGCTGGTAGCCTCCTTAAAGGCATAGATACCTACATACTGAGAGCCAGGTATAGGGCTCCTTATCAGGTGAGAAGCCAATATTTTATATTTATTCTTCATTATTGGGACTCATTGCACTAAGATTTCTCTTCTCCCCTGTGTTCCTCTTTTCATACAAAGGATCTATTGACGGGTAGAGAATCGATTTGGGTTTGGTGTCGCCAGAAGTACACATCTGCTGTTGTGATCTGAGCCTATCCGAGAGGGCTCAGTCATGTGAGTTAGTCTATATATAACATTCAATCACTGTGCTTGTCTCATTACGTTACTTGCACCATCTTTTTGTATTTATATTTGTTTTAGATACGCTGTCTCTGAAGTTTTCATATACATTTGTATATATACCCATATGGGTGAGTTTATTTCTATTATAATTTGAGCGCTCCACTTGTACACCAGGGGTGGTTTTCTGCCAATTCCTCACTGAGTGTTCACTTGATTTTTTTTATGCTTATGTATAGGGTGGAGAGTCCCTATTTATAGTGGTAGCTGCTATTCATATTTATTGTACATTATAATAAGCGCCTTGTCAACACACTATTCCTTTGTATTTTTGGTGTTAAATTGTTTGAGAATGGTCTAACTCCTCCAGTTGAGAAAATGCCAGGAAAGTGGTTATGGTTACCATACAGTTCCTTTAAACCCCTGATTCTCTAGAACCAGTAAAGATGTTGACTGAACATTTTTTTTTTGTAGGGGGTAGACAAGGTTGTAAAGGACCCCAAAACGTTTAATTCACCATATATTAACCCCTTAAGGACACATGACATGTGTGACATGTCATGATTCCCTTTTATTCCAGAAGTTTGGTCCTTAAGGGGTTAAAGGAACACTCCAGTGTTAGGAATACAATTTTCCTAATATGTATAGAGAGTGCCCCTCTATCTCAGACACTTCCCCAGTCATGAAAAAAAACAAAACCTTTGTTTCACTTACCTGATTCCAGTGAAGATCTGCCTCCTTCTCCCGTGACATCACGGTGATGGGGATATATAATGCACGTGTGTGGCGAGTGCCGTGGGCCCTTAATAACCTCCCCATAGGAAAGCACTGAATCAATGATTTCCTAAGGAATTTTGAAGACGCTAGACATCATCATGCAAAGCGTGAGGATCTCCAGCATCAATTCATGGAGGTAAACTATGTGAAACTGCAGGACGCACCTCTAGTGGCTTTGTGGTAGACAGCCACTAGAAGCAGTCTTAACCCTGCAATTTAAGCATTGCAGTTTCTCTAAAACAGTAATGTTTTACATTGCAGGGATAAGTGGTCAGGGTCACTGCAGATCACTTCAATGAGCTGAAGTTAAAAGTTATATCAGAGAGCTTATATATGTATATGTCCACTGTTAGACACATTGCCTATATATGTAGATAGTTTAATACTGTGGCTATTCTTCTTAAAAGTGGCAGTGCATCCATTATTACTGTAGGGGCATACCTCACAATTCTCAATTAGGTAAAAAAAAACAAAAAAAAAACAAAAAAAAAACAACCCTGGACCCGAAAAATTATTGGATTTGGTTAACACAAGTATACTCTACGTAGGTATGCTGATTGGCACAGAGGTGTTGATTGCTACACATATGCAGCAGGCCTCATTGTGTTCCTCTATGGAAAAATATTGGTGAGGATCATGATTGGATAATTTCAGGTGATATATGCCAGGGGAGGAGTATCGACTGCAGCAAGATCAGCCCAGCATGTGTAGAAGGTAAGTTAAACTTCTTTATTTAACTCTTAAGGGGGGGACTACATCTTAAAACCTAAGAAATACCATTAATGTTAGAAATACATGCTTTTATTTCTAACACTAGAGTGCTGCTTTAACAGCTGATATCCGTGACCTGTGGGGCTTTAGACCTTAATCATATACACTTTTGTTACTGAGAGATAGTTAAACACATAATCCCAAAAATCCAACAGGGTGATATGGCAAACAAAATCCCTACCAGGTGAAGAGAGCAATATGGGGTATGTCCAGAGGGGAACATTTATATGTGCAGATAAAAAGGTCAATAAAGATTAAAGCAGGGCTCAAAATGTTCACTCTTATTGATAGAAAATTTAGCCCTGACTAGTATAGAATCTATCTTTGAGGGTATACTATGGCTTTCAGTGGTGACCAACTGTTAAGGCTTGGCCAGTGGTATAGGACTACAAATTCTAAGCCCAGATAAAGGACGCCTAACCTTTCCTACAAATTAGCAAGGATGTTTAAACATTTACATATTATATTATGTAAAAACCTTAGAACAAAAAAAAAAAAAATTATAATTAGATACTGAAAGTTATCTTTCTTCAATCTGATCCTCTTCCCTTCCTCACTCCGGATCCATTCTTCTTTTATTTTGGTTTTGGTATTTTCCTCCTAAAGTAAATAAGGCAAAGTACTTTGTCTTTTTTTTCCCTCAGCGCTGTCAAGCTTTGTCACTTCTCCCAGCTGTTGCTATCATCGCTTGAGGGAAAAAAGCATTGTCTCTTTCATTGCAAGACAATATCTATGGAAGCTCCCACTAGACCCTCCATATACATCAGTACTGTGCTCTTATGCATGTGCAAGAGTACTGCGATGACATGGGTTCCTGGCAGATGAAAGCGCAGGAGTTAACAAAAAATAAATAAAAGATGATGGCAGAGGTCAGCATCAGGTAAGTATATCCTCTGCCCCCTGTGGACACAGCACTCTAAATGACATCACCATTGGGGGTCTTTGCAAAAAAATTACAAAAACCAGAAAGTGACAGACCTGCTCTAAAAAGACAATATCAAATATATAATGTCTATATAACAAAATCGATAAGTGAATCTGACAAGTGTTTTAAATCCAAAGGCCCAAGTGAGGATATAAACATGAATTATTGTAAATGAATAAAAACAAACTCTTCTAGGAGTAAAAACAGGAAGTAAAGTTGGTTGCAGGTGTTAAACATATTTTCCATGTGTGCAAAACATGTTACCAAATTAAAACTTTATAAAGTGAGTCTCCATGCACAATAGCACTATTTAAAAGCAAATGTATTTGTTTTTTTAATAAAAGTCACAAAACACAATATTTTACAATATGCAGTTATTTAAGGCAGTCTGTGTTTTAAACCCCACACCACCATCCCTTTGAACTTCTTCCTCCATTTACAGTTTCAGTAGAAAAAAAACACATAAAAAAATAAAAACAAAAAACACAGATACAATATTACCTAAAATTATCTTCAATTTATTCAGATTTTTTTCTCTCCAGTTAGTAAAAGAAAGATGTGTCTCTTTTTATACATATATACAAATTCAGATATAAAAATAGACAACACATTGTAAAGAGGAAAAAAAGCATTGCATTGTTTAGAATCCCGCAAAATAAATTTATGTACACACACTACAGAAAGGCTGCATTACTGTGTAAAATTGGAGGGCGGGGGGCAATTTAAATAAGGGGAATTTCTGCTGTGTTACAGGGACCCTGTGGAGAACATTGGTTAACAGTAACCAAAGGTTTATGGGTGAACTGGCTTCTTCCAGAGAATGCGGTGTCCTTTGTCTGCAGCAGTGATGGCTAACCATAGCACTTGAAATGTCTTGGGAATACAGAACCCATTAAAAGCTGGTTCAGACTCCTTGGATCTGCAGTCGCCAAACACTTAAGTACCAAAGATAGCAATAGCTGTTCTGCACAGAAGAACAAAGAACTGACGAAGTAGCTAGTATAACTGAAGAGGTAGGAGACTGCATCTCGGACTATCTGCAAACCAATGGACACAGCTAACATATTCATTTCAAGGATTGATAAATCTTGCTTCTAGAAGTCTATGCAGCAGGTGGGGGTCGGAGAAGAGTATGTTTAAATTACAATGAATGACTAAACAGAAGAAATAAAAGTTAACATGCTGGTTTTCCAGCATACATACATATATATTTATATATCTCGGCATGTCCCATGTGTCAACACTGCTTTGCTCTCCGGTACTCCATTTCTGGTAGTGCAGACAATAGTGCAAGCAACAGGAAGAGATTGTGAAATTGAAAAGGGGGGAGGGGCACTGCAGCCCAAGGCGGATTATTGCATCAAAAGTTCTACACGTGTGTTTTGCAGATGCTCAAGAACGAGCATTAAGTGGGTAAAAAAAGACAAGTACATCTTGGACACTTGTGTCCAAAGAATTAGATATTTCATAACTCATCTTTGTCAACATAATATCCCTTATTTGTGGAGGGATTGACATAAACTCCATTCTAAAAAAGAGATATACAGCAGAGAATTCAACAGCTTCCACAGTCATTGTGCTGTAGAATTTTGGGAGAGTTACGAGTCTTACATGTCAGAGTCTCCATATCAAATAAAAAATACGTCCCATTTGAACACAGGAGTACATATACCCAAATTATTACAGCCCTCCTGTTGTGCTGGCACCCTTGCTATGCCTTCTTGTTGGGGTTTCTGGATTTGAAATAATTGGATTGATCATTTTTGGAGTACCGGGAACACAATTTCCTTTGTTCAAGGGGCCGCTGACTGGTGAGGATGAGCTAAAATCAGCAATTCCAGATGGTCGTAACAGAGATGTCTGAAGTGGACTGGTAGATGAGAGACCTACAAGAACAAAATTATTATTATTAGTATCCATACGATAGCCAGGGATGAAGTACACCCCCATATCCAGGAAAATGTGGCAAGAAGGAAAGAAGAAAAGGTTTGAAGCTGGGCTAAACATGCAAATACAAGTAAAGGGTTAAAAATCATGTAGGGGATGGACAGAATGGAAGGTTACAAAAGATGGAGAACTTTGGAAGCTGTATGGTGAAAAGAGAGATAATCACTTGGATGGACAAAGAAACAATACATGGAAGGGTGAACTAGATGGAGTGAAATGACACTATAAAGATCTGGTGAGGGAGTTGGGGAAATTATGGAGAGTAGAGAATAAACAAAAAGGGAAGAAAAGGGTGAGGCAATATTTTTTACACTGGGATCCCTTGTGAACTTTCCCCCCCATACGCACCCTCGATTCTTTAAAAGGATTTGCTCAGAAATCTATTTCTTAAAGGGACACTCCAAGCACCATGACCATATCAGCTTATTTGAGGCGATATGATGATGATGGGAAGATATGGGTTCAGTCAATTTAGTTATTATCAAACTTTCTTTAAGTGGCTCAACAAAAAAACCTTCTGTGTTATAATAAGGAATTTTACTTCCTCGTGATTTGTCCAGAATATTTGTACATCATTTGTGGCCATGTTCTCCTAAATCCTAGTACTTACAGTTTCTCAATGCATGATACATATTTTGTGATAACAATGAAGTGAACACAAACTGGGGTCGACTTGGGATACTGGGTACTCCCTTGGTTTGCTTAAAACCAATTAAAACAGTTTGACAAAAAAAAAAAAAATAGAAGGGCTTCACTCATAGCCTTCTAGCACCAGAACTATTGCAATAGGCTGTTGTGGTTATTATGGTGATTGGAGTGTATCCTGAATATTTTATTACATTTTAATTCCATCATTTTTTTCTTTAGGCAAACTTCCATCATGAGGAAATGAGCCAATACTGGCACAGCTATTTGACTATGCATTATAAGAATTTGATTTAAAACTTTTTTTCCATCCCATATAACTGTATGTCCCACAGCAGCTCTTTAAAGGAACAGTGATTTATAATCCGAGATAGAATCAGAAGATTTGGGGTTTCCTGTTGTCTTGATGCCTTAGATTGAGAGTTGGTTAAAGCATTTTTAAAGTGTCAAAGTCAAAATAAAAATAAAAAAGTTAAGAAATAACAGTCACAGTTATCACTATTGACTCAACGTGTAAGCATCAAGCAGGAAAAATATAAACACTGGTACCTATCATCAATGACAAACAAAGGTCACTAAGAAACTTATGAAACAGTTACTGAAAACCAAACTCCTGAGAGAAAACCACTAACTATATTTATTACATTTCTAAACCTGAAAATAATAGCTTAATAACATGGCTATTCATGGCAAGGGGAAAAAAAAAATACTTTACCCTTAGACACATTGTATCCATATGCTGCTAAAGCTGCGGCGGAAGCTGCTGCAGCCCCAGCCATTGCTCCTGCTATCGCAGCTGCGCTGCCTGTCGTAGACTTGCGGTTCCGTGATTTGGCCCCTTTCGAGTTGCCACTCTTGGGCCGACCTTTGCTTCGATTTGAATTTGCACGCCCACTTCCCTGTGTCTCTTGGCCGGTAATTCCTGTTTAGCAAAACAAATCACCACAAATTGGTAACCCAACAATTCTTATAATTTACTTTTATTTGTTTATTCCCAAATTATATTTGCTTATTAAATAATGTTTTAAAACTCTGATAACGTTCTTCTACAGAGCCAAGTAATAAAAAAATAAACTTCTGAAACTGCATACATAATGAACATGTGACATGTAATCCTAAAGGTAGACTTCTAGCTGCTGCAGAACTACAGTTCCCATGATACCTTGCCATTGACAAAGCATTATGAAACTTGAGATTCTGTAAAGAGTCTAACTGTTGGCTACCCATCTATAAAAATAGTGAGTTCAAAATGGTGTACAGGAAAATGTTATAGCTAATTTTTATTTGAGCAAAATGCTCAGCCAGTAGTCTTTTGATGCAAGCTGGAAACATAAAAAAATATATGGAATCGCTAATCTGCAGCGCAATGTGTGTGGCGCTGTTTTGGCAGTTTTTATTGCATAAAATATATTTGCAATTAAAGGGACACTATAGTCAGAAGAACAACTACCTCTTATTGCATTTGTTCTGGTGAATATAATCAGTCCCTTCAGGCTTTTTAAAGTCATCACTGGTTTTCTCAGAGAAAATGTAGTGTTTACATTACAGCCTAGGGATACCTTCACTGGCCACTCCTCAGATGGCTACTAGAGGTGCTTCCTGGAGCAGTGCTGGACAGTGTGCAGCACTGACATTCAGTGTCTCCACCCTCTGTATGGAGACAACAAACTTTCCTTATAGAGATGCATTGATTCAATGCATCTCTATGAGGAGATGCTGATTGGCCAGGGCTGTGTTTGGCTTGTGCTGGCTCTGACCCTGATCTGCCTCATTGACAATTTCAGCCAATCCAATACTTTCCTGTGGGAAACGTGTGATTGGCTCAGAACCCCATATCTTATGATGTCAGCCAAGGAAGAAGATCGGGGCAAAGCCAGCAGCAGACTGAAATAAAGGTAAGATTTTATTATATTTTTACTGCCAAAAATACAATAGTATTCCTTTTATTTTGCTCTTTACACCTTTCTATTGCATGTTCATACTATCTGGCTTGCAAGTGGACATTCAGATAAGGACGTTTCAGCATCACTCACCATTGAGCGTGTCAGAGACAGAGCCGGAGATAGAAGCTGGGGAGTTGGTTCCCCTGGATTGCTGTGCTGACGAGGAAGGATCATCCACTATAACCAGCATGTCGTTACTGCTCTCATCTGGTGCTATTGACCCTGTGTGGAGTTCACTGCTAATAGATATCTGTTCATTGACAGCAATAAATGAAGATATAAGTGCATGAAGGAAAAATATTTTACTTGTATGTTTGCAACAGGTTAGCTTATTAAATACTGTAAATAGAATTAAGGGTTTTCTGTAACATGTTTACTTGACATAACTAACAGGATTTACGTTCCAAGTACAGTATTAGCCTCACAAGTGGTGGTCGTCCACAGAACTACTTCTCAACATCGCAACATCTCTTTAGATAATCATATTTTTTTGCCAATGATAAAAGAGTAAGCTAACGGCATACTTGTGTAATTCCATTATAAATGGTAAACACACCACACGGTGCATAATGTTTCTCCCCTTCTTCCACCACAGCACAGAGTGACTCATTGATGATGTCTTTTTGGATAAGCTGTTGTGAGCAACTGTGCATGTGAAGCTTACAATTTCTTACTAACACATTACTTAGAGAGTAGCCTAAAGGTAGAGAACTGGGCTTGTAATCTAAAAATTGTGTCTCCAATTCCATTACTGTGTGTCTTCTAAAAGCATCCCACAAAACCAACACCGTTTGTCAGTTGACAGTACGTTCCCCAGTTCTAAGCACTGTATCTACTGAAAATGTGTCCATCAGTTCCAGCAGTGTCTTCTAAAAGTGTGTGGCCCAATCGCATGTCTGCAGAAAAGGTGTTACTCATTTCCACTAATGCTTGCATTCTTAAAATGTGTGCCCCAATCACAGCACCGTGTCTGTCTGATGACACATGCGGTCAAACTATCCAGCTATGGACCCATTATTGTCTTGCAATTTATTAAGTCTTTTTGTGTTTGTTTATTTTTTTACAGGAATTATTTGTGCTGACAATTATGATTTCCTTTTACACAGGAATGGTAATATGCAAGCATCTGCCCAATGAGTAATAGATCATTTCCATTATGCTTTGTAAGAGTAACTGTCAGACATATGTCACCCACATTGCTTTGAATGTGCTGGTAATATAAATGGCACTCACAAAGTTAAACAAAATATTTATTTTTATTATGATAGATATTTTCAGATTTCATAGTCCAACAGACCAGGAAGTGTGGTTTACAGAGAGGTGGAGTCAAATGCTATGATTGAAGTCTGGTCACCACGCAGTCTTACCATACATACATGCTGATGAACCCCACCCTATGTAACAAGCACCACAGCCGTTTGTGGGGAGGAGGATGGTACTCACCTCACTGAAGGGACTTGGCATTGCAGAGTCCACACTGATAAAAGAGTCATCGCCATCAGCAGACAAGTTGGAGTTATCAGCAGATGGGAGAAAAGGAATCACCAAGTTAACGCCTTCTCTCTTCCTCTTGCCATCTACCTCATCCTCTTTCTTCTTTTGCTAAAAACGAGAACAGAACTCAAAAAGGTTTATAATACGCTTAATAAATTATAAGACTATTTAGAATAACAAGCTTCAAAAGGGAGGTTTTGAGAAAAGTTAAAAAGCTCACGGAGTGAATCAACTGTTAGGTAGAACAATTACAGTAAACAATGTCAATATAGCCCTTCTTTCTACTCATATATGTATATTCTCTACATATGTGTATACATCTATGTGTAGATAGATATAGTACTGCAGGTACTCAGGTATTCTATTTATCCAAGGCCCACTTTGACAGCAATAGTATAGTATCACCTTTTCAGCATATTTCTCCCTCTTCCTTTTTCGCTCTTTTACTCTGTTTGTCTCCTCCAGCTGCCGTTTTTCCTCTTGTCGCTGCCGTACTACAATAAGGAGAAGAGAAAAAAATGGTTTGCACAAGAAATAGTATAAGTACAATATATTGCGTAGTTATATTGCTCAAAACACATTTCAGGTGGGCATTAAAATGTATCAATGTGTAGCAGTATTTTTTAAAAAGTACACTTATTTAAAACATACTGCAAATCGGTACACTGAGCGTTCTGCCCGGTTATCCCTTACACTGGGTGAAATATTAGCAATAGGACTGGAATGCAGCAAATGTACTTTGAGACATATTGGTATTTGTGCAGTAAGTGAGGATAGACTGGTATTTCCTGTTTCTCTACTCCAGACAGAAGGATTGACTGTTGCAGAGGTGGAGAAATTAATTTCTCAGCAAGGTGAAGATCAGTGCAGGAGCAGAGCTTATTGTGCTACATGCAAAAGGAAGCGGATTTTCATGTATACACAAGGCTGGCATGGTGGTGTGCACAAATACAAGTATTTAAAACTTGCTGCTGATTGCAATTTGGTGCACAAATCGCAGTGCCTTGCCTCCACCCCACCTAGTAATTAAGTAATGTATGCATACACAATTTTCACGTATTGTTTTTTCTTACCTTGCAGTATTACAAACACTGTGTCACATATTAGCTTTAGGAATGGAATGCAGCAAATTAATTTAACAGTATATATTAAAAAGTACACTCATTTAAAACTAACTGCAAATTGGTACACTGATCACTCTGTCTGGTTATCCCTTGCATTGCAGGTCTACAAACAGCGTGTGAAATATTAGCATTACGAATGAAATGCAGCAAATGTTCTTTGAGTCACATTGGTATTGTGCCGTAAGGGAGGATAGGCGGTATTTCCTGTTTCTCTACTCCAGAAAGAAGGACTGACTGATGCACAGGTGGAGAAATTAATTTCTCAGCAAGGTGAAGATTAGTGCTGGAGCAGAGAGCAGAGTAAGCAGTACTTATTGTTGCTATTATTGTGCTAAATGCAAAAGGAAGCCAATTTTCACGTCTACACGGGATTGGGAGTGAGGTTTTCATAAATACGACATAAAATAAAACAATGATATTGTGGTGTGGATAGGTGTTAAACATACATTTCTTTTCTAGCTCCTCGTCATCGAGCAGCAGGCTGACCACCTCCTTTGGTTTAAGAGTATCTGGTTTAAAATTCCCACCTGATATAACAACCCGTTGGATCTGCAAAAAAAAACATTGCGGCAATTTTTAACAAATATATTAACTGACCATTACAAATCTTGGTTATGAAAGATCTACAAGAAAGAAGAAAGTACACCAAAAACATTTGGACTATAATGACACAGCACAACAGAATTCAACACTTCCAAGTCCCTCAGTCAGTCTACGAATTTGTTCATTGTCTATTCAGTCACTTTTTCAGTACCTCACTCTTCTCTTTTGCCCTCTGCAGTATACGTTCCTCTATGGTGCCTTTACAGATAAGTCTATATACAGTAACTTGTTTGGTTTGGCCCAGTCGATGAGCTCTGTCCATAGCTTGCTGATCTACAGTGGGGTTCCAGTCACTGTCATAGAAGATAACCTAAACAAAAAAGGTTAGCAAAGGCAAAATTAAGTTATGCTTCTCAAGTACAAATAGTTCATGCCTTTTCATGCAGCTATATCACTTAATGGCTAATTCCCTAATCCCAGAATTGTAGTGATTGAAAACACAATTGCAATTTTTGGGCTAAAATTTATGATTATAGCGGAGATGAAGATTTATATCTTTTTTCAAATCATATATTTTGCCCTAAATCTTGCAATTTGATTTTAAATTAATAGAATGTGGTATTTTTTTTAAATAAATCTCAAGGATAGAGCCACGCAAATTTATCTTATTTGAAAACAGCAAGAAGAATGCTTAAAATGTATTAAAAAAAACACACAAAAAATAAGGCTTGGCTACATAAATGTGGATATTTTTAAAATAGTGTAAGTTAAAGTGTTTTTACATATTTTAATACAGCAGACATTTTCAGCACAGTTAGAAATGTTATATAAAAATCTCTGAAGACTAAATGCTAGTCGGTTATATGTCAATGGTAGCCAAGCTTTGGCACTCCTGCTGTTGTGGCCTATATTTCCATTGACCCTCAGTCAGCAAGTCGTTCAGATGGTTAAGAATCAAGATGGAAAAACAAATAAGGGCAAAGGATTATCAGTCACTTTAGGGAAAACACAAATATTCAATAATTTAGAACTGTGGTCATGTGAAGACCAAAAAATGAGTACCCTGCTGTTTTAGTTTATTTCCAGTAGAGCAACAGGCACAACATATACATCCAAGCGCCTAGCCATCTGCTTGCAATGAATTGTTCAGTGTATGAACACTGCCTAATGCAATGGTAGCCTGCTTTGATAGAAAGAATCTAATTTTAATTAAGATGTTTGGGGGAGGAGGGTGGGTGTGGGGGGGGGGATACTTTAATGTAAATTATTATTTTTTATATTATTTTTTTATACAATACATGCATACAATGAGTTAGAAAATGGCATCACTTCCTGTCTATCGTGTCCCTTTACATTAAGCTTCAAACTTATACTCACTGTATCCGCAGCAGTAAGGTTAATACCCAATCCTCCGGCTCTGGTGCTAAGCAGAAATACAAAAATGTCCGTTCTAAAGAGAAAGCAGAAAATACAGTGAGAGGCTAGCTTAAATACTTATTGCATTTTATAATTAAAAAAAATAGACTGATAGAAAATGGACACTGTCGGCACAGTGTCTGTTTCCTCTCATTAAACTGGTTACAATGGCTGAAATCCCCTGGTGCCATAATTTCATTCAGCATTAAACAGCTTTTAATCTTTTTATGTCTTAATGCTAAATGAGAGTCCCCAGCAGTCCATCCCTGCTGTGCTGCTTTGGCTAATAAAAAACATTAACCTGAACAGCAATGGTCAGATGTTATTGGTTGAGAGTGTCAGCTGACTGATTCTATCTTATCAGAGGTCCAACTGACAGTATGAAGGTTATGACTACAGGGAAGTATGTGGTCTCTGGTATAGCTACACCTCCAGAAGGGGCTGGAATTTGGAAGGCCAGGGAACATTATTTAGTGTTAAACTGCTCTAAAATGGTTTAACACTAAATGGAGGGACAGTGTCAGGGACTTCAGGCACTAAAACCAATTCAAAGAGATGATATGGTTATTGGGACTAGGGTCCCTTAAAATTTTTACATTTTACTCTTTATAGAAAAGCCTACTAGCACATTGTTTATTTTATTCTAAAGAAAAAGAATAAGCAAGAGACACGTACCTGGTCTGGAAGTCGGCCACCATGTCTCGCCGCTCGGAAATCTTGGATGAGCCATCTAGTCGCATGTAGGTGTGCTTCCTGTAAACCATGTATTCCTGTAAAGCAGACCAGCAGACTTCAGAATTAGTAGGCTACTTGCCTGATAAACATGGACCTGCGTTTATGTATAACCAGTGCCCTTTTTGTTTACATTATGTTTTCTCCTTTGATACACAATTTCCTTTGATACCAGTGCCCTTTTTGTTCATATTATGTTTTCTCATTTGATGCACATTTTGCCAATCACTGTATTTTTATCTCTTCTCAGTTGTTTCTCAAATAAATATTATTCAATGCTAATATACACAAGGTCATATCAGTTTTATTTTAGTTTAGTTCTGTGTATGAATACAGCTGGATACATCTCAGGTCATAATAATGATGAAACCACATCTCAATCCTCACTTATAATTTTATTTTAAATTCTAGTGGACAGAGCACGGTTTTGTACTCTGTTGTTCTCCACCTTTCCTAGAACAAGAATTGAATATACAGTTACATAGCTGAAAAGAGACTTGCGTCCATCAAGTTGAGCCTTCCTCACATATGTTTTTGCTCTTGATCCAAAAGAAGGCAAAAAACCCAGTCTGAGGCGCTTCCAATTTTGCCACAAACTAGGAAAAAATTCCTTATTGACCCCAAAATAGCAGTCAGATGTCTCCTTGGATCGAGCAGTTATTACCCCACTAATTAGAAATTATATCCCTGTATGTTATGTTTTTGCAAGTATTTACCAAATTGCTGTTTAAACATCTGTATGGACTCTGATAAAATCACCTCTTCAGGCAGAGAATTCCATATCCTTATAGTTCTTACTGTAGAAAAACCTTTCCTTTGCCTTAGATGAAATCTCCTTTCTTCCAGCCTAAATGCACAACCTTGTGTCCTATGTAAAGTCTGGTTTATGAATAGATTTCCAGATAATGGTTTGTATTGGCCCCAAATATATTTGTATAATGTTATCATATCCCCTCTGAGGCGCTATTTTTACCAAACTAAAGAAATTTAAATGTTTTAACCTTTCTTCGTAACTAAAGTGCTCCATTCCTTTTTAATCAATTTTGTAGCTTGTCTCTGCACTTTTTCTAGTGCCATGACATCCTTCTTTAAAACAGGTGCCCAAAATTGCACAGCATATTCAACGAGTGATATTACCAGCAATTTATAAAGAGGCAAAATTATATTTTCATCCCTAGAATATGATGGCACTTAATATAAATAAACAGCAACTAAAAGTGAACAAGCAGAATTTTGAAATGAAAATATTTTGCCCACACTTGCATAACATCCAGGGCCTGATTGTACAAGTAATTGAACACCATGTGGCTGCATGAAGTATGCCCTCCAATTACTTGCAGGCTCTCTCATAGATTTCTGTTGCTTGATGCTTGCCTATGAACTGAAGTCAACTACATACCCCTAAACTTTAGCTGAAATATAAATAGAGGGGCAAGATGTTGTGAGAGTTCTCAGCTTCTTACTGCCCCTATGGAAAATATGCAGATTTGCAGAAAATATGGAATAAACATTATTTATACCCCCTGGCCCCCTCTCTCCTCTCCCCATAAAAAGCCCTCTGTCAGGGACAACTCCAGTTATTACCTCCAACAAATCAATCATTCGGGTCATCTGTGAATAAATAAGCACCCTGTGTCCTTGTGATTTCAATCGGGTCAGCAGCATATCCAAGGCATACAATTTTCCGCTATCAGTGATCAGGCTCTCTTTATCTGTAAAGAACAAAGGTGTCTTACTTAAAACAGGTTTAAGATGCCTAGTTTAAAGTATCTTACGAGCTACTAATGTAAAAAAAAAAAAAATACAGTAATAATTACTTCAAGAAGATAATAATACATAATTGCTTTAAACACTGCCTTAAGATTACTAAACGCATCCACAACACAAAATGTTCCTATTTCAAAGAATCTGAGACTTCATTTTGTACAAATTTACCTTCTGGAACACAAAGATTAATTGGCTGGAATGTGCCACCCTCCGCACGCACCCGGCCAAAATTATTCAATAATTATGTTGTTTGTATTTTACTCAGGGATTCCAGCCTTACATGAAGGTTACTATAGATGTACGACAAGTCAAATGTCAAAATCATAACCTTTATATTGCCCAACTGCCTGTCAATGGCTAAATTATATTGCTGAAGTGTCCCTCATAAACAGGCACAATACCTTTATAGTGCCCATTTTCTCTTGACCCGCTCTTTTAATCCTAATCTCTCCTCTTTCATACGTGGTACAAATTGCTGTTGTGTATCTATGCTCACAGCACTCTGTCTTTAAAGAAACACTCGGAATACTCCCAGCACCATAGCCTCCACAGCTCAAATGTAGTATCTATGGTACCAGGGGTGGGGTGGCACTCCCCCATTTTAAGGAACTAAACTGTTTTCGAATGGGTTTACTTCTCATCTAGGGTCTGCCAGGGGTGCTTCTCCCCGCCTCCACCACCATGTTTTTATTTACATTGTTTTTCCAGCACCGAGACTCACTCGGTTCTGCCATCCTGCAGACCTCTTTTACTTGGCTTCTCATCCAATCCAACGCTTTTCATAGAGAAGTGTTTTGGATGATGAGTAAATGCGTGGCAAGTGCCAAGCTCACATGCTACTCATAGTGAATCACTGAATCCAATGCATCCCTAAAATCAACATTTAATGGTGTTTGACAATGAACGTCACATAACCGAGTCAAACTTGGTCATTGCCACAGAAGCACTCTCTAGTGGCTGTCAGGAAAACAGTCACTAGAGGTATGTTTAGGCCTGCAATCAAAACATTGCTGTATCTACTAAACGGCAATGTTTCAGATTGCAGGACTAAAAAGACTGGGGCACTGCATCTTTAAATATGTAGTTATCAGTAAGTTAAATGTGTTACAAAAGCATCTTTTTTTTTTTGAGGTGGTGTAGTGGAGGCAAGCGTTATTCACTCAACCTGACAAATCATACAGTCAAAACCTGTAAAAAGAAGTTGCAAGTCACATGGGCAAATTTTTCCATCTACAATCAAAGTGCTCTAACTTTCCAAGAGACTTTGGTAAATTTTGGGTGCAATTTCTTAAAACTTTAGCATTTTTTTCTCATTTGTTCACCAAACCTTTTTTTGAATTGTTCTGCCTCTTTTTGCAACACCATTTTCCCTCACTATAAATATGGCACACTTCGTAAGAGGACATTTCTACACAAATTTGCAGAATTTACGATAAAGAAAGACATCACTTTTTCGATCAATTAGATATGATCAAAATAATGACAGTAATAAATTAACTTTTTATAAAACTTTGAGTAGTATGACCCAATCGTTCTGCTCTTTATCTATGTTTGTCCTAAATGTAAAGGGACACTATAAGCATCCAGACAACTTCAGCCCATTGAAGTGATCTGGTTGCAATATAAAACATTGCAGGTTTAGATATACTGCAATATTTACACTGTAGGACTAAGACAGCCTCTAGTTGTTGTCAATCAGACAGCCACTAGAAGCTCTTCCTGCTTGCCTTACTGATGCTGGATGTCCTCACACTCTGCATGAGGACATCCAGCGTCCGTAAAATCCCCATAGGAATCTATTGCAGCAATGCTTTCCTATGGGGAGGGCCTAATGTGCTTGCAGATAAGTCATTTTTAGGGTTTTATGCAGCAGGGTTATAATAAAATGCATTTAAGGAACACGATAGCATTAGAAAGACAAACATGTATTCCTATCACTAGAGTTTTAATCTATCTATATTAGTGTCCCGCCCAATGTTTCTTCACCTTTCTGGACTCGTCGCGCTGGTCTCTGTAAAGAAGCTTTTTGGCTGAGAATATACGAGTAGAAGGCTTCAGGTTTTCTGCCTCTCTGAGAGACCATATGATTGAAATAGCCAAATTTCACGTGGTTAGTTCTGCTGAAGCGGCCTCTTGTGGTTGTCAGGCATTTAAACCTTGCAATGTAAACATTGCCGCTTCTGCAGAACGCCAATGTTTTGAGATACAGGGTTTAAACTTCAGGAGCAAGGCACCCAGTCCACTTTATTGAGATGGCCTGGGTATCTATAATGTTTCTTTAAGGAAATGTTAACTGCCAATAGAACTACCAAACACCTATAATTAGTACTCCCCTCCCCCCCAATGATTACTTTGCCATAGTCAGTCTATGAAAGTACTCTACATCTGACATCTGGGGTAATAGCCTGACGATTAGCTGCGCCAATGTCTTAGCTGTTCAGCAAAATAGAAACAGGACAGATACTGAGGATAGCCTTGCAGCTTATTTCAGGAAAGTGAGCATCCTGTTTGCAGCTTTTGTTCATAAACAAATCCAAAAACAATGAAATGCTAGATCTGATAGTAGCTTAACCCTTTCTGCAGTGGAAGGATTTTGCAATTCATTAAGCTGCCGTTTACAGGCAGCGAGAATGTCGTCAAATTGTGTAAAAATATTATGAACTGGGGAGCTCAATGCTTATGCATTTTATAAGCAGACCTCATCATATATAATACTGTAAAGTAATTACAAAAATAATGTAACTGTTACTTGAATACACTTGCAAAACTACAAAATAAACAAGTCACTAGATTTCATTTAAGTTTCAACACTCTCTAAAATTTATTTCTAGAATAACCCTAAATTCTGAATACAGAATTTAATTTCCAATCTATGAGCACCCCCTAGTGGTGTATTTGAGGAAAACACACAGGTCATCCAATTCCTGGTGGGAACATAGAACATGCTTGCTCACAACAGGAAATCAGGCCAGCTTGTTTAAAAACATGTTGCCGGAAGCCTTTCCTTGGCCTCTTCCTACTTGAGGACTTGTTTTCCCCAAACAATTTTCAAGGAAGATTTAAGGCTGGGCCCCCTTTATACTTCTGTGTAAAAAAAGGAAAGGTTAGGCAAGATACATGCGATTCACAATACCCTGCTTGTAAAAAGGTTGCGCAATAAATTGAGAACTGCTGACTTTCTGTGTGTGATCGCAAGCACAAGGGGAAATTTAACCGAAACATCCCCTTTTTCATGAAAACACATAACGCACTGTTGTAGTCCTAGCTAATCAGAACAGCAGATGCTAAATGATAAAAATAGAAATAACCTAGCTGTTACATGAAACACTGCTGATATGAAGATGATTAGGTTTATGTATGGGTGCATTTAATGAGAATGGTGAAATTATGGTAGAAAAAAAATGGATCGTAAAAATGTCAAAATCGTTTTTGTAATGCAAATAACAGGTTGAAGGAAAGGAAAGTTATAAAGAGGTTAACAGATAGTGTGATTGGCAGTATACACAAAGTGAATTCAAATTTAACAATGCAGACTTGAAAGATGTTTCACGATTTGAATTGAATATTGCCTAAAATTGTAAATTTACTTAGAAATTTCCAACAAGTCACACTTCAGTGAGTAAACCCGTCTACTTCACTACTACTGCCCGAAAAATTAAGCAGTTTTGCAAGTCCAATAGCACAGTCATTAATTTTGCCGTAAACATTGAAAGATAAATTTAAATAGGCAATCAGTGTGAGCTGGTTTGGTTGGGGAAACACATTTTATTTTTGAGCTTATGGTTTGGTGAAAACAAATGTTTTGTCATGTTAAAGAGGCACTAAAGGGTAGAAATGAAAGTATTGAGTCACGCATGATTTCTCCTGATTGTGGTTTTGCTAGTAAGTCTTGTGAGGTTACACACAATGGGTTTTCTTAATCCCTCCTCCCCCCAAAAAAATACTTAGAAATGTGTTGCTTTTTTAAGACAAACGTAACTAATGGAAGTAAACTAAACAATGTATTTATTTTGCAATCTTATTTTTTTTTTTCATTTTTCTTTCTTAATTCTACAGTACGCTAGGATGGAGTGGATGCTCCGGTCATATTTAAAAATGGTAAATTAGGGCTTGTTTTTCAGTTGAAAGGGTTCTTAGAATAAGTTCTAGAATTCTAGCAGATCAGGAAACCATGTGGAGACTGCGGCATCTCCCCCGAAAATGAGCATTGGTACATTCCGAAATAGGTAGATCCTGAGTCCCAGGATATATATATTAAGGGCCCAGGATTTAATTTTCGTATAAGGTGCATAGTTAAAAAAGTATTTAAATGCACACCTGCTTCCGTCAATAAAATCTCTTCTGAAAACCAATTCTTATGGAACCGATGTCAGTCTATAGAATCATAACATCTGGTCTTTAAAGGGGGACTCTCAGCACCATAAGAAGCAAGTACTGTGCACAAAATGTCAGGTGTGAGAATGGCTTATAAGTGTAGGAGTTTGAAAAAAATCGATGCAGCTTTAACTTCGACCCTCAGAGCTGTCATGCAGCCAGAAATAGATCCTCCAGGTTGCCTGCTGTCAGTTCTGTTGGATATGTTGTGAATTGATTTTTCTCCTCTCCCCGGACAGAGAGCTAATTTGCAGCTATGAATGTGTGTGCGCAAACACCACGTCGCTTATTCTTTCCATACAGAGTTGTAAGTGCACTATGGGGGATAAAGAAATATACAAATGCGTTTGCTGTGCCAAGTAACAGCAGCACTGTCCCGAATTCAGGGTCTTGTCGCCTCACATCTAGGGGCACAGAGTAAGAGTCCTCAATCAGCGCACCACCAACAAATCATCAACAGATGAACTTACGCTGTGCCGAGTTGCTACCCCTCCCGCATCCATACTTCCCATTGCTGGTTTGAACTGTGCCAAAAGTGACAGTTCCACCTTAAAAGGTTAGGATTCCTATTCAACAACAGACAGTGAACTCTAGTGAATGGAACACTAAATTATAGCACTGAGGCTAAGATAGCCAACCTGGGAGAATTTTTCCATAACAACTAGTTTTGCTTAGATTTTGCAGTTTGCTTTTTAGTTAGAGACTGGTGTTTAATGAATTTATCCATACATACAAACAGGACAAATAAATGTTTACATAAAATATAAACTAAAGCATTCGATAAAAGAAATACAATTACGTAACCACTTCTAGTTGTTTGAATTCCAGTAAATGTGTGTATGAAAGAAGGACTTGCATGCATTACAAAGCTGACAATGTATAAAAAAAAAAATATATATATATATAAAATAAAAAAATGAGGTCATGACCTGGAAATAAGAAGAAAGCCAAGAAACTCTATGCGATGTGCTTTAAGACAGATAACCTGAAGTCTCTTGAGGGTATCCCATCATTCCCCCTTAGACGGCAAGAAACAATAGGGTCATACGAAGGGCCTTGTCTCGTTCTCACAATCAGCGGTCGTGAAGGTTCGTTCTAGCAACACAGCCACTTCCTGCCATTTAAACCTCAGCCATTTTTTCTCAAAAGGACAGGAAAGGACTGGAGATTCCCACAGTTACTATGAGGACTACAACTCTCTGACAGAAGAGAAAGGGGCATATAATTCAAAGAGCATGAGAAGTAGCTGACAGATTCATAAATTAAATGCGCAAGGCAGACATCTCAGCATGAGTAAAATTATATAAATATCCCACTGTCCTGCTCCTGTGATCAGAGTACAGTCACATCTACAAAGAGGCCTCTACTGTGTAACAGGTTTCTGAAATGAGCACAAGGAACTATATCAGTAGTTGAGTAAAATATAAACACACCAATTATGAGTCAACCAATGTATAAAATTAACCTGGAATGGATCGGCACTACCTTACAATTTTCCCTTGAAATAAATATTACTTTGGACATAAGTGCTTATGGGACTGGATTTAGACAGCCGTATGCATTTTAACTTAAGAAACACAGCACAATGAGTTAAAACAATCCATATCAACATATAAAAATATAAAGCAGACAAAAGACTGTGATCAATTTACCCCTTGATGCAAGTAACACATTGATGCACTGGCATTATAATGCAAATGTTATGATTTATGAGTCACATCATGTCTGCTATTTTATAATTTCTCTATACATAGCACTGTAATTTTTTTACTTTGGCCTTCTTCCTCCCCCTACACCCCCCTATTGAAGTGGCTTACCCCCTAACTTCCACCTTATAGTTTTTAAATAGTCTGATAAAGCTGTGTATACACACACTGATTTACTCTAATGTACAACACATACTATGGTTTCCATGTTCTATTAAACATGATGCCTGTATCTTTAGATGCCCATTTATTTGTAACATAAATCCAGCTGATCTACATGCACATTTTCCCCCCCAACATATGTGCCTGCCTGAGACCAACTGCAAATATTTCAGCTATTTATCAAACACAATTTAATACTCCACCAATACTTTTCTCTATTTCGTTGTTGGAAAAGGCATATTACAGGATCTCCTGATATTAATGAATATCAGGACATGGTCATAAGATGTTCCTTCACTGGTATTCATTCACAGACTCCCTGTTTTTTGTTTTATTCTTAATTGTTTCACCAAACGATATCAGTCTTTACTCTGTGGTCAGGAAACCAGGCCATTTAAGTGGGTCGCCATGAATTGGAGCATCATGTCTAAAGACATGTCGCACAACAAATGGCTTATTACGGTTGCACTGCCTTTTCCAAAGTGATGGAGGCCTTCTTGCACATTGGAAAAAGCCTAATGGAGGTGTTTCGCTTACTTTTTGTTTACTATATTTAGATCAGAAAAGAAGAATGACTCACTAAGCTAATGTTGCAATGTAAGTACTGGCCGACAAGTCTATGCCAGGAATATGATTTGGGTCCCTATCATGGATTGTTAAATTAACGTTTCCGTCCTTATAACAACTTCAGCTCATTAAAGTTATGGGGCAGGAGTGTTAAAACCAGTATAAAAAGGCTCAGCCCTGAAACTGAGGGTCCAATGTCTGACACTGCAGTCTCCTGGTTCCATCCTCTCTGCTTCTGAAAAGGTAGGTAAACCAATGATAGGCTGAGAGATTCAGATGAGAAATTTGCAGCTAGATTATTGAAACAAATAACAGTTACATCTAAGAAAGCATTTGAGGACCTTGTGGGGAACAAGCATATGGTCCCACTCCAATCTCTGGATTTTGCAATCATTCAATACATAAATAAACCAAGCAACTTACTTACGGCAAACCGGTTATTTTTGAAAACGGTATAATCAACAGGTTTCAAATATACAACATTTAATTCAAGCTCTTATTTCAAAACATATTATATATTTAAAGGCTTACTGGATTCACAAATGAGAAATTTCACAAATAGAGAAATTACAAGTTACAGGGCTGCCATAATGTAAATGAAAAATTAATCCATCCTGCCGCAATCAAAATGAGAATTTTTATCTGCTGTCAGTCATAGCTAAAAATCAATATCGCAAAATGAAACTTTTAAACCCTGCAGAGAAATAAAATGATGAATGGCTTCATTAAATATTCACATCATATTTTAATAAAATGATGGCCATGAACACAATTTTCCGGAATTTTATTGCTTTTGGCCTAAACAATTAGCTGTATTTTTGCATGCTGAATTTGACAGAACCTTTGCAAGTACAGTAAAACATCCAAAATACAGAAAAACAAACTATTAAGATCTGAAGGTGTTTGGATGAATATGGGCGCTGGTGTTTAGAAGTATCATGTTTTTGATGGAGATAAATAGACAATTGCCAGGGGAGATTACAATGTCTAATGCATTTTGTGGACTTCTGGAAAAAGCACCCCTGTGTCGTAAAACAAGGAGGAGGTCAATGAATGGTCTTGTGCTCTAATTGGTATTTTCACCACCTACAATCCACCGGAGTGATTGATTGAAATGGTACTTATATTGATGTCCATGTTGCATGATGAAGTACTTCCTTTTCTGCCACATTGCTGTAAATTTCTGATATTTTGTGTGTTCCATATAATTTGTTTTTATTGCACTAGAATGTGCATTTTTGTCTTGCTGATTAAAGAGACCTAGCCTTTAATACATTTCTCTGGACAGCTGCAGGTAGCGAGGTCTCAGTATAAATCACTTTTTTGGTCTCCGATCTCTCAGATAATATATATATATATTTATTAATAACTGATCTCCAGAATAATAAAAATGCAATGTGCTTGTGGTGGTATTTAAGTCACCGATATTACAAAAGAGGTTTGGTTTAGTATTATCACAGTGTTCACCAGTGTTTGTGAGCAGTTAGAACTATCTCTGATATCTACCGGACCTATAAGTTAAAGTTTACCTAGCTTAGAAATTGCCCTTCTAATTTTTACATATATTCATAGATTTGAGTATAGGTATTGTTCTCTCTTCTACCACCTACCTGGGATCCTTACAAAAGACCAGCCTTGATGAGGTCTAACTGCCACCAATCCCCCCGGATTTCCAGGGAAGAACTCCAAATGCCTCTTGGACCAATCTGAATAAAGTTCTGGTGCTCCAAACATGACACACTGCCAGGCAGCTTGGCACCCTCCCTTTCTGAGGGCCTGACGTTCATATTCAGCACTCCTGTCATTGCAGTAAGTGTCTATGGGGGGCGCAGTGACCTGATGACAGGAATGAAAAAAAGAAAATTAAAGCACCATAATAATTATATAAAGCTTCAACATATTCTGCAGCTCTTTACAATAAATATTTCACTGGAAACCTGTAACAGCAAGTAGCTGACAAACAAAATTACATTGACAAAAGTAAGAGATGCAGAGGCCATGTTCAACGCTTAAATTTGCAGGACTGCATGGATGTGCAAAATATGCAATATCACATATTCACATTTTTAACAAGTGGTGATAAGTCCAGGTTTATTTCCACTGAATTTATGACATTACAAAGCAGCGAATGCTTAAAGGACCACTATAGTGCCAGGAAAACATACTCGTTTTCCTGGCACTATAGTGCCCTGAGGGTGCCCCCACCCTCAGGGTCCCCCTCCCGCCTGGCTCTGGAAGGGGGAAAGGGGTAAAAACTTACCTTTTTCCAGCGCTGGGCGGAGAGCTCTCCTCCTCCTCCTCCTCCGTTACGCCCCGCCGGCTGAATGCGCACGCGCGGCAAGAGCTGCGCGCGCATTCAGCCGGTCTCATAGGAAAGCATTTACAATGCTTTCCAATGGACGCTGGCGTGCTCTCACTGTGAAAATCACAGTGAGAAGCACGCAAGCGCCTCTAGTGGCTGTCAATGAGACAGCCACTAGAGGATTAGGGGGAAGGCTTAACCCATTCATAAACATAGCAGTTTCTCTGAAACTGCTATGTTTATGAAAAAATGGGTTAACCCTAGAAGGACCTGGCACCCAGACCACTTCATTAAGCTGAAGTGGTCTGGGTGCCTAGAGTGGTCCTTTAAGCACCAGCAGTCAGCATACATGTAAAATTACTTTTTCTTCTGTCTTGCATTTAGCATTTTATCACATGTTCAAAGTAGATAAAGATGTCTGTTTCTATGTTATGGTTATAGTTCGCTTATTTAAGAGGTCAACTCATGAGAACCAGTAAGTGGGGCTTGTTGCTGGGAGCAGAGCTACACTTTTCAATTTTCTGTTAAACGTGGGTTTATCCTAGTGGCTCTCAAAGCATCCAGGTTTTGAGAGTATTTGCCAATGAACAAAACTGATATATGCCTATATCCTTCACTGTTGTTGTGCCCCAAGGACTGGGTTGGTAACCACTGATTTACACAATAGAAAGACCCCCATAGACCAGTATTAGTCTTTTGACTGGTGGAGCCTGTTGCTGGTCTGGAAGAGCTTTTTGCTTCTTTTTTTTATTTATTTTTTTAACATATTTTAATGTAGATACATCAACACTCACACATAGAAGATTGTGGGCACTTGTAGCATGCACTCTTTAAAACCATAAGTGATAGACACATATAATGATTATGGCTTTACCATGTAAGACGTGAAGCCGTGTATCGCTTAAGTGATCCTTCCACAACATTATCTCTAAATTACTATTGCATTAAACTTATAACTGAAACTTTAGAAGACATGGTCTGGAGAACAATATTTTAAATGTGGTTTTGCTAGTGTTTGTCTAAGCTAGTATCACCACTTCTTTTCTGTTCCGCTGCAGAGATCATATTGCACAAAGACAGAATTAGCAGAAAGGTTTAATGCAAAGACACCTTTTTTTGTGTAGCCACGCATGTTAAGCTGTAAGAGTCTGCATGGTTGATATAATATAGCTTCCTTTTACACAAGTATTACGTTTAGAATTTTAAAATATCTAAGCAATAATACTATCTGTTACACTTCATTAAGATGCAGGATAGCAGAAAACTATACTCTTACTAATTTTGGCATTTTTTTTTTTTAAGCTTCCAAAGATTATGTGTGTCTAAAAATATATTTCAGCTTCATACTGACAAACTGCCTAAAAATTAAGAAATGCTGACTGAAACCTGCACTGATCATTAAAATTTCTCCATTTCATCATATTTACAGTATGTGACAAAAAACTGTATTTCTGCTTCTATGTGCACATTTCAGATTCTGTCTAAAATAATGCAAGATACCATACATTTCGAAAACCGTTTACCGACAATATTTTTGTAATGGATGAATTACCACGTGAAAAAGTAAAACTTATCGGTTCTGGGGCATATAGCCTGTTGCTGATGCCTCAACAGTGTAAATGTTACCTTTTCAGAGAAAACAGTGCTTACACTGCTACCCATGACCATCTCTAGTAGCTGTCACTCTGACAGCCACTAGAGGGACTTCTGGGTTTAGTCCTGCAAATGTTGAGAAGCAACGTTCAGTGTCTTAATGCTGTCCATGGTGCAGTGCTACAACTTGCTGCACATGCTTAAAGTGTAAGCTCACCTGCCAAACCACAGATAAGAGTTTTTTTTGTCTTGATGTGAATTGACACTTTAATGGCCATTGGAGTGATTCTAAAAAACCTGCAGTTATTTAAATGTACACAGGGATTTGGGATAGTGCGCAAGTAAGTTTATTTTATTTTTTATTGTATGTATTGGGATTGATGTGTACTATAGTCATTGCTGCTGTTCAAAAGTAGTGAGAGCTTGAGTGCAGAGCTTAATTTACGAAGTTTGAATTTCAGGAGTTACTTGCATTTCCTTTAGCTTGTTCTTCATGTACTGTATTTAGAATTTAAGATCATGCCACTGTATGTATATAGCAGTTCTCCTTTTCCTACCTACACTGGAGTAGATTTTTATATTTTAGATGCAGGATGGCTGTAGTAGAGAGGCTCACTCCCCTCTTTTCTTACTAGTGCTGTGCATGTTACAGTCTCTCTGCACCACAAAACGGAGTGCGAGAAGACAAACCATATTAGATCACACAGCTCCTTACAGCTAGCCCATACTGTGCTACTGACAGCAATCAGTTCTCCGTCGCCAGGGTTTAATTTCCACTCACATTTTTGCAATGTGAATGGAACTTTTGAGCCCTGCACACATACACTGCTGCTGATAGCTATAAGATATAGATAGATTATATATATATATATATATATATACACACACACACGCGCGCACATATACTGTGCAGCTAGCTATGTAAACATACATATACTTCTGCATACAGCAATATACACTATATATATATATATATATATATATATATATATATATATATATATATCTACACAGACACACATATGCAGGTGATCGATCGACCTCTCTCTTTCACTATCTATCTATATATCTATCTGCACATACACACACGTGATCGATAAACACACATATTGTTAATGATTGATATATACCACACCCATATACTGCTGCGGATAGCGGTATATTTTTACACACACACATACACACCTGCTGATAAATATACACACTAATACGCCGTCTGCTGCTAACAGTCTATATTTTATTCTGGGTTATGGAAAACACCATCGCTTTTGGCTAAAAAAATATTTTTCCTGTGCTTACCATAGGGCTGGCAATATACAGTAAGGATGGAAGTTCGGTTATTTGGCAGCACCGAATTTGAGGTTGATCAGATTTTTCCTGGTGCATCTGATAGTCTGAAAACCCGTAGATCGGTTTACAGTGGCTCGAGAAGACCAATTCCTAGAGATAAGGGGAAAAAAGGAAAATAAATAATCAGATAAAGACTCTCTCTTGAAAAGCCAATTTGCATTTACACATGAAATGAGAACGCAAGATATAAGTTGGAATTAGACTTATAGAAACTGGAGTACACAATTGTAATTCTCAAATTTGACAAAACTGAATGAGAGGCAGTCCTTTTAAAAGTTGGACAATTAGACACTTACTGGCACTCAAGTAATCTTCAAATACAAATTCAAAGAAGCTGAACAAAGCTGGTAAAAATGGTGCTTGGCCCTTTAACTGATCACTTTTGTCATCGAGTTACATATTGCTGCAGTCATTTTACAGGAAGTTACAGAAATTTAATAAAGACGCCACAAGGATCAGTTAGAAGAGGGAACTAGTACAGCAAGCCCTTTTCTTTATTTTACTATTAATATTAGGCTCTGGAATGCCTTGGGTGAGTTGCTAAATGACAGTAGACGCATCAATTATTCATTGCTGGAATGGTCATCACAGCCGCTTCCCGCTGGCAAAGTTTCCACTCTCCAGCAAGAGAAGGATCAACTTACAAGAAAAGAAAATATCAGATAACCATACTTCATGGCAGAGGTCAACCCAAGAGAAGCCAAAGAGGACATGAGACAGTTGCCAAGGAGGAAATAGCAGACAGGTCTGAAAACGCGTGAAGAAGAAGCATCTTGTACAAGTTTAACATACTCCTTTCTTCTATTAAAGCTACTTAATGAGGCCAAAAGAAGGATACATTGGATAGAGGGAGGGAAGCAACTTTCACTTACTCTAACGCAGCACAAACCTTGCAATGAAAACACTAACTATAAATCGTCCAAAGGCCATTCCATACAGAAAGAGGAAATCATAAAACTGTTCTTGATGGCTTGTGTAAATCACTCAACAAAGAAATGAAGCGTTAAAGCGAGGAGAGCATTAACAATTAATCAGGCGTTGTCAGAAAGTGACACCTACTAACACAAAGGGACATATAGTATTAAAGATCACTGGTGCAAGTAACAAGAGAACATTTTTATTCTATTAAATCGGACAGATTGCCTGACAAATGTGCAAAGCGTTTCATGTTGGCTTGGGACCCATGGCTAAAGCTTCTCACAAATGTACAGTGCTATAAGAATAAAAAAATTTTGCGGTTGGGACCCAAGAGCCAGATCAGTCAATGTATAGTTAAGTAATATGCAGGAAGAGAAATCTACACATGGTGCCATGCTTCCCACTGTCATCTACACTAAGCAGGGAGAGATATCAGTACGTCACACCATGTCACCCACTGTCAACTGTACAAAGCAGGGGGAGAGATATGTATTAATTGGGCCACAGATCTACTAACGTAACCTGACTAGCACCCCAGGAATTGCACAGTAGAGAGCAGATAATTACCAAGGAAGAAGGCTTTTATCAGAAACGGATGGGCCCTGAAATTATCAATGAATTGAGCACCTTTATCAAACCTACAAAGCATTTCATTGATCATTAAGAATGCCAGCATCTCATCACCGTTTTAAAAATGTTTAAAGGAGAGTCCTGACGAACACGATAGCTTTATATGCTGTTTTAGAGCAAAATGTAGTGGATTTGACCACAGTCTTAGATGTATCTTGATTTGACTTGAACAGCAAAGCACTTTGTAAGTGCTAGTTAAAGGAACACTGTAGGCACTATAACCACCTCAATGGACTCAATGTGTTATGGGACTTGAAGCCTGTGAACTATTAAAAGGTTTACTCGCCTTTTCTGGAAGAATAGCACTGCCTCCACCATTTTGCCATTGGAGGCCGTGTTTCAGGCTACCAAGGAGTGAGAAAAGTAGTTATGGCGTCTACAGCTCCGAGTTTATCACCACACTTCAATTAATTAAAGAACAACAATAAAGAAGGAAAAGCAAGCACAAATCTAGAAATCTGCAGCAGTAGAGGACATACAATGAAAAAAATATAATATTTAGCCCGGTTGTAAGAGCTATTAGTAGCAACCTGCTTACATGTATTACAGGGGAACCGTAAATGTTGGGGAAAGACAGCGGATGATTTAGCTGAAGAAGGAAATCCGTGTTGGCCAGATACATAGACGGTTTATGGCACTCGTTCCTGTCCTCCCAGAATCGATGGTGGTTGAGCCTGTAGGAGGCTTTCAGACACAAGAAAAGTGCTAACCATCTGAAACAGAAAACAGCACATAGATGTTTACTAATTTCAATTACACAGCATTAGTCACATACAGGTGTATTCAATGCTCTTTTATCCCTCCACACTTGAACTTGAACACACACAAAAAAATAATAATAAAATAATGATAATTTTCAACTACCAACTCTGCCCATTAAACCTAGAAACCTGCCCTGTGTAGTCCTCATATCATATTCTAATTGTTCTCTCACCTGGCTACATGACCCTGAAGCATGAGATTTCGGATTTCTGCAGAAGAGACATTAATGAATCGCAAGAAAGAGAAGCAGCTCTCTTTGTCTGACCCTATAGAAGATAAAGAAAAAAATATATCATATAAGAAAAAACAAAAACAAAACACATACATGCTGGTTAGAAAGCATAGTGTCAAATGTGAAACAACATACAAAGATTCACATGGGGATGACACAGGATTCACATAAACAGTCCATAACATCTCCCTGAAGAAGCAATGAACAAATAAAAACAAAAACATTTGATATTAGTGGCATCCAACATTTACTAATTTGTGGGTGCAGACTTGGGATTTTAGATACTGCATTGTCACCTGTGTTCTGGATTGCTAGTTCTTAATGCCAACAGCATGGCATTATGCCAATTAAGAAAAAAATTTGAAAAAATCAACCTCTTTATAGATTTTTTTTTTTTTGCTATTTGACTAGCATAAATCTTTTTACATTTTATTCCATGTAAAGAGACACCAATTAACTGTTTGTCAAGATCAGAATTTTCTGATGTAAGATGAAACCAAAGTATTTCTGCAAGTGCTAATCACTTCCCATCTTGATTACTGAAATAGTCTCCTATACCACCACTAATACAATCCATAGTGGGGCAGTATAAATTATTCCAAGCAGAGTCCTGTAATAGAAAGCAACTACACCATACAGAAGTACACACAGCTGGTTGCACGGTGTATTCAAATACAGAATTGAGCGTATTGCATACAAGTATAGTACCCTCTTATGAATAGGATAAAACCACATTGAAAATGCCTTTACACTAGAGGTAGCCTGAAGGCAGAGAATCAGATTTGGTAGTCCTCTTCAGCTTTACACTACTCTAACCTACATTACTTTTAGAAAACCTGGCAGATCGCATTTATTACAAAAAAACAAACAAAAAACAATGCAAGTCTTTACCGTTTCTATGGAAGAGAGATTGGTGAATATGGTCTGGTGCAAAAGGAGAAAGAACAACATTGATCCACCTGAAGAGACAAATACATAAAGTATATACATATAAGTTCTGATGTACTATGTAATATGTATATAACTTCACTATTCGATATCTTTCATTAAAAAACAAAACAAAAAAAACACAAAAACAATATTGTAGTTATGATACATCATATATTTTTCTGTCTGTGGCCCCTACACAACTCTTTTCTTTCTAGCTGCAATACGATATATATGGCAAAGTCAACAGTTCTGGCCAGAGCTCCAGAAGAGAATGTAATTGGACTTGCATGCACATAGGATGGACCACCTTACTCTATGATAAGTCCTTCTCTGTTTCCCACACCAATGCTAAGTGTTTGTCCACCTATTAATATTTTAGACAAAAAAACATCCTCAAATGATATGCCAAGGGGTAGATTTTATGTGCCAGGGAATCTCCCACATTTTGTTTTGTTTTGCTGTTGCGGTTTTTGGCTTTTAACTTTTTATTCTTCTATTTACTTACATGTACTGCTTTTCCTCTCTTTAAATTATAATAAAACAAAACTATTTGACAAGAACAGGAGCAACTATTGCATATTCTAACAATCCATAATGGAATGACAAACATTTTTTTAAAATAATTTTTAATAAAGCATTACATACATATCTAGAATTACGGACCTGCACAAGATAACACATGCTACCATTAAATTACCACATATCCCATTATTCATTTTTGTACTTACCGGTTCCGAGAATAGCTGAAATTCTGCAAGTTACCATGGCGGTAGAGAAATTTACAAATCTGGTACGGCTTTATGGTGCAGTTAAATGGGGACCAGGTCTCCTGACGTTCAAAGAGTTCTGAATGGTTACACACCTGAGAATATCAAGAACGTACAAAATGAATAAGTACAAATAAAAACACTTACTTCTTTCAAAATATTTATACAGGCAAATATGTTAATGTGTAAACTGTTACATTTTAAACAGAAATAAGATGCAGGTAGTGTAAATAGATTTTTTATGATTTTTTTTTTAAAATTTCCCTTTCTTGGGGGGAAAGGGATGGGGGAATGTGAATTTATGCCAACAATAATGAATAATGGAAGCATCTAGTGTAACATCCAATTTCATGTTTTCCATGGATGTTCATTTAATCATTTAGAAACTCAAAAGAGCCTATACATAGCTTTTTTATCCTATATGAATCTGCTTTTGGGAATATAACCATTCAATACATTTGAGAAGTTAATCGTAGCAAAAAAATATATACATAGGACATGAGGTCATGCATTTGGACTGGAAGAATAGCTTCTTGATCCAGGGAGATATCCGACTGCCATTCTGGGGTCAAGAAGGATTTTTTCCCCGAGTTTGTTGCAAAATTGGAAGAGCTTCAAACTGGGTTTTTTACCATCTTTAGGATTAACAGCAAAAACAGATGTGAGAAAGCCTGAACTTCATGGACACATCTTTTTTCAGCTATGTAACTATGCAACAAATGCAGAGTTATGCACTTATTAAAAATGAGAGATATGACGATTGTATCATCTACTTCTGTCTATGAACTATTAAAGGTAAATGAAGTTAATGAGATGGCTACAGAAACTCAAAGTCATTTAGTAAGCAAGTGTCTACGTTGCTGCATCTCTGAACATGTATATGAAAACTTGGAACAATATGGACAAGATGAAATGCTGCGTCAATGAAATTCGACATCCAAATGAAAAAATGTTTTTGGCCAAATCAATTAAGCCAAACCAAATTCTTCCACCATGCACAAGTCTACTGATATCTACTAATTTCTAATAAACTAAAACTATTGTAAATAACCATTACAAAATTTTAATTACGAATATGCACTTTGTAACTAGCTCCATGCATTATGTTATCATCACCTTTCTAAACTGCATAACCAGGTTCATGAGGCTGCTGGTGGTGTTCTGTGCTTGCTGGGCTGTACCCATAGAGGACTGGAGAAGGTCATCAATGGATATTTTGTTCTTCAGAGCTTGGTAGAGCAGCTTCTGCCGGCTGGTCAAGTTGCAGTACATCAGAATTTCAATCTGCAATCACAAATAGACAGTCAAGTAGCTGAATTCCCTTCTGTTTTGCAACTCTCATCAAAATCTTGAAAGTTATGTGCAACATGACACAGAGGACATAATTACACAAAGATGTGATGGCTATTAAGGTATTAATTGTTGTATGGAATGAAACTATCTATCCAAAAATACTACATTTGTTTATACTGATTTCAATCTAAAACCAATCTAAGCATGTTAGTCTACAGTTAAACGAGAACATTATACAAAATGCCCATTTAATCAAATGAGCACGTTTACCTTGTCAGACAGCTCATTCTCAACATCTTTTTTTATTCTTCTGAGCATAAATGGTTTGAGAATCATGTGTAACCGAGATAGTTGATCTAAAACAGGGGGTAAAAAAAAAAGATATAATTCGTATGAATTCTATTGTTGCTAGAGAGTAGCTTAAAACCAAGTAGAAAACTTATGGACTTGCATCTTTTATTTTATTTTTTTGTATCAGGCCTGAAGAAGGTGTATCTAATCAGTAGTAGATTATATTAATACAAGTTATAAACAATTATAAAATAAGAAATTAAAATGGGATCTGTTTGTACCCAACTCCCATACACTTAATATAAGTGCATATAATTCATATAAATTAAATTATGGCCTGTTAGAGGGTTCAGGAGACTAAAGAAAAAGGGTAAGCATATCACAAACCCATTACCCTAATACATTTGTTGGTTCCTAGTAAATATGCTATGTTTTCGAATGACTATATAGGAATTTTATTCAGTCTTGAGTTTCAGTCATTAAATGGTCATGGAGCCACTTGCAACCTCCCCACTTTTTTATAAATCTAAATTAACACCTGTGTTCTGGGTACCTTTATCAAACAAATTAAAAGAAATAATTTGATTCTCTGGGTGGATTCAACAATGCAAGACCTTATTAATAAAGAATCATACCAAGTTGAGCCATTATTCATTGGTTCAGAGCTGTCCGCTAACATTCTCTGCAAAAAATCAATGAATATTGTCCCAAACTGTTATTATAATGCTGAATTCTGAACTATGGCTTTACCATACCAGCTCAGACTGGAAGCAGTGCAAGCACCAAATCAGAGAGAGGTAAGTGCCAACCTGCTTGTAAATGGTTTATGTTTTTACCATAGGGCCACACCAGGGGACTCCATAACCACTGCACTGCACCGAAGTAGTTATGGTGCTTATAGTGACTCTTTAAGAAGATACTTACTTTCGTCGATGGCAGACTTGTTCTCTGCATGACTTTCTATGTCCTTTGAAAACCATTCGTTGAACTCGTCATGTGAGTCGAAGAGAGTGGGCATTATAAAATGCAGCAGTGCCCAGAGCTGAGGGATAATAACAATGAAATGTTATCCTACTTTTTTCAAACAATACATACTTAATTCAATGAATAACTTTAATAGATCATCTAGAGCAGAGATTGGCAACTTTCAGCACTTTAGATGTTTTGAAATACACCTCCCATGATGCTTTGCCAGCATTATGGGTGTAAGAGCATTATGGGGGATGTAGAGCAAGGGTGGCCAAAAGACAAATCTCCAGACTGTTGTAGATGTACACAATATGCCTATCTAAAAGCGATCATCATTTAGGAGACCTACCTTTTGATCAAACTTGCTCCTGAGCATGCTCAAACATCAGCCTGGTATCGTTCTGTATAACCACAATATTTTAAATGTTTGTTTCTTTACAGAATCTAATTAATTAATGTGAAGTAATTATTATGACTACCATTGGACTGTTCCAATTGATTGCATGATGCCAAACCCAGAATTGCTCTTTATACAGTACCTACAAAGAATTGGAGCTCAGACAATGAAAACTGGATCATCTAATTCTATTCCTTCATACTAAAAAGGTCATGTTAGTGTTTTCAGTTAGAGAAACTCAAAACTTGACAGATAATGAAACAGTTTACCCACTGCATTCACATCCCAAACATACTCCTTTCTGTCCAGTCCTCACAGCTTTAGTATTTTTCTTTGATGCATAATTGTAACAGATTGGCAATACAGTGGCAAAGTTAAAACATGCCAAAAGATTTCTTTTAAAAATTGTTACAGTCCCTTTACTTGGAAAACTAGAATGACTTCTTGTAAGATGTATTATGTGATTTTGAGGTCAAGCCAAGGACAATGAATATGTATCCGTTAACATGTTGCTACTGGCATCAAATTCACAATAGGAAGTTCATTCACGCTACTCTACTGCCGCCTGCTGGCTTTTACCAGTACACGTCTCACTCTATGATATTTACAGATTCAAAATGTAAGCAAAATATTTTATTATTATTATTATTTGTATTTATTTAGTTTAATAAGTGGGGGGACTGATTGACAGACAAACTGTATGCAAATGAAGTGTTATTGTGTTCTAATACAGGGATTCAAGCCCATTCTACCCTTAGGCAATATTAAGCACATGGCCTTTCCCAAGGCAAAACCAATTAAATTGTTGATAAACTCCTACCCCATTCCCTTCCAGTGCAATCCCTCTTTCCCCAGGAGTCACTCTGCTTCTGTTAGATCCTAAGGCATTGGCTGGGGGAGGTGTGTCCAGCAGAAGGAAGGGCTAACCTGTTAAAAGCCATGTGATCAACACATTATCTCTCTCTCTATTTTTTTTTTTATTTCACTCTCCTCAATCTCTCTCACTATTCCCTCTCCCCACTATACACACCCTCTTACTCTCAGATGATGATCAATGAAGTGGTAGCTGTATCTGTATTCACAATTTTACATAGTTACATAGCTGAAAAGAGACTTGCATCAAGTTCAGCCTTCCCCACATTTGTTTTTTGCTGTTGATCCAAAAGAAGGCAAAAAAACCCAGTTTGAAGCACAATTTTGCAACAGGCTAAGAAAAAAATTCCTTCTTGACCCCAGAATGGCAGTCAGATTTATCCTTGGATCAAGCAGTTATTACCCTACATTGAAAGATTATATCCTTGAATAATCTGTTTTTGCAAGTATGCATCTAGTAGCTGTTTGAACATCTGTATGGACTCTGATAAAACCACTTCTTCTGGCAGAGAATTCCACATCCTGATTGTTATTACAGTAAAAAAAAACCTTTCCTTTGCCTTAGACGAAATCTTCTTTCTTCCAGTCTAAACACATGGCCTCGTGTCCCATGTAAAGTCCGGTTTGTGAATAGATTTCCACATTTTAGTTTAGTTTACTTTCCATTCAATCAATGACTAGTTTTAATAGTAACATATAGTAGCCTATTTAAATGTATATTTATTGTTTATTTGTTTGAATATTGTTGAATTGCCAAAAGCAAGGCATGTGGTTTTAAGTTATTTTAGTTATTCATTTTATTATTAATTCCAGATGTTGACTTCACACAGCATCAACTTATTCCACAGCGATTTACAATAATATGAAAGGAGAAAACTTAATAAATGAGACAATTACACAATGTTACCAATGTCTAAAGGAGTGGAGTTTAAAGACACAATAGCAAGTGCATCAAGGAGGACATCAAACAACAAGGTGGAATATAAAATACTATGTACTAAGATGCACTACTATAAGATACTCAAAATAACTAGTACCTGAGTATCCACTGGAATAATGAATAGTAATGATTCTATACAAAGTGAGATATAGAGATATATATAATGGGAAAATACAATAATAGAAAAATGGGTCAGGTGAAAGTAGAAAATAACTGCCTAATGGCAAAAAACTCCCTTCCTAATGTCTCTAAAAGTAGATACTGCAGTACACAGGTTTAGACTTTAATATATAATTCTTCATAGGTCAATATCTGTGACTGCAGGCTGGTATCAATACATCCAAAGAATATATAAGACATTAAGGACTTGCTTTTACCTAGTAAGTCTCAAGCTGTGGCATTATATAAGATATAATACAAGATTTCTAGCATATTGGAACATTAGAGGCTGAGTAAGCAGAAAAGTATAAATAGATACTATATGTGGGATCTATTGAAAATAATTCAATCAGTAAATTGTATCAAAAAAGTATCTATAATGTTAACTGCCATGTACTCAATTGCTAGCATATTGGGACATAAGTAACTGAATAAGCAGAAGAGTATAAATAGATACTATATATTGGATATAAAATAATCCAAAAAATAAAATGTATTAAGAGTAGTAGCTATCAAAATAACTGCCACATATAAACTAAGTCCAAAATTATTGAATAGTCAAAATATATCCACAAATGGATCTGTTATATAATATGCCACATATTAGAAGGTATAAAGCATAAGAGAGAGATAAAGTGAATAGTGAAAAAACAGTGTGCTAAATGTGCAGAGCAATGCTTAGAATGCTGGCTGCCTGCACATGGTGACAGAGTGCCCTATAAGTGAAAAAGATGAGGGGAAAAAAAGAAGACACCCCCCCCCACCCCCCTCCAAAATAACCCAACGCGCGTTTCGGTGCTCTTGTGATGCACCTTCGTCAGGGACTATGTACTAAGATGCAATCTGGTACCTAGTAATTTATTACACATTACACAGGTTTCTGCTCTTAAAGGGACCCCACCGTGATCAGCTATAAACAGTCTCAATGATTTACTTAAATTCCAATTTACAGGTCAAGATAGCTAAACTAAAAACAGTACTGACTATCGTTTTTCTATTTTGGCCTAAATTTTTTGATTCACTTTGAATCCTCACTTTAGGAAAAAAGTCTTGTCTGAAAACCCACCTATTTCTCGAAGCTTACACTCAGCAGTGTACATACCGCGGTCGCAGGGGTCGCAGCTGCGACCGGGCTCGTCACTCCAGGGGGCCCGGCCGCCGTGTGGACCCCTGCGACCGGGTACCAGCTGCCACCATCTTTTGTGGCCCTGGCCGGCCACATGTTAAGGGGTCCATCGGGTGGCCCATGCTGTCAGGGCCACCCGATGGAGACGGATTGTCAGGGGGCCAGGTCAGCGCTAGGCACTTTAACAGCGCGACGGGGCCCCCTGCAATTACATCACACAGAGCTGGAAGGAAGTGACTGCACGTCACTCCTCCCAGCTAACACACAGATCGTGCGGGAGGAAGACCAGGGAGTCAGAGTGGAAACTCTGACTCTCATCAGGCTGAACCCACACTGGACCCCAGGGAAGTCACCCTCCTGCAAAAGGTAGGAAACAGGAGGGTGACAAACATTTTGTGTGTGTATGTCTGTATGTATCTCTGTATGTATGTGTCTGTGTGTCTCTGTATATATGTGTCATACAGACACATACATACAGAGAAACACACAGACATACATACAGAGAAACACACATTACACACAGACAGACATGCATAGAGACGCACACACACATACATACAGACACACACATACAGACTGTGTGTGTGTGTGTGTCTGTATGTATGTGTCTGTGTGTATATCTGTCGGGGTTGTGTGTATGTATGTATGTACGTACGTACGTACGTACGTACGTACGTGTCTGTCTGTGTATGTGTGTGTGTGTCTGTATGCATGTATGTATGTGTTTGTGTGTATGCCTAGGTATGTCTGTGTGTATGTGGAGGGGGGGCACGGATCAGTTTCGCACTGGGGCCCCATGTATTGTGTATACGCCACTGCTTTCACTCCTATACAGATTCATGAACATTAGTTATCCCTTGCCTTTCCCTCTTCCTTTTCTATCTCTTCTAAAGCTGGTCCTATCCAATATCATCCTCCTTTTTCATTAAATTCATGTACCTTCTGTTTCTACATTCACTTACAGAAAGATTTTAAGTTCTCACCGCTTTTTCATGCCAGTATGCCATGTCTCGCTTCAGGCAATGATTCAAAACATTTGTAACATTGTTCTTTATTTAAAAGCAAAGGGAAATCTGCCTTAGCTTTGTAAAAATGACTAAATATATGTTAACTAGAGATGAACCTCCTACAGCTTCACTGGCAGCTCTAAAAATAAAAAATAAATAAAGCAGCTATGTTGACCCTGCAGTTATTGGTTATGTTGGTCCTAGTTTTAGTTTCTTGGCCAGAGGCCATTAAAGGAACACTATAGTGTTAAACATGTATTCCCAACACTGTAGTGCTGGAGTGGCTGTTTAGGTGTCTGACCCTTCCTCAGATTGCAGTTAAAAGGCAGCTTTACTTACCTTTTTTTTTATTGTTGCATCGGCATTGATGATCTCAGCCAAACTAATGCTTTCCCATATGTGAATTGTAAGGCTATTGCGTAGGTGTGCCAAAACACTCCGCCAATCAGCATCTCCTTGTCATACTTACCGATCGGCAAAACTCCCTCGGAGACACTTCCGGGTTTCGCCAATCGACTCCACCCATCATTTGACATGAGACACAGCCCCTTTAAAAGGCAGCCACGGCAACTTTGAAATCGCTCAGTTAATTTGTTGCTAAGCGAGACAAAGTTGCTGACTGAGTTCCTTCTGTAAATCTAAGTGTACCAAACCCCTGCTTATACCAACCTGAATCTTCTATCCCTGATTCGGACCGGACTTCTGACTATTCTACAGCTTTTCAACTCAAGTTTAGTTGTTAAAGTAACTGCTTCTATACAAGTTAAAAACCTTTAACTCTCCTATTACTTCTGCTGGATTAATATTTTTTTGTCCTTATGAACTATGAACACACTATGTCCTCCGCACTGCTCCTCTAAAGAGAGATGTGCCAACTCCTAGTAATTTGATAACATATATTAAACTGGCATATTTGCAAAGCCAAGATTCGAAACTAAAACCGAGCCTGCACTGATAGGATGCTGTAATATAGGGTGGATTCAGTCTACTGACCAAAATATATTTTTAATATCTGTACTTCCTATAATACAATGCACACCCACCTCAGCCATTGTGTTTTGGATGGGAGTTCCAGTAAGCAGAAGTCTGTTTCGACATTGAAACTGCAGCAAGATCTTCCACCGGACACTATGCAAAAAAACAAACAAAAAAACATAACAATACAGATCATTTCACATATTGGAAAGTGTCCGTTGTATAGAAAAATTTACATATACTTACTTACATACATACATACATAGATTAAAGGCCGCATTTACAAAGCTAAATTAATTGCATTTAACCTCTTAGTGACATAGGTACTTTTGAGATGATGTGCATTTGTAACGGAGGGTTTTTAAACACCTTTGTTATGTGTTTGTAACATTCTACTTCCTCTCCCCTCCTTCGATTGCACATGCAATCGTACATTTCCAATGGGGGTGGGGGAGGGAATAGGTGCACACTATCCTACCACCACGGCCGCTTCAGTTAGCTCCACACGTGGACGAAAACCTCAAAAAAATTGTTATATTTATCATTAACCTATTGCGCAGAAACCGTGTTAATTTTGTCGGATAACAATTTTAGTAAAATTTTAGTCAACTAAAGTTTTTGCAATTTAGTTGACTAAAACAATTCAGATGACTAAAATATGACTAAAACTAAAATGGCTTTTTAGTCAAAAGACAATTACTAAAACTAAATGGAAATTTTACGCTAAAATTAACACTGCACAGAGGGACTGTGGAAGGGGCAAAAGAGACAGACCAGGGCTTGGTAGAGAGACACCTAGAGGGGCTGGGAGGATACAAAGAGACATAGAGGGGCTGGGGAAAGGGCAAAAGAGACAGAGGCTTTAAAGGACCACTATAGTCACCCAGACTATTTCAGCTCAATGAAGTGGTCTGTGTGCCAGGTCCCCCAGGTTTTAACCCTTTCAGAAAAACTGCTATGTTTACATTGCAGGGTTAATCCAGCCTCTAGTAGCTGTCTTCCTGACAGCCGCTAGAGGCGCATCTGCGATGCTGAATGTGAAAATCGCATTCAGCATGCAGAACGTCCATAGGAAAGCATTGAGAAATGCTTTCCTATGGGCGTTTTTAATGCACGCGCCTCTAGCCGCGTATGCGCATTCCGCTCCACTCGGGAGCTGACATCGGAGTGGGAGGAGAGATCACCAGCGCAGAGGGAGCCCGGCGCTGGATTAAAGTAAGTAACTGAAGGGGTTTTAACCCCTTCAGTGCCAAAGGGAGGGGGGACCTAAGGGATATATAGTATCAGGAAAACAAGTTTGTTTTCCTGACACTATAGTGATCCTTTAACTAAACCCATTAGGATTTTAGTGGTGTTGACTAAAACCTCCAGTAGATTTAGTCGACTAAAACTAGACTATAACTAAAATAATTCAGATGACTAAAATTAAAATGGCTTTTTAGTCAAAAGACTATGACTAAAACTAAATTTAAATTTGCCGCAAAGATTAACACAGCTCAAACACAAAATATGTTGGAGCTGCATATGTAAAATAAAGTATGTTGCTTGTCTTACCTGGAACTACTTTTCAGAGCTTGGGCTTCATCTAGCACCATGTATTGCCATTTCACCCGCTGGAAGTATTTCACATCTTGCACCACCAACTGGTAGCTTGTGATAACCACATGAAAAGGAGCTTCTTGTGTGTACAAAGTCTTCTGCAAGAACAAGAGTGGGTATCCATGATTAACAAACCACAAATCTTGATTTTCGTTTCAAAAACATTCTGCAATGTTACATAGTTACATAGCTGAAAAGAGACTTGCGTCCATCAAGTTCAGCCTTCCTCACAAATGTTGTTGCTGTTGATCCAAAAGAAGGCAAAAAACCTGGTCTGAAGCAATTCCAATTTTGCCACAAACTAGGAAAAAATTCCTTCTTGACCCCAAAATAGCAGTCAGTTATGTTTTTGTAAGTATTTATCCAATTTCAGTTTAAACATCTGTATGGACTCTGACAAAACCACCTCTTCAGGCAGAGAATTCCATATCCTTATTGTTCTTACTGTAAAAAAACCTTTTCTTTGCCTTAGATGAAATCTCCTTTCTTCCAGCCTAAATGTGTGACCTCTTGTCCTATGTATAACCCTGTTTATGAATAGATTTCCAGATAAAGGTTTGTACTGGCCCCGAATATATTTGTATAAAGTTATCATATCCCCTCTCAGGCGCCGTTTTTCCAAACTAAACAGATTTAATTTTTTTAACCTTTCTTCATAACTAAAATGCTCCATTCCTTTTATCAATTTTGTAGCTCGTCTCTGGACCCTCTCCAGTGCCATGATATCCTTCTTTAGAACAGGCTCCCAAAATTGCACAGCATATTCAAGGTGTGGTCTTACCAGCGATTTATAAAGAGGCAAAATTATATTTTCATCCCGAGAATTTATGCCCCTATTTATACATGACAAAATCTTACTGGCCTTAGCAACTGCAGATTGACATTGCATATAGCTGCCTAATCAATTTAAAATGAATTTATCACAAAAATACTTTATGAGCACCAATATTTTCACTTAAGGGGGCAAGCCAATGAATTTGGATGTTTGGTTTAGGTAAACTAGAAGCCGCTTAATATTGTTGTTGGCCTAACATATTGCCAAACCTGCTGTAGTCTAACTGTGATTGCATCAGATTGCTTGAGGCTGTTTCCACACATCTCACCAAGCCACTGGCTGTACTGCACTGTTTTCGTTAGCCTAGGGAGGTGTATGTGCTGTCACTGTATTGTTTTCTTATTTGATATCGTATTTGTTGGTGGATACACTTCTGAGTCGTTGCATGGTGCTATGTTGGGAGTTCTGTCTGTTTTGCATTCAGCAGGACTGTCTATACACAAGGAAGCAGTTTAGTGGCTCCTTAACCTGTAATACTACCAGAGAGGTTTAAGTGTGTAGTGTTAGACAGTTTTGGCAATGGCTTTACTTGTGTTTGTGAAATATTACTTTGTTTGCATATATTGACCTTTGGATTGAAAAATCAGGGAAATTGAACCAATATCCCTTGTATCAAACTGCTTGCTCATGTGACCCCACACGCTAAATCGTTACATACTATGTGACATATGTTATCATTAATGTCTCAATATTTCTTCTATGTATACTGTAACAATGACTTTTATCTCTATCGTTTAAGAGTTTGCACCAATAAACATCTTCCTTAAATGAAATAACAAACAACAAAAAAACCACACACAAAAAAAAAAAAAAAACACCCTAAATCAGTTTAGATTCCAGGCTCCTCCCCCATGGCGAATTCTTATTTTGTGAGAACATAAAACTTGATGATCTGTATTCATTTAATTGCTTCCCACAGAGAAGCAAAGGATGCTCACCCAGTATCTGGGGTCAGGATAACGTGCATGCTGACACCGGATGTAAAGTGGATTAAATTATTTAATCTAATTTAGTCAGAAGCCCTTAGTGGCTTTCTGAATTCAGATAAAACTATTTTGGAGCTTAGAATGTCACTTTAAATAAAGAAAAAGCACATTATGGTATAAAAGCAGTCCAAGACGCAAACAGTGTCTTCTGCTGCAATCATTCACTATAGCAAAAATAACAATTTGGAGAAAAATAAATGAATTATTGAATAAAAGGTGATGGACTGTTACAGCAGTAGCTCTATTTGTTCAGATGCACAGAAAGTCAAAGCCAGTGCAATCAATGATAGATAGATAGATACACAGATAGATAGATATTAAGCTTGAACAAGTATGCAATAATGAAAAACATGCTGAACGTACGTAGCCATCAGTGCAGTAATAAGTTACATATGATAAAGTCGTTATACTGCTTACGGTGTTCTTGTTATTTAGTACCTTTAGTACTAACCCCCAAATGTTGTATTTTAATAGATCAAGCATGGAAGTGAAACTCAAGCCACACCTTCAAATCCTCTGAGTAGGAAAGCCAGGACTGTTACTTTCTGGCTCTCATACCCGGGCATACCATGTCATAGAGAATTGTGGCTGGAATGATTCACTATGGCATAATCACAGGCACATTGCAGCAGGTATCGTACATGCGCCTACAGTGCCCAAGATGACACCACTTGAAGGGGACTCGGCACTGAAGAAAAGAGGAGTAAAATTATTCATTTTTACAGTATATGGAGGCGGCTGAAACTAATAAGGGACAGGGATACTATAGGGTTGGGGATACAGATTTGTATTCTAACACTACAGTGTTGCTTTAAGATAAAAATCCCAGTGTTCACGAGATTTAAGATAAACTATCCTTAAATATGTTGCGTCTTAAAATCTTATCTATTACATGTCAAACAGCTGTCTTCAGGCTTGGCTAGTATTAATATTGCCTAGCGAAACAAGAATAAAGAGTTTAGGAAAGTCACGCTTACAGAAATGGTCACATGAACTGTTGCTTGTCAATTTAAAGGATTTTAATTTAAACCACAACTCACCTGACCCCAAAACTTTCTGATTACCTTCCTTTCATGGGGGTTACCCCAATAAGGTAGTACCTGGGAAAGGAAAATGCATCATAAGTGAAATTAAGAACACAGAAATTAATTATGAAAATCAAACAGCAAATAACTTATTTTGCAAACTACACCCATAACTTATTACTGATGGGTAACATTTCCAAATGAGTTAATATTTTCTTTGATAAACTTTTAAAATTAGTTATTCAAAATACAAAATAAATGTTATATATATATATATATATATATATATATATATATATATATATATATATATAGAGAGAGAGAGAGAGAGAGAGAGAGAGAGAGAGAGAGAGAGAGAGAGAGACACACACACTCTATATATCAATAAATCAAAACTATCAAAGCATTACAAAATTGAATTATGTTCATAATATTAAATCACTAAAAAATATAGCCAAAAATATTACATACATTTGAAAGCTTATCCAAAAATATTTAAAATCAAGGTCTATGTTTCTTTGGTGTTTAATTAATTGGTATTTTCAGTAAAGAAAATAGACAGCAATATTGAATAAGTAGTATGGTTCAAGTACAACATATAAAATGCTTCCATACAAGTGAAATATTCCTTCTCCTTTAACAGTGACCCAACTCCTCCTCTAACAGTGACCCATACTTCGGGCTGCTTAATGTTGAAGTATGTCAAAAATCTCAAATACATTTCAACCCATCCCAATGTGTATACAACTGCCTTACCTTGAATTTTGGTACAAATCTTGAGAACTCCTGGTGCCAGTTGTTGAGAGTAGAAGCAGGTGAAATGATTAGAAAGGGACCCCAAATGTTTTCTCGCTGAAATTAAATATTTTTACATTTAAAAAAATCCTTGCTTTTGTGCATTGCAACTTAAGATGAAAGTATTTGTTTTGTGCTATGTAGTAGATGTCCTTACCTCTGCAAGATGAGCCAAAAGTGCAATGCTCTGCACAGTTTTACCCAAGCCCATCTCATCAGCCAAGATGCCATTAATACCCTTTAGATTTTGGGGTAAAAAAAAAAAAGAAAGAAAACGCAAAGTGTTAATAGGCACTGATTATTGGCTGCAAAAGTAGGTGATATAGGCTAAGAGTATGAAAGATGTCACAATTTACTGCTTTTAATTGATCCCTGATAGCATTCATAGATTTCTGAGACAAATACAAATTTATTTATATTTAGAAATTAATTTACCCTTCTAAAACACATACTGTACAATCAGTGTATTGTTTTCATATGGAGAATTTAAAAGAAAATTTGTGATTTTGATCCAGAAATATATAAAAATATATAAGGGATGGAGCCTCACTACTGAGCAGACGCATATCAATACAACTCCTGCATTTATTGCCAAACTTTGCTGAAACCCAGCGACTGAGTGTCATTTTTCGACTTAGTCACTAAGATACAGGACTTTTCAGTGGTCATGAGAGGGCCACTTGAGCTTAACCTTCAAAACAGAATTGCTCGGTCACACCTCGTGGTTCACAAAGTTTGACTTTTGTGCTGACTTTAGATTTTGATACCTGTAAGCGTTAGTCTAGACTGAGTAAGGAGAAGAAAACTAAAATTTTAAAGTTTTGTAATGAATTAAGCAGAGTATATAGAAGTCATCTGTAAGTAGTTCAATATATTAGGGTATTACCAGTTGGGCATTGTTGTATTTGATCAATGGAGGCCCCCAGACTTTACTCAAGCTTTGCAGATAATCATAGCTGGAGGGGTGGACAATCTCTTGTTGCCATTACAGACTGGGGGCACTAATCCACTAACTGGGTATTGACTAGTCTCAGGCCACATCAGGGACACTTTACACATAATATTGTCATAGTCTAAGGGAGACTCCTGTCTTTAATAGATATGTTAAGCATTGCAATTTACTCTGTTCTACCAGTGCAGATGTTACACAAATTATTTCTTATCTATAGTTTTAATTCATGCTTTTTTTCGATTTTCCAAACATTAATCTGAAATCAGTGCATATATTTCCTTTTCTTCAGATACAATCCACAAGCACTGCGGTACCCTTCGTCTTATTTTATTATCTAAAAATATGCAGGCTATCATATAGTTGTTATTTGAAGGATATCTCTCTAGTTACTGATGAATATTTTATTTTGACAATATCCTTGCACATTGAAAAAAAAATAAAAAATATATATGTAAACATGCTGCACTCATAGTGCCAAGTATAAGACTATATGTTCAGTACAGTCTATCTGATTACAGAAGAGTACAGAGCGGGGGTAAAGCATTCTACTTTTAAATACATAAATATTTTAAGACCATGTACAGTCTGTATGTTAGTTTAAAAAAAAAAAAAAAAATTGTGTGCTAGGAGAGACTCTTTAAAAGAAACTAAGATCATCATACCTGTTCATATAGATTGGCAAGCCAATTCATGCCTTTAAGTTGATAGCCCTTTAGTTTGCCATTAAATATGGTGGGCTGTGGAATCTCCTCTCCTGCCCTTATTGAAGGATTGGCCAGACTGTAACTCTCCCCAAATGCACACTCCAGCTTGTTGGCTGCTCGCAGAGCTGCTGCACGGCTCTCCTTTGAATCTTCATCAAATGCCCTTGTCTAGAGAGGGAAGTAGCCACATGTTAGACAATTACACATTCATGAGTTCTTAGCATCAGAGTATGCCTGCTAAAGTAATTCAGACATTAACTAAAAAACACCTTTGTCTTATATTAGACATTTTCTGATTACAAGACAAATGTGCACTTTGTTGCACCCTCTTGGCTGTCAAACAGATAGCCAGGATTGTTTCCTGCCTCACTTATGGAAAACAGTGAGGCATTAAAACCAAATCTTCTCTATGAGAAACGATAGACTGAGAGTGTGGCAATTGCAGTGCATGTGCCTTAAAACCCAAATTCTTCACTATGTCTTTACATTTCACTAAAATTTATTAAGTGAATAAAACCAACGTGCCCTGGCAAAGAGGTGCTGCTAGCATAAAGAAGATATTCACATAATTCACATGTGAAACAAACACATTTAAGCAGTTCAGGTAAATGGCAAATACTCCTGAACTAAGTGCATGACTCACCTGAGCCTGGTGTATCCTAAATGCTTCTTCTGCATTCTTCAGTGCCTGAGACTTGAAATATTCAATGTCTAAAAACGCATATAACAAAATCGCATTACAAACAAACAGAAACCCAACAGAGCTTTTAAAATTATTTATGCTATTAAGATGTGTGTGAAAAGTGTAAATCTTTATGTAAGGAATGCATGTTTGTATACATGATGTGTGTATATGGTATCCGTGTGACATTTACAAATGCTTATGTGGAATCTGTTTGAGATGTTTGTCTGCACCAGCAAGGCATATTAAAAACAAAGGACCACATGAGTGAAGAAATATGGAAGAATGAGCCCTCAAGATGGCAGTGCTTAACTATCCAAGTTGTGCCATTTAGAAATATGGTTCGTACTAATAGTTACACTAGGGTCACCAGACCACTTCATAACAAAGGTCTGGGTGCATTGGACCTGTCCTTTAAAAAAATTTTACTTTTATTTTACATTAAAAAGTGATTCAAGATGCTCTTCCCCTGCACTAATCATGTAAAATATCGAAAACATTTTTTCCTGTGCTAAAGTTTGGATGTGTGCATGGTAATTGTTGCACACCAGGCCCCTACTGCACCTCTATGAGGAGCTCTGGATTGGACAATTGCCAGAGGAGGACATGATTCCTTGATGATGTGTGTGTGGTGGAGAGGTGAGCAGTGCCAAGGGAGCCTTGACGCAGGAATAAAATGAGAAACATTTATTGTATTAATTTGTATGGTATGTAGAGGGCACTTAAACATAAACAGAAATAAAGTGATTAGTGATACTCTTAACACTAAAACACATCAGTTATAGAGTTAAAAATACATTTAAGAAAATCACAAATACGCACCCTCTGCATAGTATATAGCTTTTATTTATTTTTATCATTTGTGAAAAAAATATGACATAAAAGCAAATTAAAAACAAGATTAGGTATGAGTGTGTGTGTTAAATAAAAATTTATAAAATATAATGAGGACGGAAGTGTATCTAATTAGGGACAGGGACAATGTTGCGTTAGGAATACAGGTTTGCATTCCTAACGCAATTGTGTTCCTATAACTTCTACCCTTACAAATTCTGCAATACTATTTAATGAGGCGGGGAAAAAAATATATTATTGATTTAAACAAAAATAATACATTTTCACACAAAGATGGCATTTCAGCTGAATTATCTCTTAATTTAAAAGCCTACAAAACATCTTTAACACCAAAGACTATAATACGAGTAACGATGCAAGGGATACTGTATTGTTATACCATAATCTTCTTGAGTGAAGCTTATGCTGGCGCCTCCTGCACTACTTTGCCTTTGAGGTGAACCATCATCCAGTTTGCGCAGAATTTCCTCTTGTATCCCATCTGGACCAGATCCCCGCTTGCGACTGACAAAGTGAGCATAGAGTTCTGTCTGCGTTATCAGGAAGTTTAGTTTCCTCTGTTGTCTCTTAGCCTGAAACCAATGGAACGCAGATGTTCAGCAAAATTTCACAGAGGAAATGACCGTACAAAACCAGTAATTATGTTAAAGAAACTTGTTGTTTCAAGGGACACTGAAGGCACTGCTTCACCTGATTGAAGTGGTTATAGTGACTTAAATTCTCTGGCACCAGCCTCCATTCAGTTTTCAATGTTTTTAAAGTTGTAATGCTGAACGAACTGACCACTTTCAGAATATTACAGAGCCAACTGGTAGTATGATTTAGTATGGCTAGAAGAAAGTTTGTAATCGCCAGCCTCTCTCCTGTAGAAGATTAGCTGTTGGTGGCCAGTGACCCTTATTACACTGCTCAACAGGTACCATATCCAATTTAATGAGGTAACATTGCTTTGGTGCTGACAGTGTCTCTTTAAACATATTACATGGTGTTATAAGGGGTCCAGAAACACCTGACAGAGCAATGCATGCCTGAGTTATTATGGATGAAATTAAATATGAAAGAGGCAGAAGATAAGCAGTTATCGGCAAAACTGAATAAAATAAAGTAACAGAAAATAAATAAATAAAAACACGAGTAGTAGACCGTATACATACATATATACTGACACAACCTGTATAGGTATGTTCTAATTAATAACATTCCCTGCATTCCTATCTCAAGCTGTATACGACCATCACCAACTATTGATTGCACAGATTTCTAAGATCAGAAGAACTGAATGTATAGAAAACAGAGATTGATGAAAATGTAATAGCTTGCCCTTTATTTAGTTCCTACTTGAATCTCAAGCAAGTTTTAGTCTAATTGTGATACTACAGAAAGAACCTATACCATTTGAATACCAGGCTGTTTTCTCCCATAAGGGTTGTGCTCAGCCAAAACGTCAAGCAGGTTCCCTCTGGAAGAGAGGTACATCATTCCACATAATTTATATACGTCATATAAAAGTGTGGCTAGCTAGTTGGATTTGAGAGATTATGTTGGAATGAACTTAGCAAAATGGTATTTTCCTTCTGTCAACCAATTGCAAAATCTGTTTAGAAAATAAGTGGCCCTCCATACCTCTCTCATTTCTTCATCAAGCTTCCGTTGCTCTAAGGCTTCTTTCTCAGCTCGTTTCCGGTGCTCCTTTTCCACCTTGTCATACTTTTTCCAGTATAGCGACATTTCCTTGCTCAGCCTCCGTGCACGAGGTAAAGTTTCCTTGCAGTTTTTCTGGGACTGGATAGCAGCTCTGCGCACTTCCCGCATGCATTGGTGTGCCAACTGAAAGCAACAGTGACAACATGAAAAGAACAGCCAGGGAAAATATGCAAAAAACTCCATAATTTATTTTATTTTAACCAGAAATCAAGAATATAATACTGATAGCAATCAGATTTAAGATGTTTTTTCCCATGCCCTTCTTACAATACTTGCACTAAATGGAAAATGAGGGTAAGAATTGTTGGGAGACTGTATTCCAAAAAAATGTTTTAAAAAAACAGAAAGATAAAGTGAGGAACAATGAAAATGTTTCTTAATGTACGCTGAACAACTTTATAAACGCAACACTTGTTTTTGCCCCCCTTTTTCATGAGTTGAACTCAAGGATCTAAGACTTTTTCTATGTACACAAAATACCTATTTCTCTCAAAATATTGTTCACTAATCTGTCTAAATCTAAATCGAGCACTTCTCCTTTGCTGAGATAATCCATCCACCTCACAGGTGTGGCATATCATGATGCTGATTAGACAGCATGATTATTGCACGGGTGTGCCTCAGGCTGGCCACAATAAAAGGCCATTCTAAAATGTGCAGTTTTATCACATAGCACAATGCCACAGATGTCGCATGTTTTGAGGGAGAGTGCAATTGGCATTCTGACTGCAGGAATGTCCACCAGAGCTGTTTACTGTGAATTGAATGTTCATTTCTCTACCATAAGCTGTCTCTAAAGGTGTTTCAGAGAATTTGGCAGTACATCCAACCAGCCTCACAACCGCAGACCACGTGTAACCACACCAGCCCAGGACCTCCACATCCAGCATCTTCACCTCCAAGATTGTCTGAGACCAGCCACCCAGACAGCTGCTGCAACAATTGTTTTGCATAACTGTCTCAGGGAAGCTCATCTGCATGCTTGTCTTCCTCATTGGGGTCTCGAACTGACTGCAGGGCAAATACTCACATTCGATGGTGTCTGGCACTTTGGAGAGGTGTTCTCTTCACGGATAAATCCCGGTTTTCACTGTACAGAACAGATGGAAGACAGCATGTATGTCGTCATGTGGGTGAGCAGTGGGGTGGCGGTGGGGTTATGGCATGGGCAGTCTTATGTTATGGACACAGGTGCATTTTATTGATGCCATTTTGAATGCACCGAGATACTGAGGCCCATTGTTTTGCTATTTATCCACAACTATCACCTCATGTTGCAGCATGATAATGCATGGCCCCATGTTGGAAGGATCTGTACACAATTCCTAGAAGCTGAAATCGTCCCAGATCTTGCATGGCCAGCATACTTACCAGACATGTCACCCATTGAGCATGCTTGGGATGCTCTGGATCGGCGTATACGACCGCGTATTTCAGGTCCTGCCAATATCTGGCAACTTCGCACAGCCATTGAAGAGGAGTGGACCAACATTCCACAGGGCACAATCAACTCTATATGAAGGAGATGTGTTGCACTATATGAGGCAAATGGTGGTCACACCAGATACTGACTGGTTTTCGTACACCCCAATACAATAAAACTGCGCATTTTAGAGTGGCCTTTTATTGTGGCCAGCCTAAGGCACACCTGTGATGCTGTCTTATCAGCATCTCAATATGCCACACCTGTGAGGTGGATGGATTATCTCGGCAAAGTAGAGGTGCTCACTAACACAGATTTAGACAGATTTGTTAACAATATTTGAGAGAAATAGGCCTTTTATGTACACAAAAAAGTGTTAGATCTTTGAGTTCAGCTTAATGAAAAATGGGGGCAAAAACAAAAGTGTTAAGTTTATAATTTTGTTCAGTGTACATAAAACAAAGAATGGACAGCATGTTCTTAATAACTTCTATAAGTAAAAATAAAATAAGTTACCTCAGATCAGATGATTTAAAAAAAAAGTATTGTTTACCTTTTTACTATTTGTTATCAATAAGTTGCGTGCTGAAACCTTTTGCTTGTAGGCCTGCAAAAAAGTAAAGAAGAAAAGGTTAACAAACATTCCATAATATACACTGTTTGACTTATCATTACTTTAAATAAATAGCATTCTAATACATACTTGATTCGTTCTCCTTGATAGCTTCAGAATGATTGAATTGGAGATTTTACATAGTCTCCCATTCTTTGTTAAATTGAACAGACTGAGAAAGCTGGATATTCCACACTTACCTTTGGTAAGTCTTTCTTGACAATAGTAAGCCAGACTTTTCTGCGACGAGCATTTAGTTGTTCAAGTGTCAGGTGTTTCTTCTTGCCCACAGGTGTAGGGGCATCGTGGGAGAACTTAGCAAACACTTTGGCATGGTGGTGGTGTCGACGTGGCAGCTCATCTTCAGATATGTCTTCTTCCCTCCGTCTTTTCTTCTTCACCTTTTTTAACTTGGCTTCAGGTGCACAAAGGAAGAAACATAAGAATGACAATTCATGAATTCACATGACTTTATAAGTAAAATTGTTTAATTATATTAGCATTCTTGTCACCTCTTAATAAACCATTTAGAAAGATAAGGAGATTTAGAGGGAAAGGAATGTTTAGACAGCCGGATAGACAGCAATGCTTTTTTAAAAAACCAACATACCTTTAGGTGTTCTAAATGTGGGACAAACCTGCAACCAAGCAACAGCCTTGGTATTTTACTTTTGTGCTGTATGTGCAAAGGTATTAACAATTTTGAATGAATGTTGTTAACACAGAGTCTCTATTACCTCCAACCACTAAGTGATATATATAACAAATTCACATACGTCTTTAACATTTAAGCTACAACCAGGATGCTTTAAGTCAGCAGTCAGTAAGCCTAAAATAATGCAACTCATCATAATGAAACAATAACATAACTGAACACAATTAGACCTGTTTTCGGATGTGCTTGTATTATTTAAAAATCAAACTGTGAATAAAATAAATGTATCTGCCCTTCCTGGGCTTTGCAGAACAGGTTTCCATATAAGCCAGCTTGTTGTTAAGTATGCTTTGGCATTGCATGACCCCAATCTGCTTCCTTCTCCAACCCCCACATGCTCCAGGATTTTCTAAAATGCTCTTGGCATCAGGATGCAAGGCTGTTGCACAAAATCCCCTTGCAGCCCATTTTAGAAAAAGTAATAGACACTGGGTTGATTAAGCAGACAGTGAAAAACTGTAGAGATTCCATTTCAGTGACCACCTGGTATTAAAGGCACATTCAAGGCTGGTTGACATGGATTGTTTTTTACATAACACAAGCAATAACAATAAGTTAATAACAGAAAAAAAAAAAGATGCAGATGCCTTTTCCCTTCCCTCCCCTGTATCTTGGTGCCCCCCCATTAATGTTCCTCTCTCCCCCCCTAGTGTTCTTCCCCCCAATAGTGCTCTTCCACCCCCTCCCCCATAGTGCTCTTCAACCACCCCCCATCCCATAGTGTTCTTCCACCCCCTGTCCCATAGTGTTCTTCCAGCCCGTCCCATAGTGTTCTTCCACCCCCCCTCCCCTGTCCCATAGTGTTCTTCCACCCCCCCTGCCTGAGTGTTCTTCCACCCCCCCTCCCATGGTGTTCTTCACCCCCCTCCCTGTCCCATAGTGTTCTTCCAGTCCCTTCCCCCTCCTGTCCATAGTGTTCTTCCACCCTCCCTCACCCCCAGTGTTTCTTCCACCCCCTCCCCCTGTCCATGTGGTTTTTCCACCCCACCTTTCCCCCCCCTGTCCCATGGTGTTCTTCCCCCCATAGTGTTCTTCCACTTGTCCCATGGTGTTCTTTCACCCCCCTCCTGTCCATAGTGTTCTTTCACCCCCCACCATCCCTGTCCCATAGTTCTTTCACCCCCCCTCCCTGTCCCGTGTTCCATAGTTCCCCCCTCCTGTCCATAGTGTTTCTTTTCCACCCCTCCCCATAGTGTTCTTTCCATCCCCTTTCCATGGTGTTTCTTCCACCCTCCCTCCCCTTTCCCATCTTCCAAGTGTTCTTCCACCCCCTCCCTCTTTCCCATAGTGTTCTTCCACCCTCCTCCCTTTCCCATGGTGTTCTTCCCTCCCCCCCCTTTCCATAGTGTTCACCCCCTCCCCTCCCCTTTCGCATAGTGTGTTCTTCCACCCCTTTCCCATGGTGTTCTTCCACCCACCCTGTCCATAGGTGTTCTTCCACCCCACCCCTGTCCATGACCCCTGTGTGTTCTTCTTCCCACCCCCTGTCCACATGGTGTTCTTCCAGCCCCACCTGTCCATCTTCCACCCCACCCCCATGTGTTCTTCCACCCCACCCTGGTGTTCTTCTGTCCCATGGTGTTTCCCCACCCCATGTCCCACCCCCTGTCCATGTGATTCTTCCACCCCCCCCTGTCCCATAGTGTTCTTCCACTCCCCACTCCCTGTCCCCCTTGTCCCATAGTGTTCCTTACCACCCACTCCCCTGTCCCATAGTGTTCCTTACCACCCCCTCCCCTGTCCCATAGTGTTCCTTACCACCCCCTCCCCTGTCCCATAGTATTCCTTACCACCACCTTCCCTGTCCCATAGTGTTCCTTACCACCCTCTCCCCTGTCCCATAGTGTTCCTTAGCTGAAAGATAAGGTATGTCATTACTGTCATTGGCTCTCAGTGTGATCAGTAGGCCTGTGGTCCAATCAGAAACTGTGAAGTAGTCTAGCAACAGACAGAGCCTTCCTGCAGCAAGATCTGACAGGCACTGGATCATGTAACAACTTGACACAGCAATACAAGGCAGGAGCAGGCTCTGTAAAACTATTGCCGGATGTCTCGTGTTTTTTTAGACATCCATCAATGGCCTGGTATATTTCGCAATAGTGACAAGTGCTCCCCCTATGCCAGTTGGTGTCCAATCACTGCTGTGATCAGATTCCTTGGGGAGATTTGGGTAGTCTATTGCTGGAATCCCTCAATTGTGAGGAATCCAGCAACAGCTGAGTCTCCCCACATTTAATGAGACTCAAGACTAGTATTTTTGTTCTTTATCCCATTCATAATACCATTCATAATACCTCTGCAAAAATTTAGTAAAATATAAATAAAATCATTAAAATGTAAACCTGTAACTCAGGAATTTAGTATGCTTAGCAAGTACAAAGGATTATCAGGAAAAACACAAAGTGCTCTGTGAATATTTAGACGCTTAGGTACAGTTATAAAAATATAACAAGTTCACACGCTACTACACTCAGGTTGATATCTCCCTATTCCACCCCACACGTGAGAGCAAACAATCAAAAACAGGAAGGTGTACAATACACCAACCATAGAAGTGGACCGTGTAAGGTGTACTTTACGATACACCTACACCTTACCAACGTCTCAACAAAGGGTAGGTGTGTCCTATAGTACACCTTACACGCTCCACTTCTCTGGTTGGTGTATTGTACACCTTCCTGTTTTTGACAAAAGCATATCAGTTCACCTTTAAATTTCTTCTCCTCTTTGATTCGTTTCTTTTTGGGCCCCAAGAAGTGACGTTGTTGCTCATAAAAAGGATCATGGGTAGACAGGAGGCCGGCACTGTAATACTGATATTGCTGGAGCTGGGGAAAGACAAAAGTGTTGAGAGTATGTCCCACCACTACACTGCAATGAAGGACACAAAAACAGAATATCTAATGTTTGCAATTATGAATATTCACAGTTGCTGCAGTTTAAAGAGATTTTTGTTGCCACAGTATTTATGGTCACTAAAATTTAACACATTAAAGCTTTTAAACATTCAGGTGATCAAAAAGAGATGGCTGGGGCAGAGCTAAACCGTGTGAGAGGTGCATCTCCTACAAGCTCTGCTTGTGTTGCTAAACAAACTGGTGGGTTAGGCATTTTCCATTTTATTTTTTAGGAGCGAGTTTAGAAATACCATGCCTAGCAACATGCTCCCACAAAACATGACTTTCTACAAGTGGGAACAAGCACCTCAGAGGAGGAGAGCTCTAATCTGTCAGAAATGCCGACTACTCGAGGGAGCAGCTCAACACCAGCTCCCAGGGCACCTGATTCTGGCCACGAAAAAGGACATTTCCAAATTAATGTTAGACATTATGGCCTTTTTTTACAGCCTTCAGGCTATCCTGAAGGTAGTCTTCAATACTCTCACTGAACAAATTAAGGCTACAGAGGAAGACATCCATGGGGTCTACTTTAAGCACCACAAAAGCCCAAGTACAGGAGCTAATCAAAACCTGCTCTCTTCTCACCTCTAAGGGCAAACAACTAGAGGATACATGAAAATGCAAGGTACACTCAATACTATTGATTCAGGAGAACATGTTTTCTACTATAAGGAGAGGATTCCACTTAGATTGACTTTACCGTTTCACTAGACTACCAAAACATTCAACCCACAATGTCCCAAGATGTCATTAATACGTCAAGTCATGATGTGACAAGGACTGATTTCTCAATGCAGTCAAACAACACACTCCTTTTGTTTTTTAACAACACTCTCTTGATTTTTTTGTACAGCCTATGTCATTCCAGTTTACAGTGGCATGTTTCTCTCAAGATGGTGACTAAACCATCTTGGAGCAATTTCATACACATAGGGAATACCCAGTATACTGATAATCAACAGTGGAGGGTGAAAAGACAAGCTGATCTTTACATCAGAGGCTGCTCAAGTTTTGCTTCAGCATCTCTGACCAAGGATTCATTGCCATCACGCACCTGGGACATTGATAAGTTTTTGTCCCTACTGGTTCCTCTGCACCTGGCTAGGACCGAGTTGTGAAAACTCAAATCAGTACTCATAGTTTTATAACCCAACTCTCATCCCCATCTCCAAGTTAATGGAGCATTTACTATAAGCCTAAGCTATTTATGACTTACTTTGCCTTTGATATTTCTATATTCTTGTGTGCCCAATAGGCTCCTTATTACTAATAGTTTGCCTTAATTTTTATCGCATTTCCTTTGTTCTTATGTGCGCATATAAAAGGGGGGTAGATTCTAATCCAGATTCGTTGATGCTTTGAGCGATTGCTTGCTACACCCAGATACTTTTATTTCTTTGACTGTAACTCACTCCAATAAATAAATAATAAATACATTAATTTTAAAAAACAGAGAGAGAGGGCCTTAGCTGTGATCAAAAATCTGTGTAAACATCATGGAGCATACCTCTTTATCCTTATGATATTTGCTCTGGTGTAGTTTTTTATACTTGTGCAATCTCAGCATGTCATGCAGCTCCTCTTTAGATAGCGTATATTCCTCCTCTTCATCACTTGGAGAGTCTGTGTCAGTGGAGTCCTCACTCAGTAAGATGTTCTATAGACGTAAAGTGAGACATATATTCCTCTTATAGACCTGAGTCACTCTAGGCACCAGAACTCCCTGTGCTCCATACATAGGTTATGATGGAAGGAGCTCCCTGTCATTGTCACCTTTAAATTTGTTCTAGAAGCAGCAGTGATGGTCAACATCCACCAAACAGTACAATATTGAACAGGTATAAGCTATGCTTCCCCCTAACTGCACAGCACAAGTCCTCTTATACTTTTCAAGAGAATTCAGCAGGCGCACACACAAAAACTTATGAAGTTACTCATCAAGCTAAAATAAGGTTGTTTTCTGAGAATTAATTCCATCAAGTTACTGTATGGCTGTGTTTATAAACAATCAACATTATCAAGGTCGCCTTGCATTCCATCAAAAACTATTTTGAATCTTTAATGGCATGGGAGCAAGGACAGTTTAAAGAAAAGCTTTTTTATTTTATTATATATATATATATATATATATATATTTTATTATTTATTTTTTTTAACCCCCCCACCCCCAAACAAACTACATACTTTATAGGCACTGCGTTATTAATACAAACATAAATGTAAACAACTCTTTCTCATGCATCTTAAAGGAACACTATAGGGTCAGGAACACAAACATGTATACCTGAGCCTATAGTTTTAAAAATAACTTACCCACCCCCACACACACACACAAATATAGTAAAATCTTACTTTAAATTCCAGTCTGCTGATGCTGGCTTTGTCCCTGATCTGCCTGCTTGGCTTATATCACCAGAAGTGGTGATCTGAGACAATTACTACAATGCTTTCCCATATGAAAACATTGGATTGGCTGAGACTGTCAAGGAGAAAGGTATGGGGCAGAGCCAGTACAAGCTAAACATAGCCCTGGCCAATCAGAAGCTCCTTATAGAGATTTGTTGAATCAATGCACCTCTATGAGGAAAGTTCAGTGTCTCCATGCAGAGGGTGAAGCACTGCCCCAGGGAACACCTCTAATAGCCATCTGAGGATTGGCCAGTGGAGGTATCCCGAGGCTTTAATGTAAACACTGCATTTTCTATAAAAAGACAGTACTGACTGCAAAAAGCCTGAAGTGAATGATTGTACTTACCAGAACAACTGCAATAAGCTGTAGTTGTTCTGGTGACTATAGTGTACCTTTAAAGGGACACTCCAGGCATCCAGACCACTTCTGCCCATTGGAGTGGTCTGGGTGCCAACTCTCACTACTCTTAACCCTGCAAGTGTAATTATTGCAGTTTTTTATAAACTGCAATAATTACCTTGCAAGGTTAACTCCACCTCTAGTGGATGTCTACTAGACAGCCACTAGAGGGCACTTCCAGGTTTCTAGGACCTCCAGCGTCGCTCATTTCCCCATAGGAAAGCATTGAAATGCATTTTCAATGCTTTCCTATGGGGAGCGCTAATGTGCATTAGGTCTTCCCGGCCGGTGGGCGGGAACAGTCTCGCCCACCAGCCGACGCAATGCAGAGGAGGAGCGGCGGCGGAGGAGGAAGCAGCGACGTGGGTTTTCACCCCTTCAGCAACTGGGAATTGGGGGGTGGGAGGTAGAGGGGACCTGCAATGCCAGTAAAACGGATTGTTTTCCTGGCACTGGAGTTTCCCTTTAAGGGGACTATAAGGGTGACAATTTAACAAACCAAACATCATGAACAATACAAACAGGTAGAACAATCTCAACATGTGTTTTATGAGATGCCCAGTATTTTAAACTTGCGGTTACAGTATTAAGTTTGACAAGAAAAGCTTTCAACCAGATAGAACTTAAAAATTGGTAAACCGGGAGATGCACAGAACTTACTTGTGTAAATTATAAAGTTATACAAAAATTAAGTCTACAAAACAGGTGATATTTTATATCATAACTCAAATAAAAAAAATATCTGAAAATATTCCTTCAACAATACCAACATTATTGTTACATCTCAAGTACTGATCTAACTTACCTTCAACCATTTTCTACTTTTCTTCAGCTTTGAGAAGTTGTACAAGCTTCCTCTGTCAGACTTTGGCTCTGATGAGACAATTTACAAAGAAACAGGTTTACGAGCATTAGAGAATGAAACCAACACACAGAGACACTAATGACTGGTAGTGTGTGAGACAGACCTAGTTGCAAGACTCCATTGAGTGAGTGAGTTGGTATCAACCCTGGGTTTTCTTGTCCAGACGGTTCTCCTAGGAGAGGTGACATAGGTTCCTCTTTCACCTGCAAGGAAGGATACTCAGACTCTGGAAGCAGGGAACTTTCATCCAGACCATCTTCACTCTCATCACTACAACAGATTAAATAGCATGACAGAGATCAAGTAGCAAAACAAATAATAAACATATGATGTGATAAGTACTGTATGCTGCCAGAAACCCAATACATATAAAAAAAAAAACAAAAAAAAAAAACAGCACTTATCAAGGGTTATACAAAAATAGAATCAACAGATCAATTCAATCCCTAGCTACCGATATCCAGAAACTGTACAAAAACACCTCATTTAGATGCAAAACATGGAAAGTCCCTCACATAAAAATCCATGGATGTTTAAAGGGAAACTCTAGGCATCAAGACTACTTCAGCTCATTTAAGTGGTCTGGGTGCACTGTCCCAGGTCCCTTAACCCTGCATTGGTAATTATTGCAGTGTTTAAGAAACTGCAATAATTACCTTAGTGGGTTAACCACCACTAGAGGGACTTCCGGGAAAACCATTCCACTCCAATATTTATTTATAAAGTATTTTAACCGAAAAGGATACATTGAGATTTCTCTAATTTTCAAGTATGCCCTAGGCTCACAAACATTGCATTGTTACAATAGGGTACAATATAACAAACATACCAAATAATATAAAAAAAATATATATTTAAAGGACCTCTATAGTCACCCAGACCACTTCAGCTCAATGACGTAGTCTGGGTGCCAGGTCCCCCAGGATTTCAGAGAAACTGCTATGTTTACATTGCAGGGTTAATCCAGCTTCTAGTTGCTGTCTTCCTGACAGCTGCTAGAGCCGCTTCCACAACACTCAAAGCGAAAAATTGCGTTGAGCACGCAGAACATCCACAGGAAAGCATTGAGTAATGCTTTCCTATGGGCGGTTGGTAGGTGTGCGCGGCTCCACCCCGGAGCCGACGTCAGAGGGGGAGGAGAGGTCACCAGCACTGAGGGAGCCCGTCGCTGGATTAAGGTAAGTGGCTGAAGCGGTTTTAACCCCCTCAGCCCAGCGGGAGGGGGACCCTGAGGGTGGGAACTATATAGTTCCAGGAAAACAAGTTTGTTTTCCTGGGACTATAGTGGTCCTGTAACACAGAACAGGTAAGAAATATAATCAACCATGATTACAGGTACATTCTGTATTGAGATATGTTGACAGAGATCTCTGTAAAGTCTGCAATTTGAGATATTGCAAAAAGAACAGGGTGCTAACAGAGCTAGGGTCAGCACACCACACAGACAAGTAATACAAAGAAAAAAATGCTCAGACACTCATTATGTAAAGATTCAGGCAGAGTTTAATGGAACATAAAAGTGCACAGTAACGTTTCGACCGTTTACCCAGGTATTTGTCAAGCTCGAGAAAGACTTGGGTACAGGTTGAAACGTTGCTGTGCACTTTGAAGTTCCTTTAAACTGTGCCTTAAGCTTTACATAATGAGTGCCTGAGTATTTTATTTCTGTGCAATTGGGGATATATCCAGTCATCTGGTATGACTAAGGGGTTGGTAGTCTCTCTATTAAATGAGGAAGCATTATATTGGTCCCTTCTGTTAAGTGTGTGCAGTGCCATGCTTTGTATTTTCCTTCACCTAATGTAATAATCCAGACAGAAATACAGATGGACTATGTTCTTGTAAGCATATCAAAGGTTACAAGCATCTTTCATTTTCTGTATAAAACAAGGATAGCATGAGGTATTCTGACATGGGACAATGGAATTAAAGTGAACCTGCCATCTGCTTTTTAGATTTACTTAAATAGTCCCTAAACACATTAAATACATCATATATCACAGAAATACATGATGTAATTAATGTAAAATTTTGAGATATGTTTACCTTCACTCCTTATCCTCAGCTTGTGTGTTGTCAGTCAGTCCATTCCTATACTCCGTAGATAGTACAAGCAACGACAGCTATGGGGTTACCATGGCAACCACCCCACACAAGCTTTTGTTGCTATGCGAGGAGAGCCTGCGGGAGACGTTTTTCTGCTTTCACTTATCAGTCAATTCTTCGGCATATAGTCTGTGCCAAATTACTGACTGACTGGTGGGAGAAAGACCTATTTTTAAATAGATTATACACTTGAACTTGATCCTATAGTGTTAAAGACACCATCTAGACACCCTGCCCCCCTTAATCATATAAAAATCATACTTTTTATACCAGACTGCTGCTGCTGGCTCTGCGTCTGATCTGCCTGCTTGGCTGACATCAGTTGTGTTGATCAAAGAAAATCACAATGCTTTCCGAAAGAAAAGCATTGGGTTGGCTGATATTGTGAAGGAGGCAGATCAGGGGCAGAGCCAGCACAAGTCAAACACAGCCCTGACCAATTAGCATCTCATCAGAGAGATGCATTGAATCAATGCATCTCTATGAGGAAAGTTCAGTGTCTGCATGCAGAGGGTGGAGACATGGAGGCACCTCTAGTAGCCATATGAGGAGTAGCCAGTGGAGGTATCAGTAAACACTCCATTTTCTGACCGTGTTTACTGCAAAAAGCCTGAAGCAGGCCCGGACTGGCCATCGGGCACACCGGGCAAATGCATCCGCCCGGGGAGGGGCTGGGAATTTACTATAGCTTGACTGCCTAGCAGGCAGGGAACGCATCCGCCTGGTGAGCGGCTGGGAATTTACTATAGCTTGACTGCCTAGTGGGCAGGGAACGCATCCGCCCGGTGAAGGGCTGGGAACCGCCTAGAGAAAGGCTGGGAATTTTGTCGTACTGTTCAGAGCAGAACAAGGTTTTATTTACTGTTTAGTTGTTACTATGCTCGTTGTTATATTGTTCTTTATTATATTAGGGTTTTTATTCAATTGTCGCCATAGTGTGGGTACCCTCGCTGTGTGTGTGTTGTGTGGCTCATCCTCGATTCCGGATTATGTGTACATCTCTACATCTGTGACTCTTGTAAATGTCTTCTGATTAGTCTCTCCACGTTCACCTTTTCCTTCATTCTCTACCTCTTCTGTACTTTTTACCCAGAGCTGTGTTAGTCACCCATGCTCGCCTGCTCAGATCCGTGGCCACCATCTTGGGTGGGCGGATCCCGTGACTAGTCTACTTTTAGGGAAGACACACGAAGATCAATTCCTCGTGGCAGTCGAGCACTGTAGACATTCCTTCTTTTTCCTCCCTCTCTTTCTCTCTCTCTCTCTGTGTCCCTTTTACGTGGGAAGCCTTGTTTGGTAAAAATGGGACAAAAACACACCAGACCTTCCAAAGGCTACTTAGCTTGTGACATAGTTAGGGAGAGAGCAGGAGAAGAGGCTATGTTAAAAATAAAGAAAATAGCAAAGATTTGTGGCTTTCAAATGTCAGTGGTAGATTACAGCCAGAATTTTGGAGGAAATTGCTTATTGACAAAGAGGGCTTATTGTTGGATAATAGTTAACGAAAGCTGTGGAGGCTTGGTATCGGGTGGCAAGAGAACTCAAGCGGGAGGGTTGGTTAGAAGAAGAACTAGATTTTGGATTTTGAACACCCTCTACACCGCAGCTATGTTCACAATTCCCCTGATAATTATGATACAGATGATTATCAACAAGATGACCGTCCTGTACCCAGTCAATATCGCCCTACACGCCAGACTCAGCAGACCAGTCGCTCCACCGCACCCACATGTCACTACACTGCACCCACATGTCACTACACTAGCCCTGATCAATCTCACCTAGACCTCTTACAATAGGTAACTGGCAAACCTATGTCTAACACCCCTGTCATGGCAGTGTCTACAGGGGACAAAGGGGGGCCTCTCGCTACAGTAGTCCTACCCGTAGAGGGTCATCCTACTACCTTTTTAGTTGACACAGGTGCAGCCCGCAGTGTTCTCAGAGAACAAGACCTGCCTGACTCATCTTACCTATCCAACACTGATGTCTCTTGTGTAGGTGTCAATGGTATCCCTAGAAACAACCCATTAACTAAACTCTTGCGGATGGGTTCAGACATTCTCTCATGGTTTGTTGTCTCTTCTACTTGTCCAATTAACCTATTAGGTGCTGATGTTCTGTCCCGTCTTCAAGCTTCTATCTCCTTCACTGCTGATGGCCAGGTTCAATTATTAACCCCCCTCTCTCGCAAATATACTTCTGTTCTTTTCTCTTTGCCCCTACTATTACACATGACTTTCCCCTCCAAGGAGGCAAGGGTCCCAGATGCCCCCAGTGCCCTGGATAGGGTCCCAAATAAACTTTGGTCTACAGGCCCAGATGACATTGGACGCCTAAGAGTCCCACCTGTGGTTGTCACGCTACTAAAGGGAGCTAATCCACCACGAAGACCACAGTACCCATTAAAGCCTGCTCAAGCCCTTGCCATCTCCAAACAAGTTAAAAGTCTGTTGGCAAAAGGATCTCTGGTAAAGTGTCTGTCAGAGTGTAACACCCCCCTATTTCCAGTGAAGAAGACTGAAAAAGGCCAACCTGACCAATACCGTATGGTTCAAGACCTCCGCGCTGTTAATGATGTCACCAACCAAGACACTGCTGTTGTCCCGAATCCACATAAACTGTTGTCACAAGTCCCTCCAACGGCTAAATTCTTCACTGTGGTTGATCTTGCAAACGCCTTTTTCAGCGTGCCTTTGGATCCCTCTTGCCAATATTTTTGCACTTTCACACATGATCACCAACAGTACACTTGGACTGTCATGCCTCAAGGTGCACAAAATTCCCCTACTCAATTCGCCAAATCTATGTCAACTGTCTTAGAACCTTGGCAGAAGTCTCACCCTGACGTGGTCCTGCTCCAGTATGTGGATGCTCTACTCCTCTGTGTAGATGATCTTCCAACTGCTGAACAAAATTCCAAAGATCTCCTTGGTTTCCTCGCTGAAGAAGGATGTAAAGCCTCCAGAACGAAACTTCAGTAGTGCCGGCCCTCAGTGGTCCTCTTGGGACATTGCCTTTCCCATGGCACCCGTCACCTAACAAAGAACAAATAATCTCTCTCTCCCGTCGACTCACCAAACTCTTTATGCCTTCTTGGGCCTCATCACATACTGCAGGTCTTGGATCCCTGAGGCTTCTCAGCTCATGCAACCTCTCTATGATGCCTTGAAGACTGAACCATTTGCATTGTCTTTAACAGCTCGCTCCTGCTACTATGCCCTTCAAATGGCCATCTCCTCTGCCCCAGCTTTGGGCCTACCTATCAACAACCATTCAAACTTTTGGTCTCTGAAAAGATGGGCCATGCTTCAGGAGTCCTTACACAATCACATGGTTCCCGTCAACGCCCTATTGGTTATTTCTCATGCATGCTGGACCCCGTGGCTCGAGGCGGTCCTTCTTGTTTACGTGCTGTGTTTGCTGCCAGTGCCCTGCTGGACAAAACTAATGACTGTTCTCGGACATAAACTCACTGTCCTTGCTCCCCATGACATCACGGCCATCCTGAATCAAGTCCAACCGAAACATCTCTCCTCCCAAGAGACACCTCCGCCTTCCAACCTCCCTCCTCTTTCCTTATAACGTCCTCTACAAAGATGTTACTCTTTGAACCCGGCCACTCTTCTGCCACTTCCCATGGGGGGAGTACCACAATACTGGTACAGTCTAGACATAAATCCTGATTTTCATATGGACCTTCAAGTAAAAAAGCCCATGGTTCCACATGACGAACAACTCGAGGGCTATCTACATTGTACCCTGTGGTTCAGGAATACCCCAGGTCCTGACCCATACTATGAAGAAGAATTATTTAGCCTGGTGGAAATACGCATCACCCTGACAGACCTGTTCTGTGACTCCAGAGGAAATACTGTTATCTTGGTCTACCTGCCCATGAAGGTATCACATTTATACCACCACTGGGAGGTGGCAGTTCCTCATATCTCTTTCACCAAATCTCTGACTCTCTCATAGAAAGAACTCGGCCCAATGGCCAAAACATGGAGTACCGCAACTCAAGAACAGCTCACATTGACAGGGGTTACTAAAAGAACCATAAATTGCAAAACAGTTGGTTACCCTCGATATCACACAGAGATATGTGAAGACATCCCTCCTACAGAACAGGACGCGGATGCCCCTCATGACTGTTTTGAACAGATGAAAATGGAGACAACCCATCTCCCAACGGTGCACGAGGCTGCCCTGCCAGATCCTCACTTCACCCTGTTTGTGGATGGTTCTAGATTTGCCGACGTACAGGGACAATATCATACCGGATATGCTGTCACCACAGAAGACTGAGTACTCCAAGCATCTTCACTTCCATCATCTAAGTCAGCACAAGAACCCGAACTAATAGCCCTTACAGCAGCATGTAAGATGTCTGAAGGTAAGCGTGTTAATATCTATACAGACTCAAGGTATGCCCTGGGTGTAGCGTATGATTTTGTCTTAATCTAGAAAACAAGGGGATTTCTTACGGCAGCAGGTACTCCGGTGAAACATGGCGCAGCTATCAACGAATTAATGGATGCCTTACAGCTCCCTGAAGAGGTGGCCATATTGAAGGTAAAGGCCCACGGGAGATATGAATTCAGAAGAAGCATGTGGCAATTACTTAGCCGATCAGGCTGCTAAAGATGCGGCACGCCAGTGTCGGGAAGTAGACAGAAGAGTGCCCGTTGAACGAACTCCTATTTACACTATGCAAACCCTACCTACCGATCTCAAGCTCCTGAGAGAACAACAAGCCGCTGCCACCCCTCAGGAAAAACAAAGTTGGAAAGATAAAGGGGCAACCCTCCAGAATGAAGTGTACACAATCAACCTCAAATTCTGTCTACCCAAGAATATGTACACAGCTGTCGTTCAGTGGGCCCATGGACCAGCCCATTTATCCAAGCGCCTCATGAACTCCCTGATTGATAAATATTTTGAGGCACCCGGAATCACTACTTTGACAAGAAATGACTGCAGATCCTGTACTATCTGCGCCAGATGTAAACCGGGAAAAAACAATTAAAGCTGCACCTAACCATTTGGCCAAGCCACAGTACCCTTTCCAAAGGATCCAAATTAATCATATCCAAATGCCAAAAAGAGGCCGGTATGAATATGCACTGGTTATAGTGGATATGTTTTCAGGATGGCCAGAAGCTTTTCCTGTCACTAATCTCACTGCTAAGACCACAGCAAAGTGCCTACTTACCGAAATCATCTGCAGATATGGAGTTCCTGAGGTGATTGAAAGTGACCAGGGAACATCCTTCACCGCGTTGCTAACCAAGGAAATCTGGGCAGCACTGGAGGTGACCTTTGCATACACCCCATCACCCACAGAGTAGTGGTAAGGTAGAATGCATGAATGGCACCTTGAAAGCCAGAATGCTTAAGATGGCCCAAGAAACTAACCTACCCTGGCCGTAAAGTCTTCCCATAGCACTATTTAGTGTAAGGTACACTCCAAGAGGGAGATTTAGCTTATCCCCCTACGAGATTTTATTTGGTACAACACCCAGGTTAGGCTGTTATTTTCCTCAACAACTTCAAATTCTGCAGATGCAATGGTAGATTATTTAACTGCACTCTGTCATGCCTTGACCAAAATCCATGCACAGGTGTTTTCTTCTATTCCAGATCCAGAATCAAACACAGGAACACATAAACTCCTTCCAGGTGACTGGGTTATGGTCAAGAAATTCCTGAGAAAGCACACTCTTGAGCCAAGGTTTGATGGTCCATTCCAAGTCCTATTGACCACATTTACCTCGGTAAAATTGGCTGGGAAGAATACCTGGATACACGCCTCGCACTGTAAGAAAGTTCCTGATCCAGAGGAAGCAGATCCCGCTAAACTATGAGCTTCCTGTGTCTATTTCTGCTGCTAGGCCTATTAAAGGCCCGACAAGTTGCTATCACCAAAGATAATCGTGTTTACACATTCTGGTATAACTCTTCAAACACACATGTAGCTACTTTTACCTTTGATTACTGTGATATTGTTCCTCGTACTTTTCCACAATCACAACACTCAGCAACTATGGCAGTGGAGACCGTTTTTTCAGATACCAACCTATGGCTCGAGTGGATGAGGTATAATGCTAATTCACACAATAAAACTGTTATGTCTGTGGCGGGGCCAGACCCCATCTGGGTACAGTGCCTTTTAATCTACCCCCTGATGTTCAGATTTTCTAAGCCTCTATGTACAATCAGCCACAAACTCATCAGTATGTGAATCATGGAAAAAGGCATATCCAATAACTCAAGGGAATCTCAGGCCACCTGATGTAATCACCATGTATCCAGGTAATTACACTTGCTACACTATACACGGAACCACGGGTAAATTTGTAGGTAGTTTCCCTCCCGGCTACTGTGCCACCTATCGGACACCTCCCACTACCTTATTGGTAAATCAAGTCAAGTCCTTGGGAGACATTTATTGGCTATGTGGAGATATGCAACTCAGATCTAAAATGACTGGCCTGTGGTGGGGAGAACGCACTCTGACCAAAGCCATCATGCCTATACATATAATTTCTGATAACCACCAAGGCCCACTTGATTCCCCACACACGTACTTCAGGATAAAAAGAGAAACCCCTATTCAAGGTAGTTTCGACCCACACATATATTTCGATGCCATAGGTGTACCAAGGGGGGTACCAAACGAGTTCAAAGCCAGAGATGAGGTTGCGGCAGGATTCGAATCCTTGATCCCACTCATCACCGCTAACAAGAATGTTAACTGGATTAATTATATCTATTATAATCAGCAACGTTTTGTCAATTATACTAGAGATGCCCTTCAAGGCTTGGCAGAACAACTGCAGGCTACCTCCCAAATGACATTCCAGAATCGAATGGCCTTAGACATGATCCTAGCAGAAAAGGAGGGTGTGTGTAAAAGACTCCCCGACACTATGACATTCTGCACCTTCTTCCCAAATAATACAGGCCCCAATGGTAAAGTAACCATGGCCATAGAGAAATTAGAAAGTCTCTCTGCCGAATTAAAAAAGAACTCGGAGGGTCTCCAATTCATGGGACAGATGGTTGGGATGGATGAGTGGATGGCAGAGGGTTCTCTTTCAAGTAGGTATGGCAGTTCTTACAGTAGTGATTCTCCTCCTCTTCCTGGTTTGCTGCGTGATGCCCTGGGTGCAAAGGTACTTACAAAAGACTGTAGATCAGACCATTGACCGCACCACACCTACATCAAGATATTGACGATATAGACTGTGACACACTGTGGCCGCTAGGGAGTTTCTCTTTGACATCGACTAACACCCTCATTAACAAGATGGCGCTGGAATCTGGGGGAGACCTCCAAGATACCAGTGACATCACACCCGGTAGGAATGGCACTATATGAACCACTTAACACCTAACCAATTATTGATGTATTATTCCATGTTATCTCTGACAATGCATATGATGTAATTTTGCTTTATAAGGGGCATGCCATCCCCCCAGAATAAACATTCCTCAAGTTTTTAATTAACCTGAAACCTGTGTCTGGTGTGAATTACTTCAGGAGCGTGCATGCATCTTTTTAAATTTGGCCAGGGGCAGATACGCAAGATAATCAATTGATTGATTCCACATCATTCACTATTCCCATATTGTGCACATACAGTTGGTATTTAATCACCTTAATAAAATTAATAACTAAAATGAGTTAAGGATGTGGATTTCTGCTTTGATTGTGTTATACCAAGCCTACCTGAAGTGATTGGGAGGCATTATTCAACATTTTGAGGGTAAAAACTACACTCAATGTAGTAAAACATTTGTATTTTTTTAAATTTACATGATCTACATTGGCTTACTGACCATTTGAAATATCATGAAATATACTACATGAAAAATCATGAAATATACTGCGGAAATACTGGCAAATAAATTGCCACCACCAAATAAACAACTTCCGTTTTCCCCATTTCCAAATTCAAATCTCATTATATCAAAGATTACAATTCATACAACTAGCTACCAGTCCTTCATCTATCCACTCTCAGAGGCAGTTACCAAATTTTATCTTCTTTCTCTGTTGTTCTCCAAGGTTAATCTTATGACTGGAAGGTCAAACAACAAGAGCAAGAATACAAAAGGATCGTTTTTAAAGAGTAGTATAAAACACAATATCATACAAGCAGACAGCAGTAATATGTTGGGAGCTGTGGATCACAAGTATTGAGAATTGTAGAGAAAGCAATACCTTGAGATGCTTTTGTTGAATACAGCAGAGGTTTGGCGAAGAAACTGGTCCAGTCGAAGAGCTCTCTCCAGATACTGGAGGTGGAGGGGCTTTGCCAGGTCAGTGGAGAAGCCATCCTTTGTGGCTTCCAGCTCTGAGGCCATAGACTCAACCACTCTTCATACAGAGTATGGGCCTCACAGAGCACACGGCTGCAAAACAAAAACACTATATTTAGAAAGTGAATTAACTTCAACAAAGCATTGTTTTGATTATGATCCCCCCCCCCCACGATTGGCAAAAAAACAGATGTCTCCCAAGTCTAGCAACCTTGAACCTCTCCTGCATCACAGCAAATGCAAGTGTAATTCCACGTAGACTGTGCAAATTAGGACAGCAATGATAGGATGAGAGTGCCAATTAGTCTAGCACTGGCAGCCTATCATTACTGTCCAAAACTTCTGAAATGCAGAAATAATCTTTCACATAAATAGAGTCACAGCAAAAAGGACAGGCTGTAAGAGCAAGGAGAGCCCCAACACCACAATTGACTGCAGGGGTTATGGTGCTTAGAATTACACTTTAAAAGAGGTAGGTAATCAGCAACTAAACCATAGCACATATAGACACACACACATTACTAAATCAGAATAAAACTGAATCCTTAATTTCCTTTACTAATGTAAAGATTAGCCGTATATAACATGGCTAATAAACATGTAGCTTAAATAATCAAACAGCCTCTGCAGGAAGAGAACGACTAACTTTCTTGGCCTCTTGTCTTACTGGAACTAATCATTTAAACGTCTGGAAATATCCTATACCTTTTTTACGATCCTGCTACCTAGACACTACATCAGGGTTTCTTCAATAGATCAGATAGAGTGGAGAATTGACAAGAGTTGCCATTTTTAAGCCAATCTAATCATAAGGGATTAGCTCCGTTGTTTCAGCCTAAAATAAATTTGCAATTACCATGTGAATTCTCAGCAGTTCCCAGTTTAGTGGCTAAATCTGAACTGCTGCTTTTGCTGGAATCACAACAGTAGAGTATGTTATAAAAGAAAAATTGACTCTACTAACTATATGGGTTTTTCCAAAACATTGCAATGGGGGAAAGGATTTCTACTTTCACTTGTTATTTACATTGTGAAATCAGGAAATCTGTAGTGATCTAATAAGCCAATGAGTTATTCATCTCTCCCTTGGGGTACACAAGTTGGGCAAACATAGGACAGCAAACAAGGAAGTAAAGTAAAAATGATTTGATAGAAAGCAGGGGTTAGAGGGGGCGGGGGCAGTCTTAGAGCTCTGCAGCAATTTATGAAAACCCGCAGTTATAAACCGCCCTGGGAGGTCCACAGGAAGCAGGAAAATGTGCAATGTTGTCATAGTAGTATAGCTGACCTAAAAATGCATTATAAATATGTGCGCCAGCAATAAACAATATATTCTCTGATGGTGACTGCAATGTTAGGCACTTTCAGATAGAATACTGGGACTCTGCAGTGATCCTCTTAGTGAGGCATTTTGAAACTCTGCCTTTTGGAAACCAGTCTCATCATGATACTATATTAAGGACAGACTTAGAAGTCAGATGTGTACTTTTAAACTAGCTTATGTTACGCCTCCAAAAACCTGCACCTAAGATCCTGTTCCTAGATGTTCATAAAAAGTTATTGCTTTAGTATATATATATTTAATATTCTATTATGCTACGTAAAATACATTTTTGATAATATAGTGTGTCAAAAGAATGTCTTATTTGTCCTAAAATAAAGATTTTTTTTTAAATTATTAAAAACAGTATAGATTGGTGAATTAATAACAAAAGGGAAATTAGGGCCGATTACACACACCACAGCAGATTCCTTAATTGCCTGACTAGTTAAATGAAGAAAGAAAAAAAACCTTTGAAGTGAAGGTTACCGGGAGTCAAAGATTTAAAGGAACACTGTACTCACACTAATAACTTCATCTAAATGAAGTTATGGTACGTACAGTAGTCCCCATGCCCTAGCTTCAAAAATGAAAAATAGTAATAGAAAACCTAGACGTGCGGCTTCAAGTCACACCTCCAGCCCCTCTGGATAGGAGAGCCACGACTGTTACTTCACTGCTCTCATGTACAGGCAGTGACATTACGCGTTCAATGATTCTTATTGACAAAATCCTTGGCGGGTGTTTGACGTGCCTATGGTCCCCAATGCTCCTCTATAATGCTTGCTTGGAGCAAGATAATGTTTTTTTGTAATTATTTCTACAACGATCATAAAGGGTGGATAACTAGGGGCGTTTAGACTATAGCATTAGAGTACTCATTTGTATTCCTAATGCTATAATGCCTCTGGATTGTAGAAAATGTTCTCTACTGAGAACTTATGTTGCAAGTGATAAAAAGATAACTGGCACCAGAAAAGACCCACGCTTTTTTTTTTTTTTTTCAAGATTTTTATGGTTTTTCCAAAAAACAAACATTTAGGGCATAATTGGTAATTGTATTTATTGTGTTATCAGTTTGGTTAGGTTATTTAACTGTAGCAGTGCTCATTTGTCGAGTCATTAGTACAGACTTGGTGAGGTTGCTTGCAAATAAAATGTGGGTGCTCCGTTTACCAAGCAGGTTCATCTCTCCTATCAGTGTATAGGTGTGCACAAACAAGAATTACATTTCTCTCAGAACGACACATTCATGCATCACTGGCAAGTAAGTATTAAACATAATGAAATAAGAGGATTTTTAAAAATGGTGTGCTTTTACGACCTTCTCTGTCAGCAAATAAGTCTTAATAGCTGTACAGTTAAGAAAGACGCACTGTAAACAACACAGTTGCTACTGCTCACTACTATAGTGGTTAGGTTGCCAGGGCACCATCATCTTTTTTTTTTCTCCCAGACAGCCACTGGAGGTGCTTTCTGGATCCAAAGGACCTTTAGACATCCAGCATCAGATTTTTCCCCATATGCAAGCATTAATTCAATGCATACCTGTGGGAATATCTAACGCGTGCGGCATTAGCCACGCATGTGCATTAGCACCCACTCGAAGGAAGAGCCACGCCCCAGCGCTGAGGGACATCGGCGCTGGGATAAGGTAAATAAAGGGTTTTTAACCCTTTATTTACCCGGGTCGGTTGGCACAAAGGAGAGGCCGAGGGATATAGTGCCTGGAATACAGCTTTGTATTCCTGGCACTTATAGTATTCCTTTAAACTGGGTAAAGCTTAGGAGCTTAGTAGCCAACCATAAATCCAAGATTTATACTAGCAGTATTTATCTAATTGGGGTTCTTTAATAAAGATGCCTATAAATGCACCAGCAGCTGGCTCCTAAGTGATAGATTTGTCAAGCACTGGTTATAAACCCATTCAGAATCTTGAACTTTCAGTGCCAACATATAGTTACGCTTAAGAATATTAGAATTTTAGGGACGGGTGTCCCCATTACTGGGAAATTTCACATAATTTCCTGCCATTATCTCACAATCTCCCTTAGTTAAATCCATATTGTATCACAAATTGATCATGTATGAACATTGTCATAGAGAACTATAAATGTCACTGCACCGGATAACATAACTGGGGGATTTTTTTCCACACACAGGCAAACGGTAAAGGTCTGTAAACAGGATGTTACTTAATATCAACTAGGCTTGCCAGCTTTAACGGTACGTAATTACACACACATGTATATCTCAAAGTTTGAGTATCAAAAATAGACTAAAGTAAAAAAAAACATTTAGTAATGAAAGCAATAATTATTTTTTTTTATAGATATTTAAAAATCAAACATCCATGCAGGAAAATGCAAAAGGGGAAGTTTGAAGAACTGTATAAAAGGGGTACAAGTCATAAAAATACATGCACTTCTAAAAGGAAAGTGCTAGTGTTACTGCACACTATATATTATCTATTATGCTAATAAAATTCCGTTCTCGCGAACCCAGGCAGATTTCTAAAATGTCATCCGGTGCCAAATGCATTATAAACTAAATTAAATGTAAATTATTTCATGGTGATGACTGCTCATGTTTACGTTTTAAATGTACAAGACTGAGAAGAACACTTTGCCAATTCCATTAGCTCCCCTGAGCTAAAACATGCAGTGTAGAGCTGGTTCATTGGGTGAAAGTACTAGCTGACCTCTGTGAGCTACAGGGCCTGCGCCACTAGACAAGATCAGTGCAGATAGCTTATGATTCCACAGGAGGAAGAGGCAGGTGTGCTAGGCAGACCTCAAGTAAGTTGTCAAACCTTTAATTGCACCCAAGACATATCTGTCATGGAAGTACACTTTATTAACCAAAAACAGTAACTTAATACATTAGGCGATTTGTAATGTGTTGAGTAACATTTTACATGATTTAAGAATACAAATATAGTGCTGGCATTCAAGAAACGTCAGCAATTAATACTGCTTGCACAGCGTTACACACAACACTTTGAATCAAGGACAAGTGGAAGAGTTAAAAATATTAGGCAGTTGGCCGATGAACACAGTCCAGTTACTGCATTAAAGTTCTATCACCTAAAACTAGTGGATTAAAAGTATAGAATAATATTGAAATTGTACTAGGTTTCAAAATTAGATTATAAATTTTAATGTTGAAGTAAAATTGATTATATATACTTAAAGGACGTCGGCCACCAAAACCACTTTATGTCAATGAAGTGGTCATGGTTCCCGGAGTTCACAAGCACCTCTTACCTGTAAGTGTTAAACAATTTTAGAACCGTTTAACAGTAAAGTGGTGTCCCCCACATTCCAGTACTTTTCTTAAGCATTACTTGCTACGGGCAGCCTATAATAGGGTGAGTGTGCCAGTTGTAAATTTCAGTGAAATTCAAGCAAAATCAATGGATACTCTAAGACGAAATTTAGACTATGTCTTATGCATGACAAATTGGCAAAATCATCTGCAAAAAGCTTCCACTTGCCACTTCATTAATATTTCCTAGTGTAACAGTCACGCAAACAAAAACATTTGTCGAGTATTCTGCAGTCTCTTCCATAGGCCTGTTTTGTACTCTCATGAATGTTTGAAATTACACCAGTTATGCGAATCCAATTGGCTTCATCTGTCAGATTCTGAACTGAAAGATCACAGAACTGAGGAGTTATTGCAGTACAGTGTCCTTTTGTTAACTGTGGTCAAAACACACTTTAATAAAAAAAAGATATGCTGGACCATTTCTTTATTGATTAGCACCAATACTGAATATTAACCGAGTTGTTAGGAAATGTCATAACTGTGCAGCTGTATACAGGAATTGCAATTATTTTGGTTCAGCCCAAGTTAAAAGAACACCCCTGACCTAATAAAAACCACTGACACTCCGAGCCTATCACCAGCACTCAAGCCAAGCCTTAAAGACTATTTCAGCAATCAAGAGATGGACAGAGAACGCAGGGCAGATGGGCACCCATGCAAATAACTTTTTAGAATCACTATTAAAGGGACACTCCATTGGAGTGGTCTGGATGCCAACTCCCACTACCCTTAAACCTGCAAATGTAATTATCAGGGTTAACAACTCCTCTAGTGGCTGTCTACAAGACAGCCACTAGAAGGCACTTCCTGGTTTCTAGCACAGGTTATGTGAGGACCTCCAGCGTCGATCATTTCCCCATAGGAAAGCATTTTCAATGCTTCCCTATAAGGCGCATTAGGTCTCCCCGGCCGGTTTGGCAGGATCAGTCTCGCCCACCGGCCGACGCAATCAAAGGGAAGAAGAAGCATCGACGTGGATTGTTTTCCTGGCACTGGAGTTTCCCTTTTAAAGTTTAACCTCCTTAAAGAGTCCCATACACATTGAATACATCATATATCACAAAGAAACACGGTGTATCCAATGTAAAATAAAGGTTTGCTTACTTATCCTTGGTTCCAGCATCAGTTCTGCACCTCTTCTTGATTTGCCCTGCTTGGAGATGCATATCCTGTCAGTGCCAACATCAGAATGGAGTAACATCAAATCACCCCTTTCCTATACGCCCTAGCCAGCACTAGAAGCACAGTCTAGGGAATTTCCATAGCAACCACAGAAGACCTCCAGTGTGAGGTCTTTTCTGCTCTCCCGAGGCATTGACGGACAGCTGGGAGAATTTTTTTAAATACACTTTTGACCTAATTTATACATTTACTAGCAAGATGTATAGATCAAATCGAATGATCAACTTGATGAGCATAAATTGTTTACAGCATAAATAGATGCCCATTATGGTAATAAAGTCTAGAAGGACCCCAACACCCACAAGGGCTTTGTTGAGATGAAGTTGTCATACTATAAATTTTATGCTCTTTCAAGCAGTGTCCACTTTAATTGTTCCTCAAACATTTTGTAACTCATTTACGGCTATTTTTTATAATAAAATGTCGATAATAGGGGGATGGAGTTGTGCCATACAAATTCGTGTTAAACAGTTAGTCCAAGCACCATAACCACTCCAGCCTGCATGTTTGTTGTAAAATACTGCAAATAACACATTAAACTTCTGTTCTAGCAGCATCAAGGGATGTCAGTCTGCCAAGAGCGCAGGGCTGGCTAATGTCCGTTCTGTGCAAATTTCGATGCATAGACATTGTTTGCCCCTTTTACCAAAACAACCCTTTAATGTGTTCTTTTGAAAACACCACTTCAAGTAAGATTTTCCACAGGTTTTTATTTTTAATATTTACCACAGCACAATTACTGTCATAATGGTAAAATAAAAAAAAAAATAAAAAAAATACAATTTTTAAAAAGTGGCAAAATTATCTTTAACATGAATATATTTTTCCATATGCCCTCATTTTTAATATTTGTGTATGGCATCTTAAAACCAATGTTTCAGAAGTGCTACATTAACAAAAAATATATATCTAATTATATAAAATCTCTCTATACACAAACACACACATATATATATATATATATACACACACACACTTTTGTTTACAAAGACTAAAAAGTTAAAAAAAAAAATTTTCAATGAAATTATGTGGAACTAAAATTGGCTTTATAAATATTTATTTTAAAATGAATGAACCCCCTCCTCACCTTACTCCCTCTCCTCCCACCTGCCCCCCTCCTTTCCCCCCGAGGTCCCTCTCACCCCCTCCAATACCCATATCTCCCAGCTGCCCCCTGGGCGGGTTTCCTTGCCGCCCCACCGGGGTATTCTCGGTATCCTCCGTCCCCCCCATCCCCCTCCGAGGATCCCGGGCCTGTGTGACGCAGCGGGTGCGCTATCCACAGCCTGACCCCGCTTTCCCCGCCATTGCAGGCGGCTGGGCTCCCACTCCCACCCCGCGGCCTCACCTCGGGTCTCCCCGCCCGGGGCCGGTGCGGGCGGCTGTCTGTCTCGGCGAGCTGGCGCTGGCTCGGGCCTAGTGAGCTGCTGCAAGCGGCGGCCACTCTCTCTCACTGAGAGAGCAGGGAGACAGGGAGCCATGGCGGGGGGGAGCGGCGCCATTACCCAGGCCTGAACAATCGAGTCAGAGCTTCCGTCCTCTCCGGCTCAGGCGGCCTGTCGAGCACCTCGATCGACGGGTCGTCCGAGCGCGAGTGGCGGGCGATGGTTTCGGCGGGAACGTGCCTACGTCGCCGCTAAAAACCGCGCAGAACCCCAACAATTGAGGGGGTCTGGTTCGATGCGATCTGATCATCGATTGAGCATGCCTGCCTAGAGCGGAGAAGATGGCCGAACGCTTGTGGTGACGTCAAACCAGAGCCGAGTTCCAAACACTAGAGATCGCACTTCTCGGGTCTACTGATTCTATAACGCCGTGTTCTGTGAAATAGCGCACAAACAACACGTTTTCCCCACCGAATGCTGCATATTGCGCGCTACTTTACGCACCGAGAAAAATCGCCTCAGCTACTGGAAGACAAGAGAAAAACTGGGGTTTTGTCTCTAGTGTTGCGAACTCTTGCTTGGTGAGCAAGCAGATCTCGAGAGAGAGACATCTCGCGGGATTTGTGTGGCTGGGCCAGGTGGGAGGAGCTGAGTGACGTCATCGTGCGTGTAATGTGAGGCCTATAAGGACACATTACAGCCAGTGTAACCAATTCAGTTAAATGGGAATGGAGTGGAATTCAGTGTAAACTCCAGATTTTAGTCCCAAAGAACCGAATTGGAAATTATTCTCCAAGTCATCAGTCTTTTTAGTTGAGCTATTTTGTCCTTAAATTATTAAATTCACTTTAGTGAATAATTCTGACTTTGAGAGGCCCCTGACCTTGAGAAACACTTTGATATTTTACCCAGTGAACTATTTGCTGGGGGTCTGTGTATATAAGTGGGTCATCTGGCCATAATAAAACAGTTCTTTTGTACCCTTCATCAAGTCTAGGCTGATGTTTGGGTAACTTGGAATTATAATCACCATTTCACTTGGGACTTGGGAGATTTACAACAGATATACTCAGTCGGAGTATAGGGGATTCGTTACAGTGGGGATGGCATCCACTAAAAATAGTTGTATAGTACATTATTTTTGTATTGAACCAATGTAGGAAAATCAATACAGTCTTCAAGCAGTTTGGGCTAGTCAGGAGGCAACAAGGACAAGTGCTCTACTCATGCGGACGAAATGTTTTCATGGTTCCTCAGGTTCCCTAATATGTCCACAGACAATTTATCCATATACTAAACAAATTTATACTATAGGGCCGTATGATTGGTTGACGAACGTTCTAAGGTGTGCATTATTTTCCGGGAGACGCATGGCTAAAATAGTTCCAGACAGGTCTTGACCGCATTACAGTTGTGTAAGACGCTTCGTGTCGTGACCGCATTATCACCTCGGGTGTGCATCATTTTTCTAATAATTTAACGGCCTGTTGTCAATTATTTCTTACTTAAAGGACCACTCTAGGCACCCAGACCACTTCAGCTTAATGAAGTGGTCTGGGTGCCAGGTCCTTCTAGGGTTAACCCATTTTTTCATAATTATAGCAGTTTCAGAGAAACTGCTATAATTATGAATGGGTTAAGCCTTCCCCCTAATCCTCTAGTGGCTGTCTCATTGACAGCCACTAGAGGCGCTTGCGTGCTTCTCACTGTGAAAATCACAGTGAGAGCACGCCAGCGTCCATAGGAAAGCATTGTAAATGCTTTCCTATGAGACCGGCTGAATGCGCGCGCAGCTCTTGCCGCCCGTGCGCATTCAGCCGGCGGGGCGTAACGGAGGCGGAGAGGAGGCAGAGAGCTCTCCGCCCAGCGCTGGAAAAAGGTAAGTTTTTACCCCTTTCCCCCTTCCAGAGCCGGGCGGGAGGGGGTCCCTGAGGGTCAGGGCACTATAGTGCCAGGAAAACGAATATGTTTTCCTGGTACTATAGTGGTCCTTTAATGTTCTTCAACTGTGCATTAAACCCAGGAACGTCAGTTTTCCACTCGCATGCCAATCAAAATCTAATCTACATTATTGGGAGTCACAAAACACATCTTGGTTTGGAGAGATTATTGCAATAAAAATAAATGTCCTCATTAAGATATTGTACCTCCTGCAGGTCATTCTACTTTTCGTTGACTTACTCCATACACACCTTCATCTGGGCATGAAAGGCCCCATCCCATGCCTCTGCCTGGAACATTTAATTCTCCAATTTCTATCTCTATAAGAAAATACTATAAGTTATCGCACCTGTCTAGAATAATTTATTGGCATATACTTCATTGGATCAATCTTGAAATGGAAGAGTGTACTGGTTTGTTGCCTGCCAGTCTGGCTAGAACAGAGTCCCTTTTCCAACAGCCTTTCATTGACCCCACCCTTAAAGTGTGGCCCTAATGTTAGTTAAAGCACAATATTACTACTGTGCTGTACCTCATCCTTCCACTAACACAAAATCCTGCATTCCCACTAGGGACACACCTTCCAGTGGCTTAACTAACACAGAAACAACCCTGGTGCAATAATTTTTTTGGGCTCCCCCTAAGTCTGTCATAAAGCTCCCACAATGCTTTGACAGCTGGAGTTCTACCATTTTCCCATCATTGCAGGATTGTATTTGGCACTAAGCAGTGCTTGTGTTTTTGAATGTAAGCATGTTTTTTTTTTTTTTTATGGAGTGTGTTTGTGTGAATGTAGATATGTGTTTGTATGTAGTGTCGACATTTGAATGCAAGCAAGTTTTTATGTGTAGTGTTGGTTTTTTAATGAAGGGGTGTGTTTATATATAATGTTGGTGTTTTAATACAAAAGTGTGTTTGTATGTAGTGTTGACATTTGAATGCAGTGGAGGTGCTTTCAATCTGGATCCATACATTTCTTACGGCGTCTCTTAACAATGTTACATTATTTATGGGCCCAAATGGAACCACAGCTTCAGGATAGATAATCTCAACCAGATTAGGGTTCCTTGATGCATTAGATGCTCCCTAATTGGCAATAGCACAGAAGCAGTGTCTAAAGTATTCCCTTCCATAACGAAAGAACAGGCATGGCAGGGTTGTCTTCTCTCTCTCTCATGAGAAAACATCTTTCTAGCAAGCTAGCTTGTGCTGTAATATATACCTGTATAGAAATATAGAATGTGACAGCAGATAAGAACCATTCGGCCCAGCTTCACTTTGTGGTGGTCCGAAATGGCAGTATGAGCCCTCGTACGGGGATTACATGTAGATATTGATAACATGGTGATAAATACAGTGATCCTATAAAGAAGTTTGTTTTTTTAAAAAGTAGTACATAACTTATTTTATATGCTTGTAGAAAAGGAATAGGTATCAGCGTTATTCCCATATACAAGCTGTTGTGCTTGAAAAAGCTTAAAGAAAATGAAATACACATTAGTTTATTAAGTAACCTATTAACTTATAACATATGATTTACATTATTGGTGGTTACATCACAAGCATCCTGTGGAAGAATTGTGTTTTAAGAGTGATGGTAAGGGGGGGTTTGTCAGGGAAATACCTTAGGGTGGTGGGGCTTAGGGGTATTGGAGGGGAGTACTGTCTACCTATGTCAGTGTGGTGCGTCTATCTCAGCCTGTTAGTGGTAAGGGGAGTATAAAGAACATTATTACTAAATGTTGATTTCTTCTACATTTCAAGACCTGTGACACTGGTAAAGGTGTCGTAGTGTTTTGGGTTATGGTAGATCTGTGTGGCTGGTAAGTCTGAGGGTCGTCACTAAGATGCAGCCTAGTAAAGAGGTGCTTCACTATATAGGTGGTACGCAATCACGCGCTTGACAGAATAAGTATCTAATAGCAACTATGTACATGATGCTAAATGGCAAAATCTAGAGAATTAAAAAAAAAAAAAAGCTAGAGAATTTGTTGACTACTCATTACAATATTAGGTTTCCATTGCTTACAGTTAAAGGCAGCGTAAACACCCAAACCAGAGTCCCTGTGTTCCGGTCCAAACCTAAATGCGTATGGTAGAAGGAGGGTGTAGCGCCTTGGTGTGATATCAAAGGTAGAAGTAGTCTTGGTGGTAGTTGAATATATAAAAGAGAAAGAATACAACACAATATAGTGTAGTTTATTCTGTATAAAATAGTTCAGAGTAAGAAGAAGTGCACTTACTAAGTGCAGCGCCTGGGCGGTATGATCCCTGACTAAGGATGGCTGTTTTTTTATTCAATAAAGCTCAGTATGGTCAAAAATGTCAGTTAAATGTCATGATGATTCATGCAGATAAAAATATAGTGCACACTGCTAAAAACAATAAAATATCAAAACAAGGTAGGAGGGCAAAAATATGGTTTTGCTCAATCCAGAGCACTAAAGTGGTATGCGCCCCACCAAGGAGAAATGTATCTGGGCCCCAGAAGAAAAGATCAGGGGTAAGTGCATAAGATATTTAAAAATACTACTACTTTATTTGACAAAATAAGTATATATAAAATCAATACAGGTAGTTTAAAAAAAAAAACCGTGTTTCTCCTCTCCTACTTCCATGCTCTCATAATCTAAATTGGTAGAAATCTGGTGTATGAGGGCTTGTCGGGATGGTATTTCCATGGAATTCAATGGCCTGGCTATTAGTATGTTTGCGGCTATTAGAACGTGGAAGTTTGCGGAAGTCATTGGGTGACATAAGTAGTAGAGTAAGTTCGGGTGTAAGAGTAATCACCCAAAACACAGGAGATCTAAACGGAAAAAAAATCTTTTATCCTTTTTTAAAATTCAATATTTAAAGGGACACTACAGGCACCCAGACCACTTCAGCTCATTGAAGTGGTCTGGGTACAGTGTCCCTTTTGCACTTAGTGCTACAATGTTAAGCATTGCAGCTTCAGAGAAACTGCATAATTTACATTGCAGCACTAAGTCTGCCTCCAGTGGCTGTCTACCAGAGGCGCGTCCAGCATTGAAACGGACCTTTGGTCCTGTATCTGACGCTGGACGCCCTCACGGTCTGCACATTTTAGAGTGGCCTTTTTTTGTGGCCAGCCTAAGGCACACCTGTGCAATAATCATGCTGTCTAATCAGCATCATGATATGCCACACCTGTGAGGTGGATGGATTATCTCGGCAAAGGAGAAGTGCTCACTAACACAGATTTAGACAGATTTGTGAACAATATTTGAGAGAAATAGGCCTTTTGTGTACATAGAAAAAGTCTTAGATCTTTGCATTCAGCTCATGAAAAATGGGGGCAAAAACAAAAAAGTGTTGCGTTTATAATTTTGTTCGGTGTAACTGTTTCTCAGTGGGCAGACCCCTTAATGGATCAGAGGGGTTTGGCCTGGCAGTTTATTGCCCACTCCATATTTTCTTAAATTATGTTGTCCTTTAAAGAACTCAAAGTCAGAGCATATGCTAAAATCCAAAGTCAGAGGGATATGTCCAGCTCTGGTGATGGTTATCTAAGTAGTTTTATGGCTTAGGCCTGGTGTAAGATCAAAGCCTACAATAAAGGTTATCCAAACATGTACAAAAAAAAACAACTCATTACATATATCAAATGCCAACTCGTGCTTTGGCATGACACACAGACTTTGGGTTAAAGTAAGGGCTAGGGTAAGGAATAGTGGTATCGGTAATGTCCATGTAATTTTAGGACACCACAATGTATTGATGTAATACTATGCATTGACCACGAGGTGTCAGTATAAATCACAAAAAAAGGAAAATAAGTGGAAAATGGTCAAACCTGCAATTACTGTAAAGTTAATTAGAAATAAAATCAAATCACTCTGTTTCTAAAGGGTGTCCTTTAGTCTAAATTTAAAGGACCACTATAGTGCCAGGAAAACATACTCGTTTTCCTGGCACTATAGTGCCCTGAGGGTGCCCCCACCCTCAGGGTCCCCCTCCCGCCGGGCTCTTGAGAGAGGAAGGGGTTAAAATCTTACCTTTCTCCAGCGCCGGGCGGGGAGCTTTCCTCCTCCTCTCCTCCTTCCTAGTGACGTCATCGGCTGAATGCGCATGCGTGGCAGAAGCCGCGCGCGTATTCAGCCAGTTTATAGGAAAGCATTTACAATGCTTTCCTATGGACACTGGCATCTTCTGACTGTGATTCAATGAGACAGCCACTAGAGGCTCTACAGGCTGGATTAACCCTCAGTGTAAAAATAGCAGTTTCTCTAAAACTGCTATGTTTATTAAAAAAAGAGTTAACCCTAGCTGGACCAGGCACCCAGACCACTTCATTAAGTTGAAGTGGTCTGGGTGCCTATAGTGGTCCTTTAAGTTGAAATTTCTTAGTTTACTAATCAGTTAGACCCTGGTGCTGTGCTATAGTTATAATGTTAAATAATAGTTATATAGTTATAGCCCTTTCTAGTTCAGCACCCCCCCACGCACAGGTCCTCGTACCACATATGTTCCCTGTGAATTAAATGTCTACTCGGCAAGTGTTGGTAAACATATATAAATTGTGAGCAATGAGAGATTTCTGAGATAGTTGCTGTTTGCTCCCTCCACCAGTCTATCTAAAGATTGAAGGTTCTCCAAGTTTAACACCCTTCGCATTGGGATACAGCCTCTCCCCCCAAGAAAGCCTGGGTGCCTGGCACCAGACTTCACACTAAATTCTGGTTCTGAGTTAGTGGTAGTAGTGGACTTGATATAGAGGAGACATGAGAGGCACTGCACATCGCAGACCAAATATGAAGTGTTTGAGCCACAGGGGACTCTTGCAAGTCAGGTGGCCGAGTTCCATGTTAATGAGGGTAACGAAAACCCTGTACCACTGCGGTCCAGCTGAACCCACTGTTTAATTCTGTGTGAGACAATTCGCAGTCCAGCTTAAAGTGCTGGATGGATGTATGGCTACCATCAAATTTCTCAGGCATAATGACGAACGGCTCAGGATAAGCAGGTTCCAGGGTTGGCCGTACTGTGTCTTTAAGAATTAGCACTTCTCGCTGCAACTCCGAAACAGTCTGGGCCAGGCTTGACACTTGCTGGGTAAACAGTTTGCACATCTCTGCAGACTCCATGATGGTCAGTTCGTTATGTCAGGGCCTTTTCTTAGTTGGGGGTCCGGTAGGCAGAGATTTGAGCTCACCCTTGCAGATATACACAGTCCAAGGTGATAAAGTTAGTGTAACAGCACCCCGGGCATAAAAGGGGTTAGAAGCCGTTTAGGAGATATTCCCTTTCCAGATACAAAGTCAGCTACCAAAGACACCAATCCACCGAACAGGAACAACCATACGAATGCTTCAAACTGCCAAACAGGAAAAACCATACGAATAGGTTTACACTCCAGACAGCCAAATAGTAAAACCATACAAATAACCCCCCCAAGTACGAGACGAGGCTCTGTATTGAGGGTCTGTAGGTGATCTCGTTTAATGGGGCTAACTGCCTGGTATTTATGCAGGTCACAAATTGTACATTGACCAATAAGAACAATTTAGCAGTAACCTTTGGACAATAGGGACCCTCCTCTCTATCCTGGAGATAATTGGGAAGTAACTCAATTATCTCCGATGATAGAGCACAACCTCCATTTTATACCTGTTACTAAAAAGACATAAAAATAAATAATACTAAAATTACCGAATAAACTATGCATGTTCAACATACCCCCAGATAGCTTAGATCTGAGCGCACATTATTACCGAATGGCACTCAGATCACACACATACAGTTCAATCGCCATGGAGCCAAAGTCTTTCACATAGTCTTTCGTTATACGAATGGGCTCCGTGGGATAGCTATCTGGAGTAGCACTGTTCATATAACCAAAGTCTCAAATGGCCCAGAGTTCGTATAAACAAATGAGAACAAGAGAAGGGAGGTCGGCGGCTTCAGCGGTGTTCATGAAGAAAAGTGTCCGTTTTCAGTTCCATGAAATAGTTGACGAACACCGCTGCGCATTCGACAGTTTAAAATGGCCGCCGCCACATGTTCGGCTATACGAACGACGGCCACCCAGCGTTCGTCAATTAAGCTGCGGTTAACCACAGTTTCAGGGAGGTAAATTGCTCGCACACTCCATACTCAGGTGGTCCGGTCATTCGTACATTTGTTCGGTAAATTGAATTTACCGAACGCCTTAGCAGAAAGGCACGAACAAGCATTTCTACAGGGAGGAATAAAAGTTTTAACATCGGGGCCATAGTCCTGAGGCAACAGGTGAGCAACCAGGATTTTCCAGGAACCAATGGCGAGGTTAGTTTCGCCACAGTTAGAAACCACCAGGACTGTGAATCTGTGCATGGAAGGTGTTCCAATTCGCAGTACAGACAAGGGCAAATCCAGAAGAGTAGTCAGATACGGTTCCAAAGATCAGGGCAGGCAGCAAACAGGTAATAATGAAGATCCAGAAGCAGAGGTCACAAGCTAAGTCAGTCTATAAACAACAGGAAACATGAAACAACAAACTGACATTGCTCTCAGAGCAAGGCATGTTATATACCTGGGATAATGACCCATCTGCCTCAGGTGGACTTAGATTGACAAACAGGTGGGAGCCACTGGTGAAGTCCAGCCCCCTAGTGCTGCAGGCAATGTTGAATAAACATGTCTAGATCCAAAGTTCAGAAGTGGCTCAGAGGCAGGAAGGCAGGCTTAGGATGGAGAAGGCCCCAGGTCTGGCACCTGTGTGGAGACCATGCCTGGCCGTCTGGATGGCACGATGAGAACCTACCAGGCAATATGTTCATCTTTATTACTGATATCCTAGCAAGGAGATGTGAGGGTAGTTTCAATGTTTTAGATCTGCCTGGGTTCCTGTAATCCTCTGTGACTGTCCGTGACTATTACCGGGCCTTAGAATGGCCAGACTGAATGTCAGACAGAGATAAAGTGTAATCAGACAGGCAAACAAGACAGGAAAGGGTTAAAGATAAACTCAGAGTCAGATACAAAGCCAAGGTCAATACCAGAATAAACAATAGATCAAGGAACGTACTGAAACAGAAGCCACGATAGGGCTAGGGAAGTTTAAATATCCTTAACTAACATTTGATTGGCCCATGTCATGCCTACGCCGCCAAAACGTGCTTTTGTAGGGGTGCTGGAATGCTCAGAAAGGGAGATCGAGCTGCGTGGAAGCAGGAGTGCTCGAGCCCTGCGCAGCTAGAGCTGAGGACCCCGGACATCCCCCGGTTAAGGTAAGTCATCTTTGAGTGACCTGGCAGGAGGGAAGCGCACAGCGCTCCTTCCTGCCATTCACTCAATGTAGGGTGGCCGTCCGGCCCGGACCGCGGTAGAGGAGCTTCTGTTTCCTGTACCTGGCCGCCAGCAGACTGACAGGAAGTACTCAGTGAGCACTTCCTGTCAGTCTGCTGGCAGCCGGGTACAGGAAACAGAAGTTCCTGTACTGCGGTCCGCGGCGCCCGGCCGTGCTACATAGGTAAGAGGCACAACAGTGAGGGAGGACCACCAAGGGGAGAGAGGGGGGACTGGAGAGGACCACTAAGGGGGGGCGAGGGAACTGAAGAGGTCCACTAGAGGGGGAGAGAAGCATGACTACTAAGGGGTTGGGGGAGGACCACTAAGAGGGGGGAGGACCACTAAGAGGGGAGGACCACAAGAGGGGAGAGGACCATTAAGAGGGGAGAGGACCACCTAAGGGGATGGGAGGACCACCAAAGGGGGAGAGGACCACCAAAGGGGACAACTAGAGGTGGGGAGAGGGAGAACCACTAAGAGGTTGGGGGAGAAAGAGGACCACTAAGAGAGGGGTAGAGGGAGGACCACTAAAGGGGGAGAGGGGGGAGTGAGAGGACCACCAAGGGGGGACTGGAGAGGACCACTAAGAGGGGGGGGAGACCACTAAGGGACAGGGAGGGGAGAGGAACACTGATGAACAGGGACGAGACCAGTAAGGACATGGGCAGGGGAGAGCTATAAGGATGGAGGGAGCAGCTCTAAGGGAGGGGAGGAGAGAGCACTAAGGGTCAGAGGGGTAGGGGAGATCACTAAGGAACAGGGGAGATCACTAAGGGACAGGACGGATGGGGAGAGCACTTATGGACTGGAGGGGAGGGAATATCACTAAGGGACAGGGGGCCAAGGAAGAGCACTAAGGGACAGGAGAGCGCACTAAGGGACAGGAGGGGAGGGGAGGGGAGATCACTAATTGACAGGAGAGCAAAATAAGAACAGCACTGCTTACCTGTATTCCCTTAGACACTGCCCACTTGAATGGTGCGTCCTAATATGCTTAAATGTTGTGACATCATGTTGCCCCTTAAAGTGACCATAGTATCTAGGCAATTCCATTATTAAACATTTTGGAATCACAGAAATGACGTGGATAAGAACATGTGTTAGCCTATATAATGCTAATATGGGCCCCTTTTCAATTCCCTATCATGGTTTCTGCCTTGTTCAGTACTTATAGTAAGTCACTCTTGATATTCTGATATTGATCTTGGCTTGTATTTGACTTTGTGTATTTCTGGTATCATGACCTGGCTCATTTATCCTTATTTCTATAATCCTGACTTTGGCTATTAATGACCTTGTCTTTATCTTGCTCTAAGGCCTGGTAACACATCTATTTAGGAACTCTGTTTGTGGGATTTGCCATTTCCTGTAAGTTTGGTACGACACCGTGATACACTGTCAGGACTTCTACAGATTTACAAAATGGGGGAAATGGTCAAACTGACCAAAACTGAAACAGCCACCAGGAAACTTCCTTGTCAGCCAACCAAAAGACGATCCAGAAGCGCCTCTATTATGTCTGGTAGATAGCCACTAGAAATGAAGTTAACCCTGCAAATTAATTATTGCAGTTTCTCAATAACTGCAATAATTACAATTGCAGGGTTAAACAGACACTGCACCCAGATCACTTGAATGAGCTGCAGTGGTCTGGGTGCCTATAGTGTCCCTTTAAAGTATCAAATATATATATATCCTATATAAAAAAGTATATTAATATTATTATTTTTTTTAAATCAAAAATATTAAATCATTTGAACAGATTATTTACAAAATATTGAGGCCTATGTCAGAGCAGATTTTAGGCAATTCTTATATACTGATGTAAAGATTCTTTATAAAGATTTTTAAAATTTTATTCCATAAGTAAACCTCAACACTTCTTAATCATAAAGTGCTTATAAAGGTTTTCTTTTACCTCCATATATAGTTGCATGTGTATCCCTTTGAGGCATTTCAGACACATCTATAGGACATTTAGCATTAGGGTCAACCATGTGATACACTAGTGAAAATTAAATGTTGAGAAATAGAATTTCAAAACAAATACTCACAGACAGATTTTAGCATGTTACTAGTGAAATGTGGACAACCAGAAAAATACATGTCAGAGAAAGGAACATTGAAAAAAAATCCAATTTTATTGGCGTTTATGCATATTTAAACAGATGTTTAAATCTTTTGTTAATTGTTAAATTGTCAATTAAAATGGTAATTTATCATCTATTTTCATGCTGTTAAAAAAAAGATATTATTCTAAGAAGTTATTAATGCTAGAAATAACATCTCACAAGAGGCCTGCTAAAAGAAAGTAATTAATCAAATTAGGATCCAGTTTTAAATTATAAAAAATAGAAACTTTCTGCACAATATTATCTAATGTAACAATATCGGTGCGGAATAAAAAAAACACAAAACAAACACTTAAAGTTTGACATCTATTCAGTGAGTTAGTTGTGACCTATTGGAAGAGACAATGTTGGCGCTATATCAAGGAAAAACAGGTGGTATTCTGGATTCAAAGTGCTAAATTGTACATTGTATTGCCTTCCATGGTGATTGCCCCTTAGTGAGCTCTTTAATTAGCCCCATAATAGAAACTGTTTTTGTCTTGATAAATAAATCTTCCCCAATATAAGATAGGAAATTAAAATGAATAAAATAAATCAAAAACACTGCATAAACATAACCTAGCATAAAGTTTGAAGACTTCCACAACCCTACACACAATGTTTAAGATTTCATATGTTTTTTTTTTGCCAGATGTAGAGCCAGTGTTTCATTGATGGGCATATACCATGTTTATGTTGGGCAATGATTAGCTATTAAATTAATTATGCAAATATATATAAATATATCAAATTGTGAAATGTTCACATAGCATGGGAGCCATACTTAAACCTATAAAGTTGGCAGCAAGTCTGCAGACTTGACAATGATAGCTAGGTTATGCCCTCAAATAAGAAATTCAGCGCTTAAACCAATATACAATATGTCTAATATGGAAACCAGGCTCTAAATATAGAGTTACCTGATAGACTTTAGTAGGATCCAGTTACAAAAAAAGTAAATGTCTGGAGGACAATTTAGCCTCCACTTCTGTAGTCCATGACAACTCAAGTCATGCAAACAATAGGTCTTCCACGACTTGGTAAAACATTACACAGTGTGGCTACCTCCATTTAAGATGCCATCAGATGCCACAGCACACAGGACTATCAAGGCCAACCATTGGTTAAAATAATCCCAAACAGTAAAATTCATACAGTTTAAAATGGTATAGGGTCAGCCATTCTAATATCCCACAGTTTACAAGATAGTCCAAAGTTAATCTGCTATTTGCAGTTCGAGTTCGCATTATAGACAGTCATTGGTCAAAAAACAAATTGCAAAACAGAGCATTCTCTGTCAAATTAGGTCCACCCTTCAGTGCTGAATCAGAGTCCTGGAATGAACAAGGAGTGTCACGTTGACTGAAGCTAAATTCTCACTTGTTCTTCATTGTCTGATTCGTACGTTGTACTAGGTGTAGGCAGATCATCTATAATCATGTGAGCACCGTCTCTTGTATCCCCAAGACATGAAGCGATCACATCTACAGCAAGATTTGCAGTTGCTTTGACTTCGTCAGAGGTAGCACCTAGTAATGGATTGACTTCTACAAGATCCATACCTGACAGCATACCTGGAAAAAAATGGGCAATAGGTACTTATTAAAGCATACACTTAAATGGCCATTGGAGTAACATTAAAAAAAATACTCCAGATATTTAAATGTGAATAGGTATTTGGGATAGAGCACAGGTAACTTTGTTTTTTGTTCTACTTATTAAAGCATTTTGGCAGACTCGTGATTAAAATTGTCATATGGAAAATATTTTTAACAACTAGCTTCCCTGTGTTAAATCATTATTTAAGAAGAATAAAAGAGCATACAACATATACAAGTTAGATTGCCCAGGGACAGCAAATAGGGGTCATTAAAACAGTTGAACGTAAGGAGACTGGTTTCCCTTTTATCTTGTAATTCTAGGAGTTTTTGTGTGCAGTGTTCCTACCCATTCTAAGGTTTTGTATGAGATAATCAATGCAGGTCTGTTTATAACAAATATATAAGGCTTTGCCTTAGTATTCTGTAATGCTGGTAGGAATGAGCAAACAAGTGAATTTTGTTGTAGATCCACAGTTGTGAGAAATATCATTGAGTATATTTATTCAACATCCTGGCAGATAACTAGGGTTCGAGTGCACTGGAAACACATGGGAATGACATCTTCTTGCTATAGTAGGAGAGTGAAGGTGATTTCCACGTTTCCCACTGCTGCATAAGGACTATTGTGCAATGTGCCACTGAAATACCCACACTCACTGCCTCACAATGATGTCAGTTCCCAGGATGCCCTTACGCTTTTGTGAGCAATTAAGGATCATTAACTTACCTGTGTTGTGTATTTCCTCAGTGATGTAGACACCTTCTCTGTAGGTTAGTCCTCCTAGGACTGGGGTTCCTGTAGATGGAGCCAACGTTGGGTCAAAAGCATCAATGTCAAAGCTTAGATGAATCGGCCTCTGTCTCCTGCATCATAAATACAAATAAATATGCATGAAATAAACAATGTTGGAACCAAAAAGAAACCACTAGCTTATGTTCTGGTTAAACAAGTAAACATTCATATCACAAGTCCAATCTGAATAGCTAGACAAATATTAGATAAAACATATTGCCTGTCTAAAGTCATCATTATTTTGTGTTTTATTAAGCCCTCCCATGACTGTTCCATTGGTATCCTAGTTATATTATATGCATTAAATGCAATGCATACAAACACTATATGGTCAATGGTATTGGGGCACACCTCTTAATTATTGAATTCAGTTGTTTTAATCAGATCCATTGCCACAGATGTATAAACTCAAGAAGCTAGCCATGCAGTCTGCACTCATGTCTGTACTGTGGATGCTCTTTAAATACATTTGGGCTGCACTTGTACCTATAACTATGCTGTGCTTTATGGATGAATACTTTGGATTGCTATATTTTGCTTGCTGTTGGGGCTACAGCAACTTATACACAATAGCTGCACTAGATTAAACGATTTTGCCTTTAGGTATTATGCTATAGCATATTCCTAGATCCTATTTTTGCAGTTTGCATATACAAACATTTGTGAAAAAAATGGGTTGTTCTGAAGAGCTTAGTGAATTCAAGCGTAGTACGATGATAGTATGCCACCTTTGATATAAGTCAGTTTATAGAATTTCATCCCTGTTAGACATTCTGTGGTCAGCTGTAAGTGGCATTATTGGAAAGTGGAAGCGTTTAGGAACAGCAGCAACTCAGTCATTAAGTGGAGATAACCAAGTCACAGAGCAGGGTCACCAAGTACTGAGGCACATGGTGCGTAAAAGTTTCCAGTGCTCTGCTGATTTCACAGCTGCAGAGTACCAAACTTCCACTGGCCTTAATATCAGCACAAAAACTGCAGAGGGAGGTTAATGGTATGGGTTTCCATGGCTTAGAGGCTGCATGCAAGCTTCGCATCACCAAGTACAATGCCAAGCGCCAGATCGAGTGGTGTAATGCAAACCGCCACTGGACTCTGGAGCAGTGGAAATGTGTTTTGTGGAGTGACGAACCACGCTTCTCTGTTTAGCAGCCTGATGGGCGAGTCTGTGTTTGGCCAGTGGTTAGGAGAATGTTACGTGCCTGACTGCATTGTGCCAACTGTAAAGTTTGGTGGAAGAGGGATAATAGAATGGGGTTGTTTTTCAAGGGTTGGGCTGGGCCCCTTCCTTCTAATGAAGGAAAATCTTAATGCTACAGCATACAAAGACATTTTGGACAATGCTATGCTTCCAACTTTGTGGGAACAGTTTGGGGAATGCCCTTTTCTGTTCCAGCATGACTGTGCCCCTGTGCACAAAGCAAGGTAAATAAAGACATGGTTGGATGAGTTTGGTGTGGAAGAACTTGACTGGCCTGCACAGAACCCTATCAAACACCTTTAGGATGAACTGGAATGAAGATTGCCACTCAGCCCCTTTTTGAGCCGGGGTACCCCTTCTCCAGGTGTCCCTGAACACCAAATCATCATCATAATAGAAAAGCGGAACATCCCAACACTCGGCAATTAGTGATATAATGATGGTTTTATTCAGTCAAAGGGTAACGTTTTGACACCAAAAGTGTTAAACAGCATTGTGACTGGATGATTCTTCTTGTGAACACCTATATTTAACAGATTGGTATGATACACCTTATTTATGGCTTGAAAAAGACACCTTTGGTGTCGAAACATTGCTCTTTGATGACCTTATAAAACCATCATTATATCCAGAATTGCCAAGTGCTGGGGTGTTTCTCTTTTGTATTATGAAAGTAGTCATTTGGAACCAGGACGGTGCCAATAGCACAGGCAGCCAAAATTTTTGCTCCAAACAACTTTATGCTATTTTTACCAACTTATCATCATCATATCTTCTACTGGTCTGCCCTACTCAAAGGCCCACATTTAGACACACAATTTTCTTTTCCATAATAAACACTGTCCAATAGTAGGGTAATTCAGCTTTTGTGAATGAATGGGATTTAAAAGGGAACAGTGGTGAATTGAGAACCACATTATAAAATGTAGACCACAATAAATAATTTCGAAAAATATCCAGTTTGGCTAAAATCACATTTTGATTAAAGGACCACTATAGCCATCCAGCTCAATGAAGTGGTCTGGGTGCCAGGTCCATCTAGGGTTAACCCTGCCTGCTGCAAACATAGCAGTTTCAGAGAACCTGCTATGTTCACATTAGGGTTAATCCAGCCTCTAGTGCAGGGGTAGGCAACCTACGGCACTCAAAGTGTCTTTGCACGGCACTCAAGGCTGCTAGAGCCAAACAGGCTCTGGCCTATCAGGAGCCCCAGTGAAACTTCAGATATCTGCTAATACGAAAAGGTGGTGAAGGACAATCCTCAATTTATGCATTGCAGCACGTAGAGGAAGTGATCTCAGATCACTTCCTCCCAGCACTTGTGAATGTGAATTCACACTTTATTAGAGAAGCCTGCAGCTGCTGTTGCACCTCCTGTACCTGGCCAGCCTGGAACCCAGGGAAGCCACCCACACTGCTAGATATACACAGAAATGCACAATAACCCCCCCTCATACAAATAATATGAACAGCCCACAAACAAACATACATACAATCCGCACAAACGTAACCCGCTAACAATCCACATACATGCACACAACCCCACATGCAGCCTCTCACATGCAATTCCCCAAGCAGCCCCCATACACACACACACTACTTAACACACAATGTGACATATCCATCCACACACACACACAATTCCACAAGCAGCCCCCATACACAGCCCACATTCATATGTATCATACACAATACCACAAACTACTCCTGAACATATACAATAAAATAACTCATATACGCACAAATACAATGATACAAAGCAATTACAGTATAAATAACACAAGCAGAATACGGCAGCATACACACCTCAATTTAAAAAAATAGGACATCACAATCCTATATTGGCACAGTACTGCTAAAAGGTTGCCTACCCCTGCTCTAGTGGCTATCTCATTGACAGCCGCTAGAGGCGCTTCTGCGCTTCTCACAGTGAGAAGACGCCAGCATCCATAGGAAAGCATTGAGAAGGCTTTCCTATGGACTGACTGAATGCGTGCGGCTCTTGCCGCGCATGCGCATTCGGCGGAAGAGGGAGGAGAGTCCCCAGCGCCAGAGAAAGGTAAGCCTTTAACCCCTTCCTCCCCCTAGAGCCCGGCGGGAGGGGGGACCTATTAACACTATAGTGCCAGGAAAACAAGTTTGTTTTCCTGGCACTATAGTGGTCCTTTAATGTAGCTTAAATGTTGCAATTTTGTTATTAATTCACTGCAGTTTAGTGTTTACTCCATGTCTTTCTAAATACTGCTTTCCTCTGTAGTACGCACCTAAGATATTTACATCAGATGAGAAGCTAAAACTTATACATGGTGGTATTGTACCATATAATGCATATGCACAACTATATTCCTGTCTCCTTATTTTTATGTACAATATCATAATATTCAGATGTTTAGATAAACTGTCAGAACTCGTAATCCATCTATTACTGATGAAACGCTTGATATTAGATATTTATAGTCACTAATGTCACCAAAGTTTTCGGTAGATAACCATAATCCACAGCGTACCTGCCCAGTAGTTGATCAAATGTTCTCTCCATAACTTTATGGATTCCCATGCAATCAATGTGTCTCATTGAATAATAGCTGATATTGTATTTCTTCAGAATAAACCTGCAAGGCAAATCAAAATGATAAAATGCAAATCAGATTATAAAATTATAAAAGTAAACTCTATATAACACAAACAATGACCACAGTGTTTCACAGACAGGATCTTTCATTTCATTTAAATGTTTGTGAAGAAATAAAGTTAGCTTAACCCCTTAAGGACACAACTTCTGGAATAAAAGGGAATCATAACGGAATATTTCCGTCATGTGTCCTTAAGGGGTTAAAAAAAAAAAAAATAGTCAGGGGAATGGAAAGGCTAGATAATGTAATCCACCAGCTCAAACATGTTCCATCCCCAATCAGCTTCTCACTTGTCCTAGAACTCAGTGTTAGAGGGACACCACCAGTCCTAGCATATCTCACATAGTAAAGTACAGTAAATAGATTTTATCATGATAAAGGCTCATTGGAGTCGAAAGGTTGTATATATAGGGGTGTATTGCTTTTATTAAAGCTGTTTGGACTGCTACAACTCAGTGTAGCCTATCTACTTTACTGTGTGAGAAAGGAAAGACAAATTGTTTACTTTTGAAAAAGTTGTCTCAGAGTGAATTTGATATAACATATACAGGCCCTGTACAAAATGTTCTCTGGTATCAAGTTTATTATTAGGACTGAACGACAGACAAGAGGCTATTCATTTAGAGAAAGAAGACTTCACCGAAGGCAGAGGAATGGATTCTTTACAAAAGAAATAAATGAGGAATTCTTTCAAAATCATTGCACAATATGAAAAGAACACATTCTTATAGAACTTTTGATGGTATTTTTTTTTTAAAATATAATATTCTGGGATATAGTAGGTAATATGTATGGTAACAACTTGTTGGTGCAAGTAATTTTGGAGTCTGGAAGGATTTTTTCTCAGCATTTATTGGCATTACTTAAGCCTAATTACATTTATATTTTCCACTTTTTTTTATCAACAGCAGACAAGAATGTGTGTAAAAGGCTGTAGTTAATGGACTTTATTTTCAGCCTATATTACTATGTAAATATGTAACTTTGATTGACCAGAAAATGATGGCATTATCATGTTTTTTTCTGTTTATATTCTGCGATGGTGCTAAAGAGCACCCCCAGGGTGCCAATTTATACCTACTGGCAACAAACAATTCCTTCCAAATCTGCTATTTAGGTCTAAATTTTGCAATTGGGTTTTAATTTCACAACAATTCAGTGCTTAAACTATTCATATTGTGGTTTAAATTCACACCATAACAATATTTAATAAAACAATTATACTTTTTGTAAGCTTAAAGAAACTATTTATATGTACATGCTGTTTTTATAAATGTTATAAAGATTGTATTTAGAATAAATGTTACTCTTTGATCATTTCTATGTCATCACATTAAGGCAATAAAGTGTCAAAATGAAAAATTATATACATGTATAGTTGGTTAGGATATATTTTGTGACATTTTTTAAAGTTTAAATTACTTACTGCTCAGCTGGGTCAAGATCACGCAAACCGATGTATATAATGTCAGACCTAGAAAGACATGGTTTAGCCCAAGCGAATCCAGGGATTATTGGCATCTGTATTAAAAAAAAAATTGATATAAATTAGGAATTTAATGGTTCTTTAAATGGTGCACTCATTGTTTTGTAATATAATACTATATAATCACCATTAATAATGGGCTAATCCATACAACCGTTAAACTCAGTCCATTTAACAGTCTTCCAATACACTTTTTTGATTAATGTTTTAAACATGTTAGCAGCTGGTACTTGACAATGAGTCTACAGTGGTTCCCAATCCAGTCCTCAATCTAAAAAAAATACAAATTAAATAAAAATAAATAAAAGGGACGGTGCCACAAACTCCCACTTATAATATGTATAAATATATTTTTATATAGTCACACTTTAAAGGTGCAAAAAAATGGACTCTGGCTCCGCAACCATTTAATATATAATCCAAAAAGAAAAATTCCTAACACGTCAATACATGAAAAAGCACTCAATGTATGGAGGTTCCCAAAGCCAGTTAACAACAGTTTGACCCGGGGGCGGAGCCAGCACTGGAGCAGAGCGGACGCCATCTCGCTGAGCTCCAGCAAGAACGGCACAAAAATCGATATAAAAATGAGAAAATAAGCAACTACACGGCGGCACACAGTGACAACACGCCTAGATACCCTGCTACAGAGCCCGATGCCCTTCTTCCACTCCCCACGGACGAAGGGACCGAAACGCAGGTCTGAGGCCTACCACGCACCCTCCATCTCCAGACTGGAGTACCTCCTCGGCGGATCTCCGGAGGGAGACCCATTCTGGCAGACCAAACCGCCTGCACCGACTCCACAGACAGTGGGAACAACCATGGGAAGTCGATCCCAGAGACCTGCAGCAGCCGCGGTGTCCGACACTAGAGACATCGGAACGCTCCTGCAGCAACAACCGCAACACAAAATGGCGACTGCAAAGAACAAGGAGGTATCCCCTGCACCAAGCCCCGCAGAACCAGCAGCCCCACCACCAGAGCTCACAGTGACTACAGCACCCTTGCTGACCCAGGGAGGGACCGAGCTGGTTACCAAGCAGGACATTCAAACCTTCATGCTAGAAATCAAAAAGTGTCTGGAATCGGACAATGCAGTGATAAAGGAGGAGGTTCAGGCAGTAACTAACAGGGTCCGTGCCTCAGAAGAGGACATTCTGGACATACACAAGGATGTGTCCGCGATGCAAGACACCATAAGGCAAGTCCAAACCTCTCAACAGGCACTTAGCACACAAATGACTGCCATGGAAGACCGCTACAGATGACAACATATTAAGATTCGCGGCATACCTGATGATATCCCCTTAGAAGAACTACCACACTACCTAAGACGGCTGTTTGCGACTATACTACCCCAGCCACAGGCAAAGAAGATAGCCCTTGACGGGACATATCGCCTCCAAAAGTCCCCTAATGTGACAATGGATGTAGTGGTGCGCTGCTCCTCCTTTCAAGATAAGGGACATGTCATGACAGCAATCCGAGACAAGACCCCATACTCATTTGACAAACCAGCTGAAAGACTCTGGAGTGGCTTACAACTAGGGCTCTCCAAGGTCACTCATAGTGAAGCACCAAGGAACAGTCTACCGGCTCTCCAACATCACTAAGGCTCCCGCCTTCTTGCAAGCTTTGGGACTACCTACACTGCCCCCAGAGACTACATGTACAACCCCAACCTGGGACCCAAGCCATGTGGTCCCCTTCGTCCCGCGAGGCCAATCGGAGGCTCGCCCGCATACCTAACTCCAGACAAACCAGAGAAGGCAGTTAATATCCTTACTGTTATAATATGTACAAGTTTAACAATGTTCAGCACGTATATTTTATTTCTATATTTCAGTTATGTTTTTCACTTGCCGCACCGTAGATTGCAACCTCTCTTAGGGAATAGCCCAAATGGGGGCAACTTACTTTACCCGCTCAAAAGAGCACAGCCTCAGCCCTCTTTGGACTTACCACAAGCAGAGCCACACCCGCCCGACCCCTTCCCCCCCCCCACAAAGCGGGGGTAACCCAAGCAGTCATGAGCACAGGTGATAGACCTCATGTAAGGGTCACGAACCCATACCCGCCCCCCCACACCGCCTATAACTAATATCACCTTGAGCCCATGCCAACAATTGAGTCATATCAAGCTTCTCAGCACAGGAATGCCCACGTAGACCGGTATACCTACAGTGGCCTACACCACAAGTAGACACACGCCTATGGGGAGACTCCAGGGAACTAACAAAACGCGTATTTTAACTATTACAGTTCCTATGGGAGACATAAAAACCCTCCTTAAACCTGCACCACCAGGTCGATGACACATTCCCCGCACAAACACGTCTACCCTAGGTGGCATTCCGTACTTAACTATCTAAAAGTGTAAACCCATCCAGAAGAAATAGCGTACTATACATCAATCGTGTAGCTAAAATGCCAACATGGTTCAGTTCACTTGAACTGCTCAACATACCTATCGAGCTTTCTCTATAATGTATAAGTGAATTACAAATCAGCCTGTTTATTTTTTGGTTATAAAAATGTGTGTGACTATCTCATGCAATGACACTGTTTATTCCTGTAAGTAAATGCATTGCTTGTCAACACTGTTGGGGTGCTACAAGCAGATTGTTTTTCTCCTTTGCACAAGAAAAATAAAGATTTTTTTTAAAAAAACAACAGTTTGACCCAACTGCAGTTCTTTCTCAAGTTCTCAAGAAACACAAGCAGTTTAAGATTTAGTTATTATTATTATTATTATTATTATTATTATTATTATGGAATTTATATCGCTCCAACTTAAGAAGCAGCACTTTACAATATTATAAAGGGAAACATTTTACAAGAAATAAGGCAATTACAAAATGTTGCAGGAATAGGTTGATGAAGACCCTGTTTGAAACAGTATACCATCTAGAGGAGGTGGAGTATAAAAACACAATTCTATTTTTGGAGATACTGACAAAATCTAGATTGTCAGAGCACTCATAACAGTGAATCATCTTACAACAAGCCTTCTAGTGTGATTAAAAAGAAACTACAATTAACAACATACTACCCTATGTTAGATGATATTTAATATAGTTCTCTATAACAAAAAAAAACAATTAGCTGCGTTCGGTGCCAACTTGCTGTGGAGGTTGTTTAAATGGCTGACTGGATGACAGCCACTAGAGGCGTGTTTCTAGACAAAGGAAAACAGCAATGTAGTGATTTTTTGTTGTAAGATGTAGTGCTGTTGTTGCTTAGGAGTGCCCCTTTGATAAATTGTATTTACTAAGTGTCCCTTTAATCATTTGTCTGTTTCATTTTATTTAAATACGAAATTATCAACAGCTACATGAATTATAAATATCAGCAGGTTTTTATTAATTCACATACCTTTCTTATAGTATAAAATTTATTTCCACAGTGCATTGAGAAAACAATAGTTCTGTCTAAGTGACACCATTGCCTGCCTGCCTACCACCAATACTCATTTCTATTGTGTGGGAGAATTCAGCCTATGAAAGCAATTGATGAAATTTGCAGGAGAATAGATTTTGACAATTGTTCCCCTGACAATGCAGAGTGCAGTGTTTAGAAAACAAAGATATTTCACTTACTTAGTTGCAATTTCCCAATTTGCTGATACGGCTGGCTAGACTGCTGAATAAATGGGCTTCATTGGAAAAACATAAAGGGAAAACCTTACTTCTCAGGATTTTCATTATAATGTTTACTTTGCCCTTTATTTAACAAATATGCGTTTATGAGGTGTGAAAAATAAAACAAAAATGTATAAATCGCCACCTCTGTATTGAGCTCCATATTGGACCTGAGTTCTGCAATCTTAGCTCCCTGTCAATCATTGCTATATGCACTGCCCTTTGCACCTACCTCGAGAAAGCAGGAAGAGACTCCTCCAGTGCAATACATGCCCTGTCTGTGTCTAGACTGAAATAGATCGTGATATCACTTGTTAAATCTTTAAATGAACACTCCAAACCTCTAAAGTATCTTGGTTTGCTGAAGTGCTTCCGCGGTTAACAGAGTGCCTCCTCTTTCTTACTTTATAAAAGTGTCAATTTCAAAAGAAAACACTTTTTTAAATCTACTTTGTTAGATGTGAGTGGACTTGGTTGAGTTAAAGGGAACTATTTCTGATGTCACACACTGACGCAACAAATTCAGCATACACAATAAAAATCCACAAAGAAGTGCGTGGACACTAAACTACTATTAGATGCAATTTAGGTTTAAATTGCAACATACTTCACTCCTAAGAGGCTCCTTCCAGCATTTTGACACTGTCCTCTTTGGTTATGGTACAAATAACCGATTCATTGCCTATTCTCTCACAGCTTTTTTTTTTTACGGCTTCCTAACCAGTGGTGACTGATGATGGTGAAACTGAAGGTTTATATTTCAATATGATGGGAGAAGTAAGACAAGATAGAAAAAAAATAAGATTTAAAAAAAAAAATTATGAAAAACATGAGAAAAAAAAAGTTCATTGGTAAAAGGTAAGATAGGCTAATATTAAATAATATTAGACAGTCGGATGCCTTGTTCAACATCATTTATATAGTCCGCAGTGCTGTTCATGACATCCAGGTTCTGAGGGCCCAATGCAAAAAAAAAAATGCATGAAATCAGAGATCCTGGCACAGCAGACTAAGCATTTTTGAGAAGTCTATACGCATAAACGGGGTGATTCAAAAAATAAGCCCCAAAACCTGATTAGTTGCATAACCGCACAGCAGCGTCTCTAGACAGCAATAAGATTGTTATAAACTGCGGAACCAATCATTACAGACTTAAAAAGTATTCCTTTCCTATATGAACAGATTGGATTTCTTTATTGACAATAAAAACTGAGGTTCATTGAACCACCTGTACCTATGGCCATGCTCCCATGGGGGGAGGTGGGAGTTAAGTTAATAAATTACATAACTAATTATGTCAGACACAATATGTTTTTCTAACAGACAGCTATTGGTCCTTACCACAAAAATAGATTAGACTTTTTTTTAATTGCAACACAAAAACAAGAGGCAGTGCTGCTCCACCTGCCTCTATTGACCACCCTGAACTGCAGAACTAATCATGATGACACAACATGTTTTTTTCTAACACACTGATCAATAAAGAAAAAAAAAGTATTTACCACAAAAACACATTGTTCTTTTTATTTTATTTGCAACAAAAAGTGGGGTGGGACAAGCCTCCACTTATAACCAGACATGTTCTTCTAAGTAAAACACCTCACTTTCAATCTAACATCCAGACAAAGATCTCTCTGCAGCTGGATCCGCCCTTTATGATGTCACTCCAACTCACGAGGCTTATTTAAATGTTTCTCATAGGGAGGCAAAATTGAAGGTGCATACGCAGCAACTGTGTTTGCTCAAGGGTGGAAAGGGAGAAATGGAGAAGAAGTGGGGACAGTGCTAGGATTGGATGTCCATCACCAGCATGGCATGGGAGCTGAAAACAGATGCATTTTATCTCCAGAATTCACATTAGCCAGTTTAGAAAATCTAATTCCAGACTGGCTTATGTTGCAGCTGGAGGTGGATTTAGCATCTAAATGAAATATCTCTGTGTGTGTGTAGTGCTTTATACTAAAACGGTGCCCATACAGGCACTTTGCACAATGATACTTCAAAACACTGAAGTGGTTATGGTGATTGCAATAAACTTTTGCCAGTACATTGTAATATACAACACAAGGGTTTGTAATGACTTGAGCCAAGGCAGAACATTTTGAAGAAACTAACACTCAAGATTCTGAACATCACAGAATGACCTCAGAATTAGGACAGTATGCACAAATGTGCCTGCCTGCATTTAAATCTAAAAAATAAAAAAGGAGCTTAAAAACTACTGATACATTTTACAAAATAAAAGCAATAACTTGTTTTTATTTAACTAAAATTATTTGGCTATGGGGTTCTGCAAAAATCTAAACTGACAGTTTCACTTTAATTGAATGATGAAAGTAATGTCGCATAAGCAGGGTTATTCATTAGTAAGAGTAAGAAGTAAGAATTGAAACTTAATTTCAAATGTAAGGCCAAAATAGCTGAATTTAAAAAGTTTTCTAAGTCAGCTGTGCTCCCAGATCAGCTATTTTGGCCTAAGCATTATAATTCCCTTTGAATTCTTACTTCATTGAATAGCCTTGTAAACATATTGCAGGTATTTGAGTGTACCCTGTTCCCTGACCTCGTTCACCCTGTACATCTGAACCCTATGACACATTTGATACCTTGAGAATTTGTGCATTACTGTAACAGGTTGAAAGCTTACATGCAATTTTAACATGAACAGGTGTGTTCTTAGGTATCCTGGTAAGATCTGTCAATTAAATGTTGTGCAGAAATTACTGGGCTGTTTGCCAGCAGAAGCTACTCTGCAACAGCTACCTCATTGGTTGTACAGTACCTGCCCCTGACAAGCCTCACTATTTCCTGAAACGAAGCCAAGATGTCATGAATAATGAATGTCAATGATAGCAGCTGTACCTTATCCTGCAGCTCCCTCAGTAGAAATGACACTGGCTGACCATGAAGACTCCCTGATTTGCTCGTCAGAGGGGTGTTGATATCGGCGTGAGCATCCACCCAAATTACGCACAAGTCTGGGCAATGTTGGGCATGACCAGTGATTGACCCCAGTGCCAAGCTGCAGAACAAGAAATGAGATGTGTCATTGTTGTCGTCAACATCGATACTAAGCAATTAAAAGCAATGCAAATAAAGAATTAATTAAAATTCAAATTTGTCATGTTTTTATAAATTCTGATATAAAAGATACCACCATGACCCAAAGTTGTGAAGTGGGGCATCTGAGATTCTGAGACACTGAGGGAACCCACTAATTAGCTTCATAAGTAAATGTATAATAAATACTGTTTAACAGCTAGATTAGAACATTAAAAAGCACTAGGCACTAGAGGTGCTTCCTAGGTCTGTGTCTTGCCCAGTGTGTAACACTGGTGTTAAGAATCTCCACGCTCTTCATGGAGATGTTGAACATTCATCATGATTATTATTATTTATAAGGCGCCAACAAGTTACGCAACGCTGTACAATAGGTGGACTAACAGACACGTATTTGTAACCAGACGAGTTAGACACACAGGAACAGAGGGTCATAATTCCATGCATCTCTAAGTAAAGATGCGGATTGTCGCAGCACTGTTTTGCTGCACATGTGCAATATCCTCCCAATGCCTTCCAATAGGAAAGAATTGGATTGGCAGAGATCATCAAATTTGATGATCTCACCAACAGAGGCGAAATCTGCTGCAGCGAGTGCTATGCTGACAAACAGGTAAGTAGAATTACCTTTTTAAAGTAAAGAGACGGGGAAGGTAACCTAAATAGTTGTTTTACCACTATAGTGTCAGGAATACGTGTTTGTGTTCCCGACACTAGAACAAGTTCATCTCGTTGAAGTTGTTATAGTGTCTGAAGATTCTGGATTCCATCTTACCCTTTTGAATGCTTTAACTTTCAAGTTGTCCTCTTGGGGGCCCATCTGCTCTGCTACTTGGTGTCTTGCCCCAGTACTAGTAAGGGAGATTTTTCTTTGGGTACTGATGATAATCTGTGCAGCACTGCCCCAGGAAGCATCTCTAGTTGCCAGTGGAGGTATCCCTAAGTAGCAATGTAAATACTGCCTTTTCTCTGAAAAGGCAGTGTTTACAGCAAAATGGCTGCGGGGACATGGTACAGACACTAGAACAACTACATTAAGCTGTAGTTGTTCTGGTGACTATAGTGTCCCTTTAAATTTCCATTAAAGATTTGGAAAAATACATCATAATCCAGTTCTCTTCTGCAAAGGACAGCGCTTATAACAATGATTGACAGGGAGCTAAGATGGACGGGCCAAACTGCAAGATAATTAGGGGTAAATATCCCTATTTAATTTTATTTTTACACTTCACAAATACATATTATTTAAGTATGGAGATAAGTATTCATAATATTAAAAATCCTGGGAAGTAACAGTTCCCCTTTAAGGGGGCTATACACTTATAGCTTATGGCTTATAGTCCCCTAACGGTTGAAAATCATAAGAAAGAAAAATCAATATTTGAATTAAAAACACAAAAAAATGCAAAGAACAACAACCTGTGATCTCCTCCCAGGGTTATACAGGTATGTCCTGCTCCAATTGCCCTGCTTACTGCATCAGCCAATACTTGACAGGCAAGCCCAACTGTGCGAGGATGTTTAACAACGTTATTGTAGAGTGCGTCATTAGGAACATGGGCAAATTTCAGATCTCCAACATCGTATACACTGCATCCTGCAAAAACAGACAATAAAAAACAAGCAAATTATGATCTGGATAAAATGATATAGATATTATATTAGGTTGCAATCTAGTTGCAGAGATGCAATTGCCCTCTAATCTGAGTTGACAAATTATTTGTCTTAACCTAGGACTTACATGGGTAATTTTTACTACTTCAAAAAGATGAATGTGACTAAGGATAGTCAAGTAGGTCACTGACTAAAGATTCCCGTCAATACAAATGAATGGATTACAATTATTTTGGCATTCAGAATGGCTGACTTGGTAAGACTCATTAAAGCTCATACAGCAGTGGTTCTCAAATGCTACCTAAAAGGACAGTCCAAACACCATATCCACATCACTTTCCTTTTATGGTGATGGTGCAAGGACCCAGTCCATGCAGTCTCACACTTTTGAATTGTACTTTAATATAATAGTCACTTAATATATCGGCATACATGTTTGAAACCAGAACACCATTGCACAACTAGTCAATCATTTCATGAAGCTTAGTAGGTTATCAGCATTGTCATTTGAGGGTTGATTTTTCTGTACCCACTTCCATACAGCACTTGCTGATTTCCCACAGCAGGTAAGAAAAGGATTAAAGGGACACTCTAAGTACCAAAACTACAACATCTTAATATAGCGGATCATCAGACAGTCATAATCATAACTGAATACTACTAAGAGGAAACTTTTCCAGAGCTAGATTACAGAAAAGTCTTATAGTGTTTAAATTTTTTTTTTAAATATATATATATAAATATATATATATATAAAACTGGTAATGTCAAAGGTTGCACTCACGGATTCATTAAAAAATAACTTATTAAGTTGTCCTAAAAAAAAAATTAAAAAAAAATAAAAAATAAATAAAAAAAAAATCGACGTTTCAGTCCTACTCAAGGACTTTCATCAGGATTATGTAAACTTTCATCAGGGTTTACATAATCCTGATGAAAGTCCTTGAGTAGGACTGAAACGTCGATTTTTTTTAGGACAACTTAATAAAAGTTATTTTTTAATGAATCCGTGAGTGCAACCTTTGACATTACCAGTTGGATATTTGCAGCCCTGGGAGTGCACCCGGTCTGTAAATTTGGAGTTTGAGTGCAAGGTATAGTGCTTTTTTCATATTATATATATATATATATATTTTAGAGAGTCCAAATATCTAAACCATGAAAGAAACAATCCAAAAACAAAATAAATAGTTATTTTAAAGATACGCTGTTCCTTTAACAACAGAGTCGGTCATTCTGAATTGCCTAATTAATAAATTTCAAAAAGTAGTAGTTAATTAATAAAAAGTCATCTTAATTTGTGTCAAATCTTAAAAGATGATATTTTAAATGTATATATCTATTTGTTAACCTTTATAGATTGGTTCCGCGGCCAAGGCAAAATCACTGTCAAGAGTATAATTGGGTAGCAGCATATCAGTTCCCTCTAGATCTCAAGACTAATCGAATGAGGTTAACACATATAGAAACATAGCATGTGACAGCAGATAAGAACCATTTGGCCCATCTAGTCTGCCCAAGTTTTAAAATACTTTCATTAGTCCCTGACCTTATTTTATAGGTCAGGGACTAACACTTTTCCCTTTATCCTTATAAGAATTTTAATGTTGACTATACATGACTTTTAATGCACCCTATAGCTCTTAGAATCTTCGCACTGCATCACTGACCAGTGTGCACACAGAATACAATTTAACCGCTATCAGCTTTCAAACTCTCTGCATCACCAAAACATTTGTGACTTTTGATTGGATACAGAGCGTTAAGAAATAGGAGCTGTTTTCCAGAGTATCACCTAAAATGTTCTCAAACATGACAGCTCATCTTGTATTGCTCCAGCAATGTATATTTGCTCAACGTGTCACTGATTACTTTGTTATTGACTTTAAACCTGTACGCTACACACTTTACCTGTACATAGTGTTACCTGAAAATCTAAGTTGGGACATGTTTTTCTCAGTCTAAATAGAGATTTTGAAACGTCCCTCCATGTAATTGAATACTTGTTGACTCATTCTAAGTAACCCTAGACTGTGTTTCCACTTGTTCTGAATTTCACACAGTCTCAAAACACATTTACAATCTGATTTTCCTTTCCCTGTGTTGAAGTCTTAAAATAGAAATGTAGCTATCAAGCAGACTCATATCCCTATCCTCTTGTTTACTGGGTGAACATATTCTGTGATTAAACTTTCCTTGAAAATTTCCTCTGAATAAACAGGTTAACCTTGTGTGCGAGAACATGGAGGTGCTTTTCAAATCTGTTGGCAGAAGCAGATCTCGGAGGGGATGGGGGCAAATCAAGCTTCATAACAAAAGCCCTTTATAGGGCTGAATGGTGCTGGATTGTCCCTTATAAAATTACTGTTCTGGGAGTCTTTTTTTTTTTTTGCACTTTACATTTGGATTGCCATCTTGGTCATGTTTGCACCTTGAAATATGCCCATTTGGTAAGTGTCATTTATTTTTTATCTTTTTGTGCAAATACCTGTGTTCATTTTCTAAAGATAAAACCTGATACATAAATTTGGGCTCTGGATCCGCCTCTGGCTGTTGGTTTTACCCCATACTCTCCAATGTGAGGTCGCATGGCTGAGTTACATCCATTGCTCTCAGACTGGCCCTGGAGAAAACAAGACAAATGCCCAATGGGCCATAATGGTCATAGGCCAAAAGCTGCCCGGGGAGAACTGGGGACCTCCCCAATTTGTTCAGTGAGTCGAATAAATATATAACCACACAGCCTATTGCAGTTTCCTCTCCTCCCCTTGCTGCTGGTTTTTGGCCACAAGAGAGTCAGAGGCCAGTGCGGCTTCCTACGTGGGTCTCTGCTAATTCAGTTCACATGAGAACACATTGTAGCCAACAAGTAGCAGCAGGGTTGACAGACTGTCAAGAGAGAAGTATGGGCCTTGGGCATCAGGTGTGTCCAGGCCAATTTTTCTGTCTCACAAATCGATTGATGGAATGTTTAAATTAGCATCAACAAAATGTGCAATTTCCAGTAAGAAGATATATTGTAAAGGTTTCTTCTGATTGTTAACTCTAAGGAAACTGGATGGTGTCTAGAAAATATAAACTGCACTGGTAAAGGACACCAAAATGTAGCTTCTAAATGGATTTAAAGGGATGTAAAGAAAATTGGCAAGAGTAGGTCACCGTCTTCTATAAAAATATTTAAAAAAATAACAATTTTATTATTAATACTGTACTATGACATGACTTCCTTCTGAAAAACACAACCTGGGCATAATTCTCAATGTCACTTGCTTAGCTAGCTTTAATTATTTTATCTCAAATTGTAAGCCCTAATTTTTTTTTATACATTTCAGGATATGCTCGAACCTTTTGACAAATGGAAAAGAATTTTTTTTTAAAAATTAAAAATACGTTAACCTGGGAAACGTTCACTTTTTTACATTAAAATACCATCCTGTACATTTGCAAGAAATGTTAAAGTGGAAATATCTATAATAAAAATAATATGAGTTACAGCTATTTTTATGAACAGGTTTAAAAGATATTCCGGTCAACTACACCAGTTAAAAATAAACAGATGTACAAAATTAAGATGACTAGTCAATGGCTGCTGGGTTGTGGACTTGCCAAGTCGAAAAAACATGTTTTTAAAATTCTGACTTTTCTTTTTTTATTGTTAAATCCTAAGGACAGAGGCAATTGTACTGACCAAAGCAAAACCTAAATCTGAGCTACATGTTTGTTCAATTATAATTTTCCACTTTCGTAATAAGTGCACCCACACTTATATATAATTTTGTTCAGGAGAAATAGGCCTTTCATTTCACATCAATTATTTATATATTAAACACAATTTAATGTGAATAAAACCTAAAAAATTGTGAGAAATTAAGAAATGTTTTGCATGGCCTTTTAAACTCTGAATGTCATAATACTGTTGACCATTTACTGAAATAAAATACACATATTTGTATGCTGTGATGTCCCCAGAGTACAACAATGCCCCCCCTGGATTTTTCAGCTTGTTCTGCTATTTTTCGTGTGATTGAAAATGAACTGCAATACCGGCGCCGGCCAGTAGGTGGTGCTGTGTATGGAGAGAGACAGGGATAGGAAGCTGCATCTTATCCCTGCTTCTCTCTGCTGAGTGAAACCGCAGGGGAGCAACACATGCAGCCAGCAAAGAGAGCCTACAGATCAGGGGAGTGGGGGATGGGGGGGTCAGCCTATAGATTAGGGGAGTGAGGGGGGCATCCTATAGATTAGGGGAGTGAGGGGGGCATCCTATAGATTAGGGAGTGAGGTCAGCCTATAGATTAGGAGAGTGAGGGGGGGCATCCTATAGATTAGGGGAGTGAGGAGATAGATTAGGGGGTGGGCATCCTATAGATTAGGGGGGCATCCTATAGATGAGGGAGTGAGGGGGGCATCCTATAGATTAGGAGAGAGAGGGGGGGCATCCTATAGATTAGGGGAGTGAGGGGGGGCATCCTATAGATTAGGGGAGTGAGGGGGGCATCCTATAGATTAGGGGAGTGAGGGACTGCTTGGAACACAATTTAGGTTGTAACATCACTGCTGATTTGGGATTTCTGTGGGAAAAGCAAGTCTTATGGCTTGACTGGTGTGCAGATTTTTGTTTAGCATTGTATTAACTATCCACATACTTCAGGTGGAAGGGGTTTTCAATCACAATTTTTTCCCCACCATAATCTATTTGGATCTTGCTTCCCAAGCACTACCAAGCCTCCATAAGCAAACCAGTAACCAACCTCATGCTGAAGAGTTGCATTAACAACGAAACAGCTGTCCATGAGTGGTTCACTGGTTTTGCATCTTATCCTAAATTGTGTTCCAAGCAGTTGTATACTGCAAACACAAATTAAAAGGAATCCATGTTTAAAATGGAATGAGGCAAAAATGTGATTCTTTGTTAAACTAATTTGCATATGCCCACCCAGAATCCTTTGCGGTTGTAACATTACTGCTGATTTGGGATTTCTGTGGGAAAAGCAAGTCTTATGGCTTGACTGGTGTGCAGATTTTTGTTTAGCATTGTAATTATATATATATATATATATATATATATATATATATATATATATATATATATATATATATATACACACACACACACACACACACTGCTGTGTGTGAGGGACGTGGTAGTGTGCTGTGTGTGTGTGTGTGAGAGGGTGTTTGTGTGTGCGTGTTTGTTCTGGTCCTGTTAGTGTGCTGTATGTGGGTGTTGTGTGTTTGTCAGGGTGCTGTTTGTGTGTGGGTTTTGTGTGTTTGTGAGGATGCTGTTAGTGTGCTGGGTGTGTGTGGGTGCTGTGTGTGCGAGGGTGATGTATGTGTGTGGGTGCTGTTTGTGGGCTGTGTGTGCTGTGTGTGTGCTGTATGTTTGGGTGGAGGTGGGGGCAGATTAGTTAATATCCCAGTCCTGCTGCCTTCCCTGGTGGTTCAGTGGAGAGTGAACTCTAGCCCAGGTTCTCTGCTGCCTCCCTCCATGCTGCTGTGGACTGGTGAGGTAGAACTTTGATCTCCCCATCAGCCCATGGAGGCTTAGACCAGAGCCGCCGCTTGGATAGCGTCGGCTCTGCATGAGCCGACTGGGGAGATCCAGAGATCTCCCCTGCCGGTCTCAATCCATTGGCGTGCCGCGGGGATTAGGGTGTGCCCAGGCACACCTGACACACCCTGTGCGCACGCCTATGGAAGTGAGGGATGGGGGAGACAGCCTACATGAAGAGTCAGCAAGGAGCAGGAAGGTAAAGTAAGAAAAGGAGAAGGAATAGAAATGAGCAGGAAGGGACATCAAGGAGCAGAAAGGGGCAGCAATGAGCTGGAAGGGACAGCAAGGAGCATAAAAGGTAAAGTAGGAGAAGGAGCACAAAGGATCAGAAATGAACAGGAAGGGTCAGCAAGGAGCTGGAAGGTAAAGCAGCACAAAGGTAAAGTAGAAGGAGCAGAAAGGGTCAGAAATGAGCTGGAAGGGGCAGAAGGAGCACAAAGGTAAAATAGGAGAATGAGCAGGAAGGGCCTGCAAGGAGCAGGAATGAGCACAAAGGTAAAGGAGCAGAAAGAATCAGAAGGAGCACAAGGAGCACAAAGGTAAAATAGAAAAGGGAGCAGAAAGGGATCAGAATGAGAAAGGAGCAGAAGGGCGCTAAATAAGCAGAAAGTAGCAGAAAGGTAAAAGAGCAGAAGGGGCCAAGGATAGAAAACAGTGTCAGAAGAAAAAAAAAGACTGTCAAATGAAGGAGAGGAAAAGGAGATTGGAGCAGGAAGGACAAATGAAGTGAACCTCCACTTTATTCTGGACACCACATCATAAGGCTTTGGTACCTGGGCCAGGCAGGGAAACGCTGGACCTTCTCATCTCCAAAGGTAAAAAAATATCAGTATTAATGTGTTCACTTTTATTTACTGAGTGTCAGGAAGCACAGAGTGCCGTTGGCTTGCTGATTGGCTAGAGCGGTCAGCTGGCACTCTAAGCCAATCAGTAGCTCCCCATTCATAAAAAAGTAAAAATATTTTATGAACCGGGAACTAGCGATTGGCTTAGAGCGTCAACTGTCCACTCTAGCCAATCAGCGGCACCCATGCCTGACGTCAATCTGCACTTCCTGACACTCTGTTTCAGAAGCCAAATACCACTGAGCGACCTGGAGCTGGAGGAAGCCTTTGGGGTTAAACCATTTGAGAGCGATTTAACCCCTTAAAGGAAAGCGAGCACCCAGGGGCTTCCTGGCATCATAGCATTTTCATTTAGGTGAAGTTGTTATGGTGACCAGAATGGTATTTAATTTGCTTAAAGGAACACTATAGTGTCAGGAATACAAACATATATTCCTGACACCATAGTTGTGAAAACGCTATTCACCCTGGCTTTATGTGATAATGGCTATGCCCCTTCCCTTTCATGACACTGTCAAAAAGGTACCAAGCATGGATGTCATTACAATTATGCCCCCCCCTGGAAAAATTCCTGCGGACGCCCATGGATGCAAGACAGATGGCAACCACTAGAACTGTAGATTTACCAGCATCACCAACAGTATAGTGTCCATGGATGGCAATGAACTAAGCAAGCCAATGCCTTCTTAGTGGAGTGCCAGGCTTTATTTTGCATTATTTGTATTCTGTAGTTTGTCCCAAACAGTTTCTTAACTAGCCTGATCAATACCAGTTTGCTTTAGACTGAACGCAATCTCCTGAACCAATAATATGTATTTCTATCCATGTTTTCCCAATACTCTTGGTCAGTGTCTTGCCAATACTCACAAGTTAGATTCCTATATCCTGATCACAACATGGAAATGAGTAAAGACAATACAAAACTTGGACTAGAGAAGCTATGATCTAAATCCACTATTTAGATCACCTAAAATACCATACTAAAAAATTCAATTAGATGTAGTATAGAGTACCCATCATAAATTAGTGGTATAAATGCAAGTAAATCAGGTAACTGGTTATGTTGCCACATTTTTGTGCACCTTTGAATACTGTACAGAGACAGTTGGTAAACATGTGCCGAACAGATTATTTAAACTGTAAAACCACTTGTGACGGAACTCCCCGAGGGATGTAGGTCTACCAGCAAAGACTGTTACGGAGGCCGGGGGTCAAGCCAACAGCTACAGTTTACCCAGATGGGCTGGTTTATGGAAGGGCTTGTCCTCCCAGGCAGGTATTGACCCGTCTGCCCATATTAATTCTCCCAGGCAGGTATCAACTCCTCTGCCCTTGCATAATCACCCAGGCAAATGGTATTGACTCCTCTACCTGTCCTGCTTTCAACTACTGCCTCTACAAAGACACTTGCTGCTCTCAGGCCTAGCTCTTTCTTGTCCTCGCGACCTGGGACTAGTGTAGCCAGCAAGGAGATCCAAAGACTTTGCTACTGGAATCCCTGAGCAAACCAGACTAGAACACAATACTTTATTTACACTCAGGACTAGCATCTATCAACATTACATTAAACTTATGGTGACACACTCAATCCAATACATATCAAAAAAACTCATATGGGGAATAATACAGGCACTCATAATAATACAAAACAATACATAAATAGGGGTGGAGAAGTCAAAGACAAACATTAAATATGTCCCCTGCATGCATAAACCAGAATATGCAAATCTACCTGAATGTGCAAATTAATAAGTCTTGCTATTCAGGTAGTACACATAATTGTTGCAACCAACAGATGGCGCTGCAAGGCCCCACAGCCAGACAGGGGATAACACAAAGCATTCCCCAAACAATATTACAATACACACCGTACACCTATAAATGGCACAGAGTGACTAAAACACAAGAGTCATCCAAAGACCTACATGATGGGTCTGTCTTATACTCCAAGTAAAGTTCATCACTTGTATTTTTCTTTCAACATTTCCTGCACTGATTCACAAGGTATGTGACGTAAGATTCACAGATTCACAGCACAAAGGAAACTCTTCAATTTTGTCAACAAAGAAAAAAAACCAAAACTGTATTTCTAAATTTTACAAAATGCTTTCTCATGTTGAAGAATAACTGATGTGTGAGCACATCCAATGAATCGAAGGGCACAGATACAGTCAACTCATCAAGCGTTCTACAGGCAGTTGGATGTATGACTTGCAAATTCCAAGCTGACATCACTTTGGCATGTTTACAGTGAAACCAGATCTCTCTGCAATCAGGAGAACGTCTTTCAAGTACAACAACATGTTTAAATTACCCTTACTAGAAGAAGTGATATACTGTGCTGTCTTCTAGTTTGAGACAAACATGGTGAATCCTTTAAAAGTAACTCCTCTTATAAAAAGCTTATGCAACAAACAAGGGACATTGCAAAGAAATGTATGGATCATATAAAGCAGTGATTTTATATCAACCATCCTTCCTCTGTGAATGACAATCTAGACCAGGTGTCAATTCAAGTTGCAGTGTGAAATTAGGACACATTTCGGAATGTGAAAAAAAGCCAAAACATAGGTCAAGTTTAAATAATTTATATAACAATAAACCACTTATTCCAGAGTAGAAAGTCAAAGCCAATGAGAACAGCTGTTGTTTTAATACTGAATCAGATAGCATATTCAATCTACAAATAGGATTATTTAGATAGCTCTCCATCTCATACATTCATACAATAAAAGTTTCTTTACAGTTAAAATGATACAATTTTGGAATTTCCTTCATAAAAAGTATGTTTTATCATATTCTGCATAAATTTTTTAAAAACCTCGATTTTTTTTTAAACCTTGAAATTCATATTTAAGATTTTCATGGCTGGGTTGGGAATTACATCAAATTTTCTCTTTCTTTTTGACTTCTTTTGGGTAAACAGCGGAAGCCAATAATGTATGCAAAAAGGCAATTAGAGTGGCTAAACTAGAAAACGAGAAATTGCCATGACCTAGGTATCGAAACCACAAACAAATAGTCCGACCACACTCTTACGTGACCTCACTCTACCTAGGATTTTATGCATGTTTCAATAAACAAAAACTGGGAAATGTAGTCCAGAAACAATTTATGGTGTCCAGGTTAGCAATCACTGGATGACTTAAGACAAGGTGCTACAGCAGCTAAAGAAAGTTAATGTAATTAAAGCTCCAGGGGCTGACTGTATTCACCCACAAGTATTTAAGGAGCTAAGTGTGGAAATAAGTGAACCTCTGTATTTAAGTTAAGATTCTTTTCTTTCAGGAATTGTATTAGAGGATTGGAGGAAGGCAAAAAGGGTTTGACTGGAACGTATAGACCTGTGAACTTAACTTCTGTGGCTGGGAAAGTATTTGAAGGGTTATGAAGGGATAATATTAAGAAATTCATTGTAAAGAACTTTGTTAGCAATAATCAGCATGGTTTTATGGAACATAGGTCATGTCAAACTAACTAATTTGCATTCTGCGAAGAAGAAAGTAGAAATATAGATCAGGGTGTTGCAGTGGATATGAACTACTTGGATTTTGCTCCTCACAACAGGTTAGTGTTCAAACTAAAAGAAATTGGTCTGAATGAAAAAATGAAATTAAGATGAAAATTCTTGTTCTTGGCGAGAACATTGGCTTAAATATAAAGTACAGAGGGTAGTCATTTATGTTAAAAAAAACATTTAAGCTGGACAGTGGTGGCAAGTGGTGTCCCTCAGGGTTCTGTTCTGGGACTCCTATTTAACATATTTATAAATAATCTTGAAATAGGCATTAAAAGCCATGTTTTTAGTATTTGCCGATAACACAAAACTTTGTAAAGTATTGCCATGCGAGCAGGATATTGCTTTGCTACAGAGGGATTTAGATAGATTAGAGGACTGGGCACTCAAATAGCAGATGAAATTTAATGTACAGAAATGCAAAGTTATGCACTCCGCAGTAATGTACAAGCAACTTACACCCTAAATGGTAGTGAATTAGTGATAACACTCGAGAAGGATTTGGAATTGTTGTAGACAGCAAACTAGGCAACAATGTGCAATGTCAATCTGCGGTTGCTAAGGCCAGTAAGATTTTGTCATGTATAAATAGGGGCATAAATTCTCGGGATGAAAATATAATTTTGCCTCGCTGTTAAAACCACACCTTGAATATTCTGTGCAATTTTGGGCATCTGTTCTAAAGAAGGATATTGTGGCACTAGAAAAAGTGCAGAGTCGAGCTACGAAATTGATAAAAGGAATGGAGCGTTTTAGTTACGAAGAAAGGTTAACAAATTGATATCTATTTAGTTTGGAAAAATGGCGCCTCAGAGGGGATATGATAACATTATACAAATATATTTGGAGGCCAATGCAAACCATTGTATGGAAAATTGGCCCTTAAATCAGGACCATAGGACACAAGGTCACAGATTTATACTGGAAGAGAAGATTAAGTCTAAGGAAAGGAAATGTTTTTTACAGTAAGAACAATAAGGATGTGGAATTCTCTGCCTGAAGAGGTGGTTTTATCAGAGCAATTGGATTAATACTTGTAACAACATAACACACATATAATTTTGATTAGTGGGATAATAGCTTCTTGAGCCATTGAGATATCTGACTGCCATTCTGGGGTTTAAAGGAAAAAAAATCCTAGTTTGTTGCAAAATTCGATACACTTCAGACTGAGTTTTATGCCTTCTTTAAGTTCAACAGCAAAAACACATGTGAGAAAGGCTGAACTTGATGGACTCAGCTCTCTTTTCAGCCTGTGTAACAGATGTATAAAGGCTGAACTTGATGAACTTGAGTCTTTTTTCAGCCTCTAGTAATATGTAGCTATGTTGCTATTTTTAACAACAGACTGGATCAAGCCAGAGGACTATACTAAGGACCATCAGAGGAATAGCATTGGATTTGTGGTATAGCAAGAAACTTGATGAACTTGGGTGTTTTTTCAGCCTCTTAATAAGTAACTAACTATGTTGCTAGTTTTAACAACAGACTAGACTGTATGAAACTACCAGACTGTTCTAAGGACCATCACAGGAATCACATGTAATGCTCTACCAGCAAGTGGATTTTTGATATAGCAATAAACAAGTTCATTAACATTTATCTACGATTGAACTCTATCTCAATTGTGTGTCTTATTTAAACATATCTGTAATATTTTTGTGTGATATGTTTTTTTTTACTTGTCTTACCTATTTTGGAAAGCCTTTCCAAAAGTCCAGCATTTCTTATCGCTGTGGGTCCATGTTCCACGCCTCTCTTTTTCTATAAATAAAATAAATTCATTAGCTGGTCACTAAAATCAGCATAGCAATTGATTAAGAACAGATTACTACGAAATATCCTTTAAATCTAACCTAACTCCTTCATCAACAGCCCATGCGCTTTGTTGTTATTTTTTTTTAACTGAGATTAAAAATAAATAAAAATAAAACTTAATTTTATCACAATAAAACCAGGAAAGAGGAGTACAGTAAGTTTTACATAATAAAATATATTAGATAATTAGACAGACAGGAAGATTAAAGGGACACTATAGTCACCAGAACAACTACAGCTTAATGTATTTGTTCTGGTGAGTATAATCATAATATGCAGGCATTTTCATGCAAACACTTCCTTTTCAGAGAAAAGGCAGTATTTACATTGCCCCTAGGGACACCTCCAAGTGGCCACTCCTCAGACGGCCACTGAAGGTGCTTCCTGGGGCAGTGCTGTACAGTAGGCAGCCTTGCCGTTCAGCTTCCCCATGCTCTGCATCTCTATGAGGAGGTTCTCATTGGCCAAAATGGCATTTAGTTCAGCCCCCTTGCTGATTTTAGCCAATCCAATACATTCCCCATGGGAAAGCATTGGATTAGCTAAAAATCGGCAATTCTGACATCACCAAGAGGGCAGGGCCAGCACTGACAGACCTGTGCAGCACTGGAAATAAATAGACATAAATGGTGTTTGTGTTCCTGACCCTATAGTGTTCTTTTAAAGAGATAACGTTCGAGACAGGCCTTGAGTTTTCATTTTTTTGTAGCATGGCTCCCTGTACTTTTAAAATCTACACACAGATTTCTGACTTTTTAATATATAAAAAAAAAAAAAGTCAGTAAGATAATTATCCTGAATGATTTAAATGCTATCTGCTCAAAATCTTTTTTTATGCCTTCTGCCACCATAAAACACACAACCCTAATGCATTTTATCAAGACCATTTAAGATGACAATAAAATGTAGAAGCCAATATTTGCAGTTGACCCAAAATTATAAAAACTAATTAGCACAAATTTGTATCCACCCAAATGACTTCAACCACAAACACCATGTTTAAAATCTCAGATTGTAGATAGACAGTTTGTAAGATTATATAATTTATTATTATTTTTTAAAGTGGGGAATTTTACTTTTTTTCTATACTTAAAAGAACACTTCAAGCACCATAATCACTGCATGCATGTAAGTACTCCAGTGCCACCCCCACTACCCCCATCTCCAACAGTAAGCAGTCAAATTTAGAACAAATCCCCACAGAGGAGATATGATAGCACTATACAAATATATACAGAGTCAGTACAAACCGCTAGGTGCTAACCTATTCATTAGTAGAAATATAGAGCAGATAAGAGGGCCCCCATTGAGACTGGAAGAAAGGCGTTTTCACTTAAAGAAGAGGAAAGGGTTTAAATTATCTGCTTAAATTCTGTTATCAGATTCTATAGATACTTTTTAAAAAAGTTTAGATTTTGTTTTTGCATAAACAGAAAATTCAAATTTATAATTGATATGTATGTAAGCATGTTGTTGATTCAAGGAGAAATCTGATTGCCATTGTGGAGTAAAGAAGGTATTTTCAACAGCATTAAAGAATGGGTTTCATGGTAGAACGTGATGAACTTTAGCCTTTTTTCACCCAAGACTACTATGTAAGTAACCCATGGTCCAAGAAGTGTCACCCCACCTCAGTGGAAGATGGACCTTCTCTGCATGAACTAAGCCTTGCCGTATAGGGCTTAGCACATTGGCTGTGAAGGATCTCATATGCTTGTGTGATATATATGTCCAGTGGGGTGTAATCGTATTGGTGTAATTAGTGAATAAGGGGGATGGACTATCAATTGATTAGTTAAATCGGACATTTAACTGGTTGATTTTAGAGTGCCAAGGACCCCAGCCCAACGACCTGTAAAAGAGAACTCCAAATAATAAAAGAGTGGCCAAATAATATATAATTATATTTTATACTATGTATTCTACTGCCCTATCATTAGTGTTGGCTATTTTTGATTTGCATGTGAATAAACGGTTTTCATGTGCAAGTTTGGTTTAATTCACAGTCGCTATGTTATTCTGATCCTCACCTATTTTTTCACAAGGTTATTTCTTTATTAGTATAACTTTCACAAGACCATCTTTCGGTTTTTCGTACATATGAATTATGGTTTGGGTATATGTTTATTTATTTCATTATGGCCCTCCCTATCTCTTGTTCAGCTGACATACAGCAGTCATAATTTCCTTCCATCCCTTGCTTTGTCTACCCATTATACAGCCCAGTTAAATATGATAGTACTTTCTAAGTAACAATAACTTATAGAGGGATTAGCACAATTCTTTATTCAGAATCCTCAAGATTGCAGTTAGAAGGGAGATTTAGGCTAATGCTTACATAGATCTTTGTGACTTGCAATATTTCCAGAACAATGAAACAAAGCAAGCAATAAACTGAATTTTAAATGTGTAATTACCAAAGTATGTAGTTGTTTTTTTCTTTTCTTTTTTTAAACAAGCAGTTAAGATGTACAAACCCAGCCCTATCATAGAATTCCCACAGCATTTGTAACTGACCTAAATAAAAATTTCCACTTGGTGATCTGTATAACTAGCTACTTCTTTGAACGTTAGTCTGGGATTTTACCTATTACATTAGTAATGCCATCCACAAATTTAATTTTAATTTAATGATGCAGTTGATAAATTAAAGACATTTGAATTGAGGATCTTTATATTGGAACCTGAACCACCCTTACAGTGAAGTTTCTAGAAGGATGTTTGATAAAGAGGATGCTACATATACATACATTTAATTTTTTAAGAGCATGAAATGGATAAATAGATCATATTTTTAAATCCACATTTAAATCCGCTCTCCCCAAAAAAAAAATAATAATAAATAATAAATCACAACGTATTGGCAACGTATTTATTTAAAATTGTAGTTTGGTTGATGCTTTGATAAGGGATAAAGATCTGCATTCTACACAGATACACCACAAAGACTGCAAGTCATGGCCTGGTCTTTCATCCGGAGTTTGTCAGAAAAAAACCCCCACCAATCCTTAAAAATGAGTCATTACTTACAAATATATTTATGATAAATACATTATATATCTCTTTCAGCCTACAAAAAGATGATTGATAGCTCACCTGGCCTTTTGAAAATGGAGCTCCTATCACAGCCACAGAGTGGGTCCATTTCTTCTGGGAGTTAATATTACTCACTTGCTTCTTTAATAGTCTGGCGAAATTGCTACCTATAGACATGTTGTTGTGTGGCTGATACAATGTATTAGATAGCGGATGTGTCTGCCCGGCCGCTCTCTTTGTCACACACTTATCCCAGTCTGCTGCTCTCCGCCGGATTCTAACATTCTATATATGGAGTTCCGAGGAACGCCTTCTAAAGGCCCAGCGCTCACACTGTGCACACCTCCGCATTGAAGCCTCCTTATTGGTCAGGTGTTAGCTCAGCCACCAATTGAGAGGCCGGGTTACGGAGGTGTGAGCGACACTTCCCTCGCTGCGGTCATCTCAATGCCCACTTTGGGCGCCTCAGACTGCCCTTTGCTGGGTATTATTTTGTGCTTAGAACAGATTACATTATGAATTTAAAAAAAACAAAAAACGACTGGTCCGTTTATTACTGAGCTGCAGTCTAAGAGATGTAAGACTAAGGGGTTGTCAAGGGGTTTATGCACTAAAATCCGAATTATGATCTGAATAGAAAAAAGTGAGACTAAAAAAAGATGTGACTTAGATGAGTTGGATAAATTTTCCAGACCAGCTATTTTTGCACCGGGAAGCTATTTCTAATGGTTACATAAGCTAAAAGAAAGAAGAAAAAACAGATCGCTACTACCTCTGGTATTGGGGACTATGAATAGTCAGTGTCAAGCCACGCGTTGTATGATACTAGGGATCGCTAGTTACCAAAAATATTCTAACTGGAATAAATAACTGACAATAAGTAAGTGAGGCTGAAAATAAAAGATGTTACTAAAGATGAGATGGATATAGTTATTTTTGCATCGGGAAGCTATTTACAGAGGTTACATAACCTGTCAGTAAGAAAAAAAAAAACGACACACCTAATATCCCTGGTAATGGGGATTATGAGTGATTAGAATCAAACCCACAATTGTATGAAACTAGAGATGGCTATCTAACTTGAACAAATACGAATTGAATAAGTGAGGCTGGAAATAAGTTGTGACTATAGTGATGTGATGAGAGGTTTTAAAAAGCTATTTTTGCACTGGGAGACTCTTTACAATGCTGAACCAATCCATCCTCCCCAATGAAGAGCTCTGTGCAGAGAATACTGACAGCACATTCTTCTTGAGTTATAGGAGGGTTGGAAGCCAGTCAATCAGAGCACTTTGAAATAACTTTTGCATTCTTGGCAATTCTCACTTTAGTGAATAACCCTGTTAGTTTCTTAAATTATTTTACTTAGGCACTCTTAGATCAAGGATCTCAAACTTTGCTCCCCCCCCCCCCCAGAAGCTGATGGTGATAATTTCCAAATCTAGATATGGCCAGTGACTCATGAGAGTTGTAGTTCAGTAACATCTTGGGGACCTGAGTTTGAGATGCATACCTTACATGTAAAAAGTTCAATATTTGATTTCCCAGGGCTGGATTTACTTCCCGCATAGAATTCTAAAGCATCCCTACCTCTACACTCCACCCCTCCCAAAAATGAGACACATCTAGTCAACAAGACTAGGCATGTGAGAATGACAGAAATAACATGCATTTCAAATACCCGTAGAATTTGTAAAAATCTACAAAAAAACAAACAAATCGCATAATACTGTACATCTTATGTAATGCATTAGCAAATAAATTTTGTTGTCCTGCAGATGGCAGGTCCAGCTCCAGGAATAAGCATATCTCATGGTCTCTGGCCTCTAGAGAGTTTGACATAGTGACTTCACTAGAGACATCATGTAATCACACATCACAGAAGAAAGTGTGAATGAGTCATTGAAAATGTGAATGAATCATTCTACTTCCACCCTGTTCTAAGGAACATGCAGCCTGCAAATGTATTTATTAGGAAGGTGTATCAGATTATACAGGGCTGGGCTGAAATGTTTGATGGGTGGTATAGTTATTCAGTGGGTGGATGAAATCATGACACTGATAGTCTAGGAGGAGGTACAAGGCACAATAAATGGGTGGAATGAAACACATAATGAGTGACAGACGCATGAACTGATGGTAGGATATATGCAGTGGGGGGCACAATGCCATGACATTGATTGCTGTAAAAGAGGGATATAGGTGGCATTAGCCTGTTTCAATGCCAATCAACATTTTTGTGCTTGCCTTTTCTGCAGTTCTGGTGGTAGAGGAATCAAGCACTTCAGCTCTCATCATGCTTATCAATCACTAAATAAGAATATAGAGAACCTTAAAGGGACACTGTAGGCGCTGCCAATGCTTCATGTTATGGAAGTGATTATAGTCAGGGTCTCTGAATGTAGTGTGGCAGAGTGCTGATTGCACGAGGAAAGAGGTGAGCTCTCACATGGTGGTGCTGGGGGAATGTGACCAATTAGCAAGGCCAGATAAGGAGCCCAGTGGGCCTGGTGCTGACAATTATGAGGGGTCTAAGTACACAATGTTATCGACCAAAAACACTAAAACAGTCATAACTCTCAAGTGTTATGTACCTGGTGGAGATGTTGCCGGAGGGGAACTCACAGGATGCAGCTATAAGAAAACTGAGATTCTCTTACAATATGCTACTCTCTCTCTAATTCATGCTTTCATCTTTCAGTAAATCCATACCCCCTAACAGCAGTGTCCAGTGAAGTAGGAAGTCAATGGGCGGTGTAAAAGTGTGGGCCAATGACTCAGATAATGTAACCAGAACTCCCGAAAGGGACAAACATGCCCAAAAAGGAGGCGTGTCTGCCCAAAGAATTGTAAGGCTAGCCTGGCTTGAATGCATATCATGTTGCCTGCCCATCATGCATGCTGGACAACAGCATCCTCAGCTTGGCATAAATGTGTCTAATGATGCGCTCGCTCTATGGATGCTGAACAGGATGCTGTTGGCACAAGTGTCCCCTAGCACTCACATGTTCACTTGTCTCCTTACCTTCTTACTAGTAGGCAGAAGCTACTGGTATACAGTCTGAGACAGAGAAAAGGTGGATGTAGTGAGTGTAGAAGAAAGGGAACATGCCACAGTGTTAGAGAGACTAAAGTCAGCATTACCTTAACTAATTTAATTTCAGCTAGTCCACACAAGTTTTGTTTCCATATATCCCTGTGAAGAGTAGTTAGGGTTGCCACCTTACCATAAATACCTTAAAATACCATACTAATTTGCATAACTAAGTGACATCACATGATGTAAATAACAAGGAGTGACATGAGGGAAAATCCTGTAAAATCAACAAAAAAATTACTTACAGTTTGATTCTGCTGTATAGCTGGATTGCTCCCAGTTTCTCTATGTCGCCCAGTGTCCCCATGTCGTCCAGTGTCTCCTAGTGTCTGTGTCACCATGTCTCCCAGTGTCCCCATGTCACACTGTGAGACATGGGGACACTGAGACACCTGGGGACACTGAGACACCTGGGGACACTGGGAGACTTGGGGACACTGGGAGACTTGGGGACACTGCGACTATATATCACAGTGTCACTATGTAGCACAGTGTCTCAGTGCCCCATATCTCTGTGTCCCCATGTTGCCAGTGTCCCCTAGTGTCTGTGTCTCAATGTCCCCATGTCACTAGGGGACACTGAGAGACATGGGGACACTGAGACACTTGGGGACACTTGGAGACAGAGCGACACTGGGAGACATGGGGACACTGAGACACTAGGGACACTGGGAGACATGGGGACACTGAGACACTAGGGACACTGGGAGACATGGGGACACTGAGTCACTAGGGACATTGGCACATAGACACTAGGGACACTGGGAGACATGGGAACACTGAGACATTAGGGACACAGGGACACTGAGACAGTGGGAGACATGGGGACACTGAGACACTAGGAGACATGGGGACACTGAGACACCAGGGATACTGATTGGGAGACATTGGGAAACTGAGAAACTTGGGGACATTGTGTAACTAGTGTCTCAGTGTCCCCATGTCTCCAAGTGTTTCAGTGTTTACTTACAACACAACACTTCCCTGTCCAGTGGTCCAGTGGCTGGCTCAGGTTGATGGAAGTCAGAGTTCCCACTCTGACTCTCCTCTCCTACTCCTACTCCTGCATGGCTCTATGTAAGCTAGGAGGAAGTGACCAGGGTAGTCACTTCCCCCCAGGGCTCTGATCTCATCACAAGAGACCCGGTCGCAATGACTTTGACACTAGTTGCCAAACTAATCTTATTGATTTTTTTGATTGGGTAACTAAAACAATAGACCAGGGTGGTGCAGTAGACATTGCTTATCTAGATTTCAGTAAGGTTTTTGACACTGTTCCACATAGAAGGCTTATCAATAAACTGCAATCTTTAAGTTTGGATTCCAATATTGTTGAATGGCAAAGGCAGTGGCTGAGTGACAGGCAACAGAGGGTTGTAATCAATGGAGTATATTCGAAGCAAAGCCATACTTCATGAAGGGAGGTCAGCAGACACAGGAGGTGAGAGGGATTAGAAACCACAAAAGGATGGGGGGACAAAGAGGCACATTAAAAGGTTGAGGGGGCACCAATATGTCACTGTTTAGTAGATATTCCCAATTGAAACCATGCATGCATTTAATTATGTTTTTTTTTTCATTGGGTATATATCCAAAAAACAGCTTGCAAAAACTGCAGATCTCTTGTCTGCTGCCTTTGCAAGTCCTCCCCAGAGTTTCTTTGGCTGTCCAATCACAGACTTCCCAATGCAGCTCAATGAGAAGTATTTCCAAGGCAGAGGTCATGGGCAATTGTTGCCTCTTGAGTTCAGTGTAAATAAGCTAACCAGACCACTAACAGGACCTGTTGTCTGCGTGAAAAGCCAAGGGGGGTGTAACCAGTAATATTTATAAAAATGTAAATTTCTATTGAAATATATACTATTTCCAAAAAGACACATAAATCTTTTCAGCAAGCTAAAGTGCTATAGGGGTCTGGAGTGTCCCTTTAAAGTCACTCCAGGTTGGAAGTGACCCCTGTTGTTGAATGCAAGATACAGATAATTAATTTAGACTGTATGCAACTAATAAACACATTTAATAAATATTTTAAAATATATATTTACTTTTAAAATCCCTGTTTTTGATACAAATCTTTAGACATTACATTATCAGTATCAAGCTCTGACCACACAAGGAAGCATCTTGGCTGATCAGTAGCCAATCTTTCTGGTCTATGAAAGTTAAACTGTTGGGCAACACTATATGGATGAAAATGTAGATTCAGTGGGGTTTTTCATTAA